TTATTTATAACACTTGTAGCAATATAAAAAATTTGACATGTGAACTTGTGATTTACTATTGTGCATTATTGTGAATATAAGAAATAAAATTGTGATTATTTAAATAAAATTTGTGATCATTACTTGTTATTTCTAATGCTTATAACAATATCAGGACTTTGATATATGAAGTTGTGATATACTATTGTATTGTTACGAATATAAGAAGAAAAACTATGATTATTTAAATAAAATTTGTTATCATTACTTATTATTTTTAACACTTTTAGAAATATTAGAAATTTGATATCTAAATTTATGATTTGTTATTATGTTGTTGTGAATATAAAAAAAATTCATAATTATTTAAACAAAACTTGTGATCATTTTATTTTCATGAAGATAATTTGATCATTTATATAAATTTATTAATGATAGAAAAATTCTATAAAACTTTAGTGAAATTATAAAATTTTGAAAGATCAAATTTTTATTTATATAATTCAAAAAAATTTTATTGTTATTTTTCCTATTTATTATATGTTATTAATTGTTCAATAATATACTCCCTCTATTTCCATATATATATGTGTGTGTGTGTGAAAAAATAATTGTATAGCACAATTTTAAAAAATTGATTAGCTATAATAATTATGTCTAAAAAAAAAAATTAAATTTAAATACCCTCGTATTTAAACAAAATAAGGTTGCATTATTTATTTATCATGAATGAAAATTATGAGTTCATAAGAGGTAATTTAAAAAGAATTGTGATAAATACTAATTGTGTGATTTTTTCCATAAAAAAATAAAACAATAAGTGACAATTTCTTTTATGTATAAAAATGGAGAGGGTATGTAGTAAATAAATACTCCATCCATTCAAAAATATAAGGTACTTTTTGAAGAGTTAGACGTTAAAAAATGTAAGACATTTTTAATCTTTTAAGGTGTAATCATTACCTTTTTTTAAAGTATCCCTATTGATAATTATTTTATATTTATTGTAGGGTGTTTAATAGGAATAAATATGAAAATATAGGATTAGTTTGAAAGTAGGTGATTACTTTTTGGAGAGTAATATTTGATTAAAAATACTTTATATTTTTTTAATGGAGGGAGTATACTTTTTCTTTGATTGTCTTGAGTGCATTTACTATTCTAAATTACAACTGCAAAATTAAAGCTATGATTTTCCCCAAAAGGAGTCTTGTATTTGGGTTAGAAATAGGCATTGTAATGGGCGATCATGCATGAATTATGAAACATGATGTCAACATTAACTAACATAGTCTATGAATGATGGTATTTTATATGTGTGGGAGTGTCAATCACTTGCTTACATGACTACCCTATTCTTCAACTCCGAACAGAACGTTTGGTTAAAAGGAATTGAGGGCAGGGCACATGGTCAATAACAAGCTTTCTTTCTTTTTTTAGGCATCGACATCACTTCTCTTGCTTGGAATGAATTTCCAGTTTGTTTATATGTTTGTGTGTGCATATGTGTCCCTATTTTCTATTTTTATTAGTACATAGGCAAGAGCTTGAAAATGAAACTAATAAACGTAGACATGACATGTTGGACGTAGTTAAAGAGAATAGCAAGAACAATGTGTTTCAAGGCCTATGTTATGGGCACCTTCTGCTAAACTATTGACACATTGAATGTTAACTCTCCTGGTGTAGTGTAGTTCGACCTCTCTATCTTTATAAACGAGGTATCCAATTGTAACGATCTTGTTAAGTAAGCGGCGAGCAACACTAGAGTCCTTTAGATAGCACGTTAAAAATTTCTAATGAGTCTAATAGAGTTTAAGTTTGATGAAACATCTAAGCTCACATATTTTCATATATGTTATAATGGCCATAGTTTGGCTTCAATACAAGCCATAGGACTGAATGCTCCTTGAAAACCAAGGATCCAATCACTGTTGCCATCCTGCGAGGCTTCCCCACAAGCTGTATGATGATGACAAAGCCACCAACGTCTACACGAATAATGTCTATAAGAGGAGGATCCCAAGTTGAGTTCACAGTGATGGAGCACTGTTAAAAGAGAGTGGCATGCTGATAATGGTCATTGTCAGGAGCCTCCATGAGTAGAAAGAGACAAGCTTGCAGAATCTCCCTTTTTGATTATATAAGAAATGTCTAGGTCAAGGATGTTCAAAAAAAATATTGTTATTGTATAAGAAATAAAAAAATATTGTTATTGTATAAGAAATGTCTGGGTAAAGGATGTTAAAAATTTGTGAAATTTTTATTTTGATACTCTTTATAAATTTTATTTTATTTATGATTCATTAATATTATGGAGCAAATACTGTTATGAACTTCGAAACATGAATCAGTAGAAAGATAAATGTGTGCGTGTGTATTTAAATGACATAGATGCTTGTTTAGATAGCATTTTAATCGATTATTTGAGGCAAAAAATTAATTTTTACCAAAACTATCCAAACACCCATTTGTTCAAAAAATTGATTTTTGCCAAAAAAATTGATTTTTTGACTCAAAGCTCCCAGACTCATTTTCTGTGTTCAAATTATCTAACAAATATGGAAAAGTTACAAGAAAGGCTCAAGAAAAAATTATAAAAAGGGAATGAAATTTAATAAAATTAAAATAAACTCCCTTCTCTTTTTATTTGTTTTCTTAATAAAATTCAAACTTTGGATCCTCAAAAAAACTACTTGCATAAGTTTCCGTCAACCACCACCTTCTACTCAGCACTTGCTATAAAACTAATTTAAAAAAAATATTAATTGGTAGATAAAAATTAATTTAATTTAAAATTGAAGATCATTATAAAGATTGTTATAAAGGTTTATAGAGAGAGATTTTGCATCATTTATTATATTCCTACATTTTTTATATTGCAAAAATTTTTAGGTAGTGCTTAACATTTTTGTTAGACATTGCTCATATTCGTGATGTCATTAGAGGTTAACTTGTATGTCATCATCTTCATTATTTATTGCAAAATTGATGTTTGATATTTAAAAATTAAATATTTTTCTTTTATTAAATCTATTTAAACTAAGATATATTGAGTTATTCATTTATGTAAATTAAAATTGTTAATATTAATATAATTTAAATTTTTATAATTAATCAAATATATAATTTAAATAATATATTTTACTTTTTAAATAAATTTTAAAAATTTAATAATATTATATACAAATTTATCAATAATTCAATTTTAAAAAGCAATATCATTTATAATAATTTATACAGTTAAAATTGATTCTAAATAAATTATCCAAACATTTTCAATTTTATTAAAATTAATTTAAAAAAATAGTATTCAAACATATTACATTATAATATAATTAATTATAATTAAAATGTACTATTTAATCAATTATTTTTATAATTTATTATAATGAACTGAAATTCAAATGAATATTAGAAATATGTCTTGGATTTTGCTGCGGGGCAAATTGTTTCGTTGTCCAAAAGTAGGAACTGACAATGGAAAGCAACAGGAACGAGGGAACCCGAAAAGAAAAGGGGTTTGAAGCCTGGAAAATGAGAGAATGGCAAAGAGGATTCGTGACACATACGCTTGCCTTCGGGTGAGCTTCTCTCCTTTTTTTTTTTTTAATTAAAAATATAAATCGTTTAAATTGACTATATATTTTTAAAAATTATTAAATTTTAAATTTAATTTAACAGTTTAGATTTGATATTTCCTCGACTCTGTGTCCTCCAAAGATAGCATTACTTTTTTCAGTCAAAGAACGTGCACAGTTGCACACAGTTTCCTTAGCATTTCACTTTGTTGACTTGATGGCGTAGATTCTGTGTTCTTGTCGCTCAGTGAATTGGTCAATTCATGTTCTGCCTCGGACAGAAGGCGCATGGTGAGCATCTGGGCCGGCGTTCTGGAGCAAGCCAAGTCGGCTCAGGAGAAGAAAACTGATCCTCTCTTCTGGGCGATTCACATCAACTCCGCCCTTAACGCCGCCGGTGTTTCTTTGCCTTCAGTCGAGCTCGCCAACTGTTTAGTCTCTTACATCTGTTGGGATAATCATGTGGCCATCACGTGGAAGTTTCTCAAGAAAGCCTCGACTGTCAATATCGTCCCTCCTTTGTTCGTCGTCGCACTTCTCTCTACGAGGTCCCTGTTTGGGCATCTCTCTTATCGATTTCTTATTCGCTTGATTTGTTTTTTAGTTTCTCATATTTTATTTGTTGTAATAGTTTCTGCCGAGGTGGGCATGATTTGTGTGGTGTTGGATTGACGAGTGTAGGGAATTATTTTGGCGCGAGCCTCTGTTACTGAGGCTCTGGCTCTGCTTGAATTTTGTGGTTTTCAGCTCCTGTTTCGCAACCCGGGGAGGGAGGGGGGATTCGCCGAGTACATGCAATTGACAATTTCAAATTTGGAAAAGATTGCGATCATGAATTTTACAGAAGTGAAATGTTCTTTTTGACTACCTCGATGCTGAAAGCCATCTCACACTTATATTTAAAAATTTTAAAAACTATCGTATTAATTTGATGTATCGTGTTCCATATTAGATACACGTGTCATTATATCATGTACACATGCTTATGTCGGTACTTTGTAGTTAAACAAAATAAATTGCACAATGTGCAATCTGCCTCAAAGTATAACAATGTTTTATAACAAATTTATTTTTAAGGGTGGCATGATAAATTATTGTTATTATATCTTTTTTGTTTATATCATATTTTTATTATACCAAAAATATTAACACAAAAATATTTCTATTTTATTACTGACATACCAAGCAATATTGTCATTTCCATTCTCATTCTATTCCTATACATAAATTTGTACTAAAAAAAATAAAAGAAAAGAAAAGAAAAGAAGAAAAAAGTCACGGAAGTTCTGCTTCCATGTGCGCACTGCGCACCACGGCGCTTATCTGTCATGAACCTTATTGTCGTAACATTTACGTGCATATTTATTAATTTTTTTTTATTGATGCCTGCCAAGTTGCACTTGCGGGTTCTACCACCCCTGTCCCGCAAATCTCTTGCTTAAAATAAACAACGTCACAGGCAACCAACCAAATCCCAGAGAGAAACTTGCACACAACTTGCTATCCATCCTGCTTCTCCCCCTTCCTTGTTTCCACCGCCTTGAAAGTCTCGGCCAGCGAGCTAGTGGTTTATTGATAAGCATATACTGTGCCTTCATCTAGTTGCAGAATATACGTATATATATTGCTTTCAAGCCTCATTGTGTTTTAGCTGCTTGAAATCGTTCGGCCTACCCGATTCTTTGCATTCGTGGACCGAATCTACTATACTTTGGCGGGTTTGATGTTTATTTCCAATATGGTATAGTTCATGCAGGATATTGCATTATTTTCTTCTCTTCAGTCATCGAACTCAATCGATCACTGCTAAAGGGTGAAGCAAATTCATCTGGCTTTAGGAAGAACGACGATAAAATCGACGGCAACGGGGAGGGAAAATAGCTCGCAATGCCATGTGGCGGTAGCCCGTAGGGTCGTGTTGGTGGTTGATCAATCATCTCCAAGAGTCTCTCGTCATAAAAAATGCCTCACAGAGCAACTTACATTTTCCCGAGGCAATTCCCTTACCGTAGGTTGGATGAACCCTCCCAACAGCTCTTAGATCACGAGAAGAAGAAGATCTTCGACTCCATCAAACCGGGAAACTTTGGCGTTGAAAGTGGCGATAAAAAAAAGTCTTCATTATCAACTACTCCAATAAAAAACGATGTCACTAATTCGCCTATTAAACACTCAGCTGTATCCGATCTTTTCACGGGTGGCGGCAAGCTTCGGACTAAACACAATCAAGTTGCTGATATATGCGATTGGTCGATAGAGAAAAAGGGGGAAAGATCTGGTCACGTGAAAGCGTACTCTCACAGGTTATCCAGCGATGAAGAACGCGAGCTTCTGCTTCCGCCGGAGTCGGGGTCGCCACCTCCTCCGCCGGAGACAGTGAAAGATTCTGCCATTGACCAGAGCTTTGATCGGCAGGTGTCGTTACCGAGGCTGTCCAGTAATGAGAGTAGCTATGCCGGGAGCTTGTTCTCGGGGACAACGTTGGATGGCAATTTTTCCAGTGACATTAAGGAGGAGACGACGTCGTCGGTCTTCACCTCGTCGAGGAAGCAAGAGGAAGATGGAAAAGAGAGTAAAGATAAGATGGTGCAGAAGTCCAAAGAGAGCTACCACCTGCAACTTTCCTTGGCCAAGAGGCTCACTTGTCTAGCAGGTATTGCTACTGAGCGTTCGCTTACTCTGGACACTAAAATCGAAACTTGGAATGGCGAATCCGTTTCTTATCGTTTATGGGTACGATCACGAAACTCTCTTCTTTTCTGCAGTCACTAAAAATGGTTTTAGAAATATTTATGTCCCACACATTGCACAGTGCGGAAGATTCTGGATTGTTTGTTCAGTTTAACTAGGTCTGTTTTTTTTTTTTTTAATTGGCTTGAAGTTTTTTTGTGACCAGAGGCCTGAAGGTTAACTAAGTCTGTTGGAGTATAATTTTCAGGTGAGTGGCTGTTTATCATACTCTGACAAGATAACGGATGGTTTTTATAACATTCTGGGGATAAATCCATATTTGTGGGTAATGTGCAATGATGAGGAGGAAGGGAGGCGACTCCCACCTCTCTTGGCGCTTAAAGCAGTTGAACCTAGCGAGACATCCATGGAGGTGGTTCTTGTTGATATCCACGAGGATTCCAGACTAAAGCAACTTCAGGATAAAGCACAAGAATTGTATTGTGCTTCAGAGAACTCCTTGGTTTTGGTGGAAAAGCTAGGAAAACTTGTTGCGGCATATATGGGGTAAGTAAACTAACCAAATCCTGTTTTCTCCTTACTGCTTGAAGCTTGAGTTGGGTTCTTTAGGTTTTGACGCTTTCTAGGTTAAAATGTATATATGAAGGGGTACTTTCCCGGTGGAACAAGGTGATCTCCACAGCCACTGGAAGTTGGTTAGCAAGAGATTGATGAATTTTCGCAAGTGTGTTGTGCTTCCTGTCGGCAGCCTATCTTATGGACTTTGTAGGCATCGAGCAATTCTTTTCAAGGTGAAGAATATGCTCTGAAAATGACTTGAATGTTGAATCCTTATTAATTACATCAAGATTAAATATTTAGTCCCAATTTTCGGACAGATAAAAAGATGCTGTGAACTACTTACCATCATGGAATTTGTCCATTTTTTTCCCCTTTGTTGGCTAATGACAAAATTTGTTGTATAGTTTTTCCTTAGTAGTTTTAAGTATTTACATGACATCTGAGCAACTTATATAAAAACTTTTCCATATTGATGTTTGTGCTTTCCTTTGCTGATATTCTTGATTGAGTTGGAAAATTTTACTTGTAGAGTATTATACTCTAAGGAATTTTTTGTCAATGACATGCCATTTCTGTTCCTGTATCATTGGCACTCATGGAAGCTTGAACACTACAGTCATATTTGTGACACATGAACTATGAACACATTCATACCTGTCGTATTTATCTTCCATTTCCTTCCTTCCTTCCTTCCTTTTCCTTTTCTTTTTCTTTTTTTTTTGGGGGGGGGGGCGGGCGGCGGTGGACTCATCTTAAGCTGTTAAGAAATTATTTCCAAATGACTGCAATTTGTGACTTCAAACCTTTCCCCACCCTGCCCTTTATATCTCAAGGATTGGTCAGGGCTTACAGTATTATATGCTGCAATGAGTTAGAGATATAAATATTGTATAGTGAACCATGAATGGAAGTCAAGGCCTCTGCCTTTTCATACCTCATTCGCAAGTAGGTGTCCTAATTAATTTGCTCTTTCCTCTCTGTTTTGCATGCGTTCGCTTGATTGTCCTTCAAGTTAATTAAGTACAAGAAGCTAGCACTGTTTCTTAAATAGCTTATTATTGCTCATCAGTTATTCCCTGATAATTGTTCTGCACCTGCAGAGGTTGGCAGATTACGTAGGTCTGCCATGTCGTGTTGCTCGAGGTTGCAAGTATTGTAGTGCTGACTATCGGTCCTCTTGCCTTGTCAAGATTGAAGATGACAAGCACTTCTCTAGGTTAGTGGAATTTAGCTGTCTTGACAACTGCCATTTCTGCTTTGCCAATGAAGTTTTGATGGCAATCTAACCAAGCATCTTTCTGCCTTGGTGTGCTATGTCAATCACAATTTGGTGCATTGCTTCCAAGGTTTAGATACTAGATTTTTCATTTGTTCATTTGCTTCTTCCATTTCACATTGATCCTCAACAAGTCATTTAATTAGCAAGGCATCTTGAACAATAATGCTTGATATCATTACTTGATATTTGTATTTCTACGGCTGATTGTTGAATATATAGTTTGTTGTGGATACGGGTGTTTACGGGCTCGGTTTGTTTTGGTTTTTGGCAAAAACCATACCGAACCAAACCAATCGATTCACTCATGATTGAGACTTGATTGGTTTTTTGGGAAATCGATTTGGTTTGGTTTTGTCGTCAGTTTGGTTCTAGTTGGTTAAGGTCTGGATCAAGTTTCAATACATTTGTTTAATTTTTTTCATTTTTTATAGCTCACACTTAATATGAGTGTGTTATTTTTCCTTGTAGAGTGTGTTTATATAGCCACTTAATGGTTGATTGGATTTTTTAATTTTCCTCTAAATATTTTTAATAGCATGAAAAAAATAATAGCAAAGTGATCATATATATGCGTCTTCAAATCATTAATTATTAAAAACTGATGAAACTACAAGCATCCTTTGAATTATATAATTTTAGTTTACTAGCACTTGATCAAAGTATGTTTATTATGAATTTACGATGACATTTTGAGCATTAATTTTTGAAAAAAAAAATTAAAACAAAGTTAGTTATTCTAATTTGCAGAAAAATACTAATAACAATAACCTTTTATTGTCAAATATATACAATAGCATTTTTTCTAATTGTTGACAATATTTAACAAATTATAGACAAGTACGTTGAAAAATATCATAAAAATTATAGACACTATTTAACTAATTGTAACATATTTTTAGCCATAAATTTATAGATAACTATATTTAAGGAAGAGAAAAAATGTAAATAAATTTATAAAAATATATAAAATAAATACAATAAGGCTTGGCCTGGTTTTGTTTAAGTTTCAAGAAACAAAAACTTAAACCAAACCAAACCAATCAATTTTGCCAAAAGAAAAACCAAACCAAACCTTATTTATAATTGGTTTTGATCGGTTTATGTCGGTTTGGTTCGGTGTCATTGTTTTGGATCAATTTTGAACAACTTTAGTTGTAGATCCGTTTATCAAGCTTCTGACAACTTGTTTCATATTTTCTGTTACGTATGCCTTATTCTCTAACATAGTTCTCAACAGGGAATATGTAGTTGACCTAGTTGGGGAGCCAGGAAATGTCCATGGACCAGATTCCTCTATCAATGGAGCATACGTCTCCTCCATGCCTTCCCCATTTCAAATTTCTCATTTAAAGGAATCCCAATCACCTTGTCTGGACGTTGCAGCATGTTCTCAATCTATAAGTCCCAATCATAGTTTTGTTATTACTAACAGTCGTGTATATTCAGGTATGTTGTGCTTTTCATACATGGAAAGTCAGTTTTCCAATTGATTTAGAGTATTTTTCTATTTCAAATTTGAAGGAAGTTTCTACATGGTTCTTGATTAGCCCTTCATGGTCCCAGGTGCTTAAACTTATTTGCAGTAAGATCTAAACAGTTTTACTAGGTGGTTCCTTACATATTTTACCTCCACAAAATATGTACCATTTAATAGTGAAAGTGACACATGCACAAAAACATCATGTGTGCTTGTATACCTTGAGGTTTTTTGTGTCCTCAAGTTTGATCAAAATAATTTTTTGGTTATTGTGGAGGTTTAGATTTGTGATAGTGTGAAAGATATTTGATATTTCTTTTCCTACTTTAACTTAGGAAGTAATTCATATCATTATGTTCGTAGTAAATGCATTTTCAAGATGCTTTATGCTTTTTGTCATCTTCGTAAACTTGTGGAGCATGATTGACTTCTGATATTACAAATTTTAACTCCTATTGAGGGAAAGAAACATTGCAATATATTATTCTTTCTTTCTTCTCTTCTCTCGTCCCAATTCACGTAGAGGATTTTTTGTTTAAAGTTTGTCTTAGATATTATTCAATCTCTAGCAGGCTGTGGACAGAACGATCATCAAGTTAGTGAAACTGATTTGCTAATAAACCCTTCTTATGCATCGGGTGACCAAACTTCAGAAGGAACAGAGTCTCCTCTGGTTCCTTTTGGCTTAAAAGGGAATGCTGAGGAACTTGCAGTTCTAGGTTCAATTCTGCCTTCCATCTGGGAAGGTGTTTGTGAACCTCTGCATCCACCAGTTGAGGCATCGTCACATAAATATCCCAGGCTTGGTGAAGATCCAGTTGTAGGACAAGAAACTTACAACAATGAGGAAAGTTCTTTGAAAAAATCTATTTTGAGCTCTTCAAACCAGTCAGAACCGGAGAAGGTAGACCATGGACTTGAAAACCAGGGCTACTGTCCTGCAAAGAATATTCCAAGATATTTGAATCTTGAACCATCACTTGCAATGGACTGGCTTGAGATATCATGGGATGATTTACGGATCAAAGAGCGTGTTGGTGCCGGTAACTTTTTTTTTTTTTTTTTGCTTCCTCTTTTTACTGGATCCGCATAACAAACATATCTGGACATATTTCCCTCGTATCTGACTCTGAGATGTTGCTATTCTTTCCTCTGCAGGTTCATTTGGGACAGTGCACCGTGGTAAATGGCATGGATCAGTAAGTATTCAACGTACTTCTTTCAGAAATTTTCAGTAGATGGTATGACTTGGATATGATGGATTCATTGAATTAAATGAACACCTGGAAATGCATGTTGCTGATTGAGAAGTGGATCGGCAACTAAACAATTTTAATCGATTCCTTATGCCCTGGGAAGGGCTTGAAATAAGATGTGCTTCAACCTACCGACTATTTATTCATTCAATGACTTCGCTCATGTTCAATTTATCCATTATATTTAAATTGCAGGATGTTGCAGTCAAAGTTCTATCAATCCAAGATTTCCGTGATGATCAATTGAAAGAATTTCTGAGAGAGGTGTGCATTCTTAAATCAGATTAGATATATGTCTTAGCCTCGCAGGTACCCCACAAATAGCTGCTCTTTAGCTCAGATGACTTTGTCCGATTGAGTGCAACTAGTAGTTTATAATAAATACTTTCATGTGGAGTCCCCTCTCAAACTACCACCCTATCCTTCTGGCCAAAGAAAAAAAAAAAACAAAAGAAAAGAAAACCTGTAGTTTGAAATTCCGATCGTCGATCCATGTGTAATGGTAAACTTGGAAGCGGACCCTCCTCTCTTCTTTCAAACTCAGAATTCCAGATAGTTAAGATTTGAATTCATTTTGGAGCACTGACTATTCCAGCAATTTTAGACATCCTTTTTCCCCAAAATTTTGTTCACAATTCTAAAGCTAAACAACCACGATTTTCATTTAGACAAATACTATAATTCAATTTTGTTCACGTTTTTTTATTTTGAACCTTTCTTATTCGATTTACTTTTCAGATTTAGACACATCTCTTTTCCACATTTCCTTTTAATTATCCAATGAAAGGGGGATGAAGAGGTCTGCTTTCAAAGTGGCTAGCACGTCGGCGTATTATCTAGATTTCAAAGTACATGGTGGCTGTTCGCAAATAGGCATACTAGAAAAACTACTTTTTACTTGTGTTTGTTTCATGTTTTAGCATCAGAGATCATGCTACTACCGATAATTTCGTTTTTTTTTTTTTTTTTTGCTTAAACACTTCATTTTCCCACTTCAGGCTTGTTGCTTCGTTCTAGTTTTCTTTAATTTTCTTTGTTCCTGATATGTTAAAGTTCAAAAAGGAACCAGTTAAAACTCACGTAGTTATTTTCATCCTTTTTAGGTCGCGATAATGAAGCGCGTACGCCATCCAAATGTGGTGCTCTTCATGGGTGCAGTTACAAAACGCCCTCATCTTTCCATAGTGACAGAATATTTGCCTAGGTAAAACAAGCAAACTCTCGCACAGTGAGCCATTGTCTTGAATTTTTTTGTTGCATAAAGATTTACTGTTGCCGGGTACATATGGTACAGAGGTAGTTTATACCGCCTGCTTCATAGACCCACAACGGGCGAAAATCTGGACCAGAGGAGAAAATTGCGGATGGCTTTAGATGTGGTTTGTATCAAATAGTGTTGTATATTTTTCTGTCACTCAAATTATTTCGTAGACTGTATGAATATTTTCCCTCTGATCACAGGCTAAAGGTGTCAATTATCTCCACTGCCTTAACCCTCCGGTTTTGCACTGGGATCTCAAATCCCCAAATTTGTTAGTGGACAAAAATTGGACTGTGAAGGTAAATTGAAATTGATTGAGGAGTTCGTCTATGAAAAATTTCTAACATCTTGTGCAAGATGATGATTTCTTTTAGCTTTTCATGCTCAGGTGTGTGATTTTGGATTGTCAAGATTTAAGGCCAACACTTTCATGTCATCAAAATCTGTTGCTGGAACAGTAAGCCATACACTGTTTTTGTGCATGAGCATAATGGCTACTTCTAAATCGATCCAAAGATGGGGGTTTGAGGACTCCATAGTTTCAAGTAAAGGATGTTTAACTAGTTTTTATATACACAATGCAAGGGTATCTTGATTTAAGTATACCAACAGTGCTACTTATTATTAACTTTTACCCCCCATACAAAACGGTATTGAGAATTAAGATCAGTGAAAGCATAAGGCAAAACAATCATGTTTAAAAAGACGATTGAATGGTTGATCAACAATGAGATTAGGTGTATGCATGTCAATTGATATCACTTCAGTATCCTGTGTGGAGGAGGGATGATTCGTGTGCATTTCCAGTTGGACCTCAGGAATTCAGACTTCATTCTTCTTGTATTCATTAATATAGGGCTTGGAAATTTGTTGACGTTCCCGTCATTAGATATACATATATACGTACCTTCCTATTCCTTTCAACAATGAAAGCTGTGATTCTATCGATGTTTTGCAGGCTGATCTTTTGCTTCACAGTCCCTCAATAAGAGGGTAACTCTCTTGATTTTATTTTCAGCCCGAGTGGATGGCTCCTGAATTTCTCCGTGGAGAACCTTCAAATGAGAAATCTGATGTTTATAGTTTTGGAGTCATCTTGTGGGAACTTATGACCATGCAACAACCGTGGAGTGGTCTTAGCCCTGCCCAGGTCTGTGAGTTCATACATTTGTAGGGCTCATTTGCAAGGAATTACTTAGTTTCAAGGAGATATATTGGGGAGGTTGCATATATGTGAATTTCTACTTTCAATTAAATGCTTGACAATGGAATCTTTGAAGTTTATTGGTGGATTGTGTTAAAACAATCGTTGACATGTGAACTCTCAGGTGGTTGGAGCTATTGCTTTCCAAAATAGGAGGCTTGTTATACCTTCAAACGTCTCCCCTGCACTTAGCTCTCTCATGGAATCTTGTTGGGCTGAGTAAGTGCTAATTATGCATATTCTTTGGTAGTTCTCGATATGCATGAAAGATAACTGGTCCATTAGATCTAATTTTATTTTTTAAAAAAATGGTTTTCTACTTGTCCTAATAATTAGTAGAGAAAATCAACGCAGACATAAAATGCCAGTTTGAGGTTAATATGATATTATGAGATCCACGACACTTTGGGAAGTCAGGTTGAAATCTGTTTCCTGGACTATCAGATCTTCTTGTGATGGTACATGAAATGGGCCTTGAAATGGCAAGTCTATCCTGAGGACTAGGCTGCATGCACGCTATTGCTTCAAATTCTATCTGAAGCCTAGTTCGATGTGTTTTAGATGACAGAGTCTATTTGACATGAGCAAATGACCAAGTCTAGTTCGTGTCATCAATAATTTGTACCTAGTAGCAGTTACGTAGGAGACTCCTTAGTCAATAGAACTTTCCTACTCGCATGTATTGGAATATTATTGTTGCCTCTAGTGGCTTTACGAGTTGGTAAATCCTCGTGCAAGGAGTAGTATTTGAACAATATTGCTTGCTTCCTTTGGTGATTGTTGCACTTGATCAGTCGTTTGGATCTTTTTGTAATCCGTGTGATGGTATTTATTCTTGTCATCAAATTCATATAAGAAAATGGGCTCATGGGAGACCTTGTTAGTTTTAGTCCTCCACTTGTATTGGTTGGTGACACTCTAAATATGCTGTGACTTGGCTCTTGATTGATTTCTGCTCTCACATTAGCTCGTAACTTGGGTTTCCCTATCGAAATGTCTTCCGAACATGAAGTCATAAAAGGACGAACCCTTTAAGAAAGGAGCCGTGTTACATATTAATAGATTCATGTATTGGACGCTCTTGTGATCTTCGGTGTTACTAGTTACATTTTCCTCTAGAATATTTTTCGCTTATTGGGCTAGCTTTAAGAAAATTTAGCATGATTCAGGGGGTTTTTGCCTTAATATCTGCGGCATCCTCTATTCTTTTGACCCGATGATTTGTTTCTGATGCTTGCTTATTGTGCTTGACAGTGACCCTAATGAACGACCATCTTTCTCTAGCATAGTGGACTCACTGAAAAAGCTGTTGAAGTCTCCAGCTGAGGTTATAAAAAATACAGGCGGGACATGAGCCCATCCATTGTAATTAAACAAGTAATCCAGACCATGTACCCATTTTATCTGTGAAGTGTACGATTTTTGTTGCTTCTTTCTAACCCTTTTCGGAAGCAATGAAAACCCTTAAGCTGAAAATATGGTACGGGGGATTTTGGATTCCTCGATATCTCCCTTCCCTTGTAATTTGTGTCCGGCACTACTACGGTGTCATATGACGCAATTTTTTTTTAGAAATTAAAATTGTTTTAAAAAATTAACTTTTAATAATATATTTTTTCTTATCCTATTTATAATCACTAAAATAAAAAAAATTAAACTTTATTAACTTTATTTTAAAATTTAAAAATTTTTTACTTTTATTGTTAATAAATATTTTTTAATTTTATTATTGATATTTTTATTTAAAATATTTAATAAGAGAACAAATGTAAAAATAAACATTAAAAATTGACGAATGCTTTATAAATAAAGTTAAATTTTTTTCTCTCTCGTTGCTTATAAATAAAATCATAAAAGTAAATTAGAATTAAAATAATATTTTATGTTTTAGCTTTTTAAAATTTAAATTGTATTTTTAAATATATTCTTTTTTGATTTTATGATATTATGTTGACATATTTTTTTATTTGCGGTGTCAAAAAATTAGTTATTAATTTTTATTGTGATTTAGATAGGCAATTATGATAAATGATATTTTCTCCATTAAAAAATATAAAACTTTTTTTGAAGGGTTAAATATTTAAAAATGTAAAATATTTTTAATCTTTCAGGTATAATCATTACTTTTTTTTAAGTGCTCTTATTTATAATAACTTTATATTTATTGTAGGGTATTTAACAGAGATAAATATAAAAAATAGGGTTAGTTTAAAAGTATGTAATTATTTTATTAGGGTAAAATTTGATTAAAAATATTTTATATTTTTCAACAGAAGGAGTAGATATTTTTAAATTAAATTACTACATATACATAAGGATTGGGATTCATTTCTAACTAATTGTTTTAAAATTCTTATCACACATGGTAACTTTAATTGATTCTAAAATAATTTATATAAAATAAAATGCCATATTTTTTTTGCATATTCTAAAATAAATTGTATGAAAAAAAAATTATTATCTCTATTGGTATGTTCTAATAACTAAAACAACTTCTTATATTGTACCAGAAATTAAAAATATATATATATATATATATAGTTAATCGCAGTTGCTAAATATAATAAAAAAATATAGTTATTTTTACTTATATTTAAAAAAACTAATAAATTTAACTCGTACCTTTCTCCTCTTTATTTCTCTTAAATAATGTGGTTATACGGATTTAAAATCTATCTAGTTTATTAATAAATTCTTGATCTCGAGGCACGACCTTTTTGATGGCTCCCTCGAGCCCAAAAATATTTCACAATAAATAATTTGTTGTAATTTATATGAAATGTGAGAATATGCTATTTTTTCTTTTGCCTTGGTTTTTTCTAAATGTAATTTTCTACTGTTGTCAATTAACTCCATTTATATTGTCGGTATTTTTGTTTGCATGCTAATTATCCGCTTTGAAATTTCTTCTTGTTAGGCGATTGCTGATTATATTTGAATACTGCTTGATGTTCTCTAATTACGTATAGTTTAATTACTTATAATTTAATTAACAGAAATTGGTCGACTAAATATAAAAAAAAATCTAATAATCATCCATTTAAATTATATAAATTGATGCCAAATCTTACTATTTGTGAATTATAAACAGCTACTTTACATTTATATGCACAAAAAATGTATAGTTTCTTAAATAAAGGGCATTTAAGAAGTTTGCTCATTTGAAGATTGAGAAAACAAATTAAAACACACAAATATATTAGACTATTTTTACCTGAAATATGATATCACAGCAAAACTCATGTGGCGTTTGAAGACAGAAATTATCAAGCCATTTTTTTGTTGGCCTGAAAAATACTAAGGTTATCTCTGATAATATATATATATATATATATATATATATAAGGTTAACTGTTGAGTACTTTTCTTTGCTCAACTGAAAAGGGCGTCCGATCACCCCGAGGGAGAAAAAACTTCCAATCAAACATGGCGGCTCGACGGCTTTATTAAGTGCCGAACAATCCGCGGCCAATCCGTTTTCCTTGCACAGATACAGACCATCGCCACGAGTCAAGACGCCGATCTCTGCTCTGGTCATCTACTGCGTAGATTTTGGACGAGCCCCTTCCAGAGGAAATTTCGATGGAGACGAACGAGAGAGAATACATGTGGCACGATCTCGGGCTGCAAATTGTTCTAATCTTGGTCATGGTGTTCATGTTCTTGCATATGCACGATATTCCCAAGAAGCTCTTCACCAAGTTCCGTCTTCGAAACCGATCCGATATCCAAGCCAAGCGCCACTTCGTTCTCGGCGCTCAGCACCTTGCGCGAGCTAGATCCTCCAAGACTCGATCCGCTTCGAATTCTTTGGCCAAAGAGGCCCTAGCCGAAGCCGAGAAAGCCATCGCGCTTGACCCTAAGGATGCAGCCGCTTACCTTCTCAAATCCTTGGCTCTTGACCTCCAAGGCTTCAGGACTTCAGCTCTCGACTCGCTCGACATGGCTTTGTCTCCGCTTGCCGTGAAGTCCCTCGCCGATGAAGAGAAAGGGGACGCGCTTCTCAAGAGGGCGGAGTTGAAAATGGCGATGAATGAACGCGGTCGGGCGGATTCGGCTCTGACGGATTTGATTGAGTCGGTGAAGCTAAATTCCAAAAATGTCAAAGCTTTTTGTTTGTTAGGGCAATGCTACGAGGCAAAAATGATGAAAATGGAAGCCAGGACGGCTTACGAGGATGCTCTCAAGGTGGAGCCCCGGTCAACTGTAGCTCAAGAAGCCTTAAGTAGATTGGGTTCGTAGTAGAGATTGTAGGAGAAATAGTCTCTGAGCTGTGCTCGGTTACAATATTATTTTAAAAAATTTTCTACTTTGTGCCAATTGTGACTGTTTCTTGTGTTATGGGTAGATCAGAACGTGCTCCTGAGAATGTTAAGCAGATATGATCTTATAGGCCCATGTACTTGTTTAATTGCTTGATCACCGGAAAACCTTAAATATATGGTGGTAGTTTACTTGTGGTGGTATGGAAACAACTGGGATGCAAAGGTGATGTCGTGGTGAATCCGAGACATTTGATTCTATCGATCAAACTTGTTATTGAGGATGGACAGAATCCAAATATAGTGATAAAAGGCAACCACTAATAGAAGAAAACTCTTGATTCTGTTATATAGGTGACACTGTCTGCTAAATAAATGCAAAATTCTAACGCAGTCTCTGGCGAGACCAAACATTGGAAAACTGTTGGAATCCTCTGCATTTTTCTAGCCCCGCGTTTAGTTTTGCTCCTGCCCAGGATAGCCTCGATATCACTCATCACAATACAATGGGTTGTCAATGAGACCAGCTGTTGTTTGTTCACATAAACACCTGTGTCTTGCGTGCTTAACTTGTTCAATTAAGAATGTACTTCAGTTATCCTATTTCCAGAAAGCCCATAGTCAATGTTCCCTTTTGTTTGAATAGTCAACATATCTTCCATTCAGCGGCACATGGCCTGAATAACATTGCCAGGATACCAGACTCCTTAATTATATTTGCATGCAATTCTGCCTCATTGGGGTTTGCTTTAAAATCTACTTTCTTAGCCTCAGGGATATTTGCAGTCTTGTCAGCATATGCACCTGATTTTGCACCCCATTGACCGTTAATTTTGAGTTGCCAATCTACTTTTTAGAAGAACAGGCGTGCTTGATTTAATAGCTGATAAAACTGTTCTGGCAGCTGTAGTCTCTGATTCTTTTTCTCCCCTAATCTTAACTGCACGTGAACCTGGTGTTCCATCTTTTGTGCACTGATACAGATGCACAGCGTAATCTATCTCTGCGCGTACTCTTGAAGTGAATTCATGAACGAAACCTATTTCATACAGGAAGACGCATTTTTAACAAATTCAGGAGGCATTATGCATTAGACAAAAACTCAAATAAGCTGAAATAACTATGATGCGAGGGTGGAAATCTTACAATGTAACGGGAGTTTCATAATGAATGCATCCTTCATATAGAAACAGTGCAATCAGGAACAATTCAAACAGAGTGCAGAAAAATGGTAAACTATATCCTGTCAAAGCAATAGATCGGATAAGGAAGTCTCTATTATATTAAGTTGAGTGGAAAGGATACCAAGGGACTGACCGTATAGAAGAAGCATGCCCCTTTGAAAATTGGATAACAGAAGATATAGGTGAAAAAAGCTCAACCAAAAGCTTCAAAACAATCTAAAATTATCAAATACCTAAGAATGAATGTGATTTATTGAAAAACATAAGCTGGCGTTGGGCTCGTGTACTTTTCTCTAAGCATTTTGAATTGCTAACAGCTTTCGATTCGGGTTAGAATATTTCACATGAAGTCGTGATAAGCAACATATTTGCAGCAAGAGAGCGACAAAGTTATAAGAGTGGCTAGTCATTTTAGTCATAGGTCTCAAGCGTCAATCAATCTCACTATAGGCAGCAAAAAGGATTATATTTTGAGCCATGCTTAAAAATATTGTTCTTAAAACCTATTCCACCATACTTAATTGATCACACGGCTGCCTTGAGATTAAACAGATTTGTTATGCAAAATGAATAGAAATACAGAATAACAGAAATTCGCATGACAAACCCAAGCAAAACAACAAAGAAGCAGTATAACAAAAGAAGAGAGAGAGCCAAAAAATCCAAAGGCCGATGTAATAGTACTCGCGATGGCCTTTGCCTTCTATAGACAAGATTCACATGCAACACCATTGGGCACATTGAACGCGTTTAAACACAGATTAATGTGATTAATCTTTGCAATTTTTGAACATTGGTTTAAAGGATGATCAGTAACATCTTAAATTTTAAATTTAAATTTTAATAATTGATTAAAAAATAATTTAATTAAGAATTAAGGGTCAAAAATATTTTTAAAATATACATAAAAAATTATAAATAACGTTAAAGTTAATTATAAATTATAAATTATTTATATCCCTCAACTTTAAATATTTTTTATTTTTTATCCTACTTTTTTTTTCATCTATTTTTTATTAACTGTACTCGTATTTAAATTTTTTAATATTTTTTCATAAAATATGATATAGTGAATTCCATCTATTTTTTTTATAATATAAAAAATATTCTCTCTCTCCTCCGCTTTCTCTCTTTCTCCCCTCTCTCTCCCTTCTCCCTCCCTCCGGCAGCTCCGTTATCAAAAATTCAGCAGCTTCGAACTTCTTCGAGCGTCACAGACAGCACCACAGTGAAGGGTCTATCGCACCAGAGTATGGCAGCTTCCCACCTTCCTCCACCTTTATGTTCATTACTCTCGTCTTCAACACGTCCACCGAGTTAGTTCATAACCATTGCAGCCATGAAGCTCATAGTCACATGGGTTTCGATTTATGCAACTTTTATCATTTTTAAAGCTTCTATTGAATTTGTTTCAACAATAACCTGTCGGCACAGCAACAATAACCCCAAGCAAGCTTCATACCATGTCCTTCCTGGTCTTGTCTTTGCCTCCATCTCCTCTCTCTCCTCCAACAAGGATCTCCAACAGCCACTAAGTCTAGTTTCACCCTCTACCTCCTCCCTACTTTCTCTCTCCTCCATTCCCTCTCCCCCATGTTGAGGATGCTTGACATTCAAGCCTAACTCCCTTGCACCTTAGCCCGTCTTTGTTGTTAAGAAAAAAACAGGGGAGAACAGAGCACACTGAAGGGGAGAACGATAGCGCATGCATGTAGGGTCCTTCATGTGGGATGGAAGAAGAAAGCTGGTACAAATAGGTTGTGTACTTGGAAGCTTGGGTTGATTTAGGAAGAACCATGGATGCTTGACTCGAGTCTGTTGAACGTGGTGGATGCTCAGTATTATATATATTCTCATGTTTTGTGTGTGCGTGCAGCGTGCGTGAGGGGGGGGGGAGAGAGAGTGGTATTCTTACCATAGATTCCGCTTTTAACACAGTACAAGAGCAGTAGTATCCAATCTTTATTTTCTTGAAAACATGGATAGTTTTATTGTACAGATAGTTTTTTGGTATCCAATCTTTATTCCACTTTTGAAGGGGAACACATAGCTTTTGTATTTATCTCTACGCTCTTATAAAACAAGTTAAATGGATGGCCATAATAAAGAACACATTATATGGTTTATAATATAAATGGACACACTTTGGAGAGAGGAGAGGTATAACATGTGTACCGTTAATAAGATGAAGGAGAGGCCTCCTAAACTAAGCTGAAGCAACATGCTCAAGTTGGCGTACTGGTATAGTCACTAAACTTACATTTGCTACGGCCATTTCCCTGTTCAGCAAACTATGTGCTCATAAATTTGTTTGCCTTATTGTACGTAGAAAATTGAAGCAAATCAAAACAAGTAAATAGGACATAAGAAGTAGTTTATTTGACAGTACTTAAAAGCCTTCAGAAATAGAATTTTTCGGTGCAGGAGTCTAAAAGAGGGCCCTACATGGATTCAAAACTTTTCGCGTCCTTTATAAAATTAATATTCAATAAAAAGTATTATGATACTTATAGCATATGGATAAATTCTTGACATACAACGTTAGACTGTTAGGTAAATGAAATAATCTGTAAATCATTCAAAAGATAACTTATGACATGAGGAAGCAGCTGAAAGGGAAGCAGTAGCATCATCATGTTCATATGGGAGATGGAGAGAAAAGGTGGGGAAGGGAGAAAGGGGAGAGGAGACGGAGGCTTTCGTTTAGGTTGCTATCCCTGAAGCTGGATTATGAGGGCATTTTTACATAGTAGACCTGGAGTTCACTACGCTCAACTGCCAAAGAGCCGAAGCTTCTCAACTTTTTCACGCTCTCTCTCTCTCTCTACCTACACTATCTTTCCCCTCGATCTTGGTTACTTAGCTTCTCCAACGTCCTCTCCCACACACACAGATATTACATATATAATGCATGCAGCTCGTGTTTTTGTCATTCAAGCAAGTGGTGGAGGAAGCAGGAGTGGCGAAGTATTTGCTGGGGCTGGAGATAAAGAGAGGGGGAAGGTGACGGTGTTTGAGGAGGGGTCGAAGCAAGTGGTGCTGGTAGACTTACAGAGAGAATGGATGTGTTGGGTGGCGATGGCATCGGTGTCGGCTTCGAAAGGAGAGAGGCTATCGGGAGTTGCGGAAAGAGAGACTCGAGAAGAAGATGAAGAAGAACATGTGGAAGTTGGAGAGAGAGGGGGAAGGGGGATATAAAAAAATTAATATGAGGCCACAAACAATATTTTATAATAAAAAAATAAAAAATGCAAATATGTTGACTTACACTAAATGAACACTTGCCAAGTTAACGCCAAGGTGCTGGAAAAAGAAATTTGTTACATTCAGGGACGTAAATGATCTCAAGTCGAGTTTAAAATTTTTATTGACCTTTCGTGTATAGTTAAAAGGTAAAATTAATTTTTAACTTCTTAATTAATTAATAAATTAATTAAGTTAATTATATTTTTGGGTTATTGATTGGTGTTTTGATTATTGGTCAATTTTAAGGTGAGAATTAGAGCTGACCAGGTCAAAATGGGAGAGTGAAATATCACGCATTGCGGCATAAAGTAATGTGCCATGACTCATGGTTTAAATTTTTAAATAATAAGATAGTGAATTAGCTTGTGAATTAAAGAGAAAAAGGGTCAGAATACATAACAGGAAGGGTTTTTTTTGCTATAGCAAGGATTTTTAGATACCTAAGAGTTAATTTTGACCTCTTTACATCCCTTTTCTTTCTTGGTCTACCGTATTTTTCTTGGTTTGAGATATTAAAAAATTAAATTTTAAGTTTACAAAGGATTGTTTTCCGGCCTAATAACCACTATAAGGTTGTTGGGAGTTAAATTAAAGATTTATAACTAGATTGGTGGTTATTGATTGAATTTTAGTATCAAGTAGAAGGCTTAAAGTTATGAAAACTTTATATTGAGGTTAATAGGAGTAGTAGAAGTTGTTGAGGTTAATAGGAGTAGTAGAAGTTGTAGGAAGCTTGTAGAGATTAGTTAGGACTTAGAATTGCCCACTGATAGGGGTTAGGAGTTTAAAGTATTTTAATTGTACCAAAGCGTACTTGTGTTGGGTTTGAAAACTAACATATAGTGTTTGAACTTATAGATTATGTTAATTTGGGACCTTTGAGATTATAGAGACTATTGAAGCTAATGTTTTGAGTAACCCTTTTGGTAAAAAAGTTTGAACTAATTGAAAATTCCTATTGTTTATTAACTTGTAAAGTTATTTATAAATTATTTGTGAAATATGTGTGTATATGTGTGTTGTTGTTTATAAAATGTGTAAAGGGGGCAAAAGAACTTTCATTGAAAATGTTCATAGTTAAAATGTATGCAAAAAGTTAGACAATGTGATTTTTTTAAAATAGATTTATTAATTTGAATGAAAATGACACTGTAGATGCTTGAGCATGTGAAAAATGTTAAATAATGTGATTTTTTAAAAAATATATTTATTAATTTGAATGAAAATGACATTGTGGACACTTAAGCATGTGAAAAATGTTAGATAATGTGATTTTTTTAAAAAATAGATTTATTAATTTGAATGAAAATGACACGGTGGATGCTTGAGTAACAAGTAGGAGTTCACCTTAGCTGAAGAGGTGATAAAAATTTATATAGTTGAGCTAGTACTTTGAGATACTTAGTGCAATTAAAGTAGCTTTATATCAATCGAAAAGTGTTCAAAGGATCTAAATATATGATACTTTAATTATGTGACTGTGAGGAATCCGTGGTCCGAAAATGGTTAAGAACACCTTTGGCCGAGTAGTTAGTATATTGAAGGTGAGCCTGGGTCAACTTACTAAGGGGTTGATCATGAGGTAGTCTACGAATTTAGTTGGGGAGTAATAAAGGTTTGGATGGAAATGTAATCATGCACGTGATACACGTAATAAACACATGTATATGTGTGTTTTATAGCTCATATAGTATAAATATATGTTTTTATCATGTTGCTTTAGTACTTGTTCATAATTTTACTTATTAATAAATTATATGAATTATTTTGGTTACTGAAATTTTGTCTTAATCCATAGTTACAATTTTACAGGTTTGGAAGCAGAAAGGAGACAGTGGAAAGAGCAGGGTAGAGAGTAGCTAGCCTACTTGATAGTAAAGCCCTCTTATATTTTGAGTTATTTTGTAAATGATTGTATATAAATAGTATTGCTAGCTAGAGCTTGCATATGTTTTGCATGGTGCTTGTATAATGTGCCTTTAATATGTCATCCTAAATTGCATTATAGGTTACATGTGATAAGGGATGGGACATTAATGCAATCACTTAGCTGTATGAATGCATTTTTGGTAATATTGCGCTTGTAATGTATATGTAAATGTGTGGTTTCTTAGCTTATCGAGTATGCTTGGTAAAACATTAAGGAAATAAGCTAAATTACAAATATATGTCTTTGATGTGCGTGTTGTGTGTGGGATGATTTGGCTTAGAAGTGAAGTTTAGTGAATTTCATGAAATGGCTAACTTGAATCAAGGGAACGAGAGGCCAAATCTTGATTTTCATGTTGTATTGCTTTATAACTTATTAAGTCAAGTGTAAAATGTTCTTTTGGACTCAGTTAAAAGCTTAAAGGAGGTCAATGGCATGAGTCTTAGGTTTTAGATACTTGAATACCTGAAAAACACTTTCAATACTAACTTTATGCATTTAGGTATTTGATTTTTAAATTAATTGTTGGATTGGAGTAAAACTTATCCTATGAGCTAGATTATTTAATGAGTTTCGTGTAGGTACTTGAATCACTCCAATTGAATTTTGTATGTAAAAATGACACGTGTCAGAACTCAGAAGCTTACTTTAGGTGAGCTATCATGCGCATCATGGTGCATGGAAAACATGTCATGATGCAAGGCACAGAGGTGAAATTGAATTATTTATGCCACAAGCCATAACCTATAATTTACAAGCCACAGCAAATATGCTAAGATTGGCAAAAATAATCTTCTTAACCTTTGTTTTTCTTATGTGACTTTTTTCTTAATTATTTCATGCCTTTGTTGTTTCAAAAACTTTATCAGTTTGAACTCAAACTATTGTTTTGAAAGGTTTTGGGATCCTAAATAATTTAAAGATTTTATGAACTAAATTTTAACCTGTTTTGGATTAAGGTAAGTTTAAGAGCTTTGTGAATCCTAATTACTACGCATGTATTGATGTATGGTGATTATTGGTAATATTAAAGCAAACATTATAAGCTGCATGTTTTAGATAAAGGCTTGATGGGAAATTACATCGACATGAAAAAAATAATTAGGAGATCAAAACTCCAACATTTAAAAGTTTGAAGATTCAAAATTTAAATATGCTTAAAACAAAGTTTCTTGGGAAGCACATCTTTAAAAAATAATTTTATAATTTTGCAAAAATAAACCTAGTAAAAAGTGCCTAATGTCGTGTTAACTCCTACATAGAGAACAAATCAATTGTTTTTAACTACAATTGTCTTATGTTGGTCTGTTATTGTACACGTAAATCTACTTTACCTTAAAGCTCATTTATTATCTCACTTTCACTTCTTAGTATATACACACTTAAAGCTCTCCTTAAGTAGGTGATGTGATACAATTCCTTTTGACAAAAAAAAAAAAGAGAGAGCTAAACACACAACATTTTCATCCTTTATTGTTTTTTTGATGTCATGCAATTGCCCAAAAAAAAAAATGACTCTAGTTAAGGTTAAGATTGGCAATAGACATGACATTTTTCTTTTTGTTAATTTTTTTTTTAAAAACATAACTTTAAGTCTTTATATTTTTTTTGTATTTTTGTCCCCTATGTTTTTATTTTCTATTATTTTAAGTCCTTTTATAAGTACAAGAAGTCAAGAACCAATAATAAAATGTAAGAAAAATATAGAGACCTAAAATTATGTTTTTTTTTTTTCAGCTTTGTTTTGTTTTTGGAATCCCTAAATTCCCAAAAAAAAGATTTGGTGTATTGTAATGAAAAACACTATAGAATTCACTTTTGCAGGATTCACAAAAGCGAAAATAAATTTACTCACCTCTCTGTATATTTTTACTTTATCAAAATATGTATAACACTCTATAATAGGTTATACTACTTCAAGTTATAAATAGAGCAATTTGCTTTTCAGACTGCATAGATTCATATAGAGACATATTCAATTTATATCAAGAACCATGAGAGCTTTTCTCTCCACTCGCTTCTCGTTTTCCTTGTCTAGGGAAAGAAAGAATCATGGAAGCTGTGGTCCTTTAAAGGGAACAATGCAGCCATGTGGATTAGAAGATTGACATTTCTAACCAAAATCATGTCGCTCATTTGAAATTGGACACAGAGAAAGGTCAAACACTACAATGTTGTCTCATGGGATTTTTTTTAAAATGAAAATTAAGTAGGAGGGGATTAATAATAGTAACATGCATGACAATATTTTTTAAATAAATTATAAATGTTATTTTAAATAATATCAAATTCATAAGTTATAATCATAAACAAGATATTTAAATTTTAAATATTTTTAACTTACAATCGAACTTATTCATGGTTGTGCGAATTAACATTTATAAATTATTTTTTTAAAATTTTATTAGAACCTAACGCTCATTCATTTTCTTTTTTAAAATTTGTCATTTTTTTACATTATTTTTTTAATTGTAACAAGGTCAATGACAAAATCATATGATAAAAAGTCGAGAAATCAATACAAAAATAGGGCGGGGTGGAGCCAGGAAGGGAAACGCAAAGGTAACTTCTTTTTCTCTCTTGAAACTCAAAGCAACTTTTAATTGAAAGTTAATGAGTTGTCAATCTTATTTATTTATTTTTTCAAAGAAGGCAATCGTCAGATGTCAATGCCGAGAAACCACAGCTCTTGCGAAATCTGGCAAGTGGTACCATTATTGCTTGGCATTGACAGGGGACGCTCTGATATCTCCCCCAGCAGGATCAGAATCGTATAAAGTGCCCCAAAATCCATGGTCAATCTCTGTTTGGTGGTCCTCCTCGTCCTCTCCACCCCTCTCTAACTCCACCGTCACCATTTTCTAGGGCTTACTCGACCTCTCTCACTTGCACCGTGCGAGAGAAAGAGCGTGGAGTGAGGCCGGATCAACGACTAGTACTGGCACTATAAATATTCTGAATTTGTATTTGGCAATAAATTCAATCCGGCTTTGGCTTGTTTTGATCCCCAGCGATTACGATGGCTCCGACGTCGGATTTGGTGCGCACGCTTGAATCCTTGCTGGGCATTTCGCTGGGTGATTCGGTTTCGGATTCGTTGGTTGTCATTGTTACAACCTCGGTGGCTCTTATAATTGGGCTATTGGCATTTGTTTGGAGAAAATCGTCGGATCGGAGCAAGGAGGTGAAGCCGGTGCCAGTGCCGAGTTTGTTGTCAGTGAAGGAGGAAGAGGATGATGTTGACGTTAACTCCGGGAAGACTAAGGTTACAGTTTTTTTTGGCACCCAGACTGGTACTGCTGAGGGCTTTGCGAAGGTACGGTTGCTTGTCTTCAGACGATTTCGGCTTTTTTGGGTACCGTGTCAAGATTATGTTTAACGATTTTTTCTAGGGGCTGGGATTTTCCCCCTGTTCTTCTCTTGTTTGTCATTTATCATGATTACAGCTAATTCCTACTCGTTTCTGTCGCTTCATCCTCATTTTAGTGAATCAGATGCTAGGCCACTTCCTCTACGATACTGATTCCTGATTGACATCGAGGCGGGGGAGGGATGTTCCTGTCTGAGAATTCTTTCTTTGGTTTTTTTTTTTTTTTGGTTTTCGACCTTGAAGTATGTGTTATGAAGGGTGGTCTCTGATTTTAGCTTCTATAACTTATACCCCGGCTTGTTTGATCTGATAGTTTTGGTGTCTATGAAATTTAAGTTGCAGAAGGATATAATGTGTTAATTTAATGCCCCCCCCCCCGTCTCCTACGCTAAACCCTGATCTATGATATGGATAATGAAGATCAAATTACTTCATGACAGGCAATCCTGTATTTCGTTTGATGTCATTGGTGGTATATCATGTTAAACATGCTCCGTTTGCTTGAAAGTTGAAACACCAAGTACAAGCACCAAGAAGCAAGGATACTGATCATAGCAATTAGAAAAAAAAAGTACAAAACAATACAATAGTTTGTTTCAAAAGTTATTTGACTGCAGCATGTGCTAATGTTAACTAGAAAACTATTATAGGTTATGGCCTTATTCAAATGTTTGACTGTAGCATATACAAATTTCCTCCCTTTTCCAATATGCTTAAAATGGTTGTGATTTGACCAACGAGAGTTGGGTCTAGTGGAAGGATTTAGTTCCTTACAATATGGCTAACCAAAGTTTGAATCTCTGTTGAGAGAAGTGCCCACATTTAGTGTCTGATTATGACTTAAATAGGATTGCCTCTAATGAGAGGATACCTATGAGCAATAAAAAAAAGGCTGTGATTTGAAAAAAAAGAGAATGGAAATAGAAAGAATGAGAGTAATTTAGAAATCCATAACTGAACTAATGATAAAGGCTACCTTCTTCCTTCCCATATACAACTATACTAGAGTTTGGTTAGTTTAGAACTCTAATTAACTAACTTCTTCAATGCTAAGTCTGTTAATAGCACTACTAACTTGACTAAATCAGTTACTAACTATTTATTCATATCAGGTTGCCTCAAATCGAAAAACTATTTTGATCTGTTTTCTAAAGAACAGTTTATCTTTTAGTCTACTGCCAATCTTGTTTAACCACCATCTGTTGTTTGTTCCATACCATTTTAATAGGCTTTGGGAGAGGAGGTTAAGGCAAGGTATGAGAAAGCATCTGTCAAAGTTGTTGACCTGGTAAGTTGGATCAGGATGAAATTCAGGCACACTACCATTGTGTTCATTGATTTATGGACCACATGCGTGCGTGCGTGTTTTAAATCACTTAGAGACTTTCAGCATGTTGTTCTATTTCATTAGAACTTGTTGCCTTAAACTTTTGGTTTGACTTAAGATTTCTGGTGTATTTAATTTTAACTAGGATGACTATGCAGCAGATGATGATCTATACGGGGAGAAACTTAAGAAAGAGACACTTGCATTTTTCATGTTGGCCACGTAAGATTTATCTTCGTAAAAATGGTGAAATGAATATGGCTTTTTGAGATGCATTGTTTATTTGATATTTGGACCTTGCATGGCAGCTACGGAGATGGAGAGCCTACTGACAATGCTGCAAGATTTTACAAATGGTTTATTGAGGTATGGTTAAATCAATGGCTTAAGTAAATCATAGTTTGTGGTCTCATATGCCTTTTGTGGAAGGTTCTAATATACTGGCCCTAATTTACAGGGAAAAGATGAGCGGGGAGCGTGGCTTCAACATCTCACATATGGTGTTTTTGGCCTTGGTAATAGGCAATATGAGCATTTTAATAAGGTAAAACTAGGATGTTTTAATTTGACTTAGCTGGGATCATTAATTGTTATCTAATGGTATTCTTCTGTAACAGATAGCTAAGGTCATTGATCAAGAATTTAGTGAACAAGGTATGTAATTTATCAGCTAAATATTCTTGTCGTCTTGTAAATATTAGGGTGATATAACTTTTCCCATTGGATTTATACTGTGCCATTGGCATCAAATCTATTGAGTAACTTCCTTTTTCTGTTTGCTTAGCATGAACCATGGACTACTACTTTATATATAAGGCTTAATGAAATTTAGAGTATTATTGGCTTTACAATGAAATATCCTTATGTTTAGAATTGTTTTTGCACCAGGTGCAAAACGCATTGTTTCTGTTGGACTAGGTGATGATGATCAATCTATTGAAGATGATTTTGCAGCTTGGTAAGTGTAGTCCTGCTGCTCCTGCCTGCCGCTCATGTATTGGTGTGCTGTTGCTATTTTGTATAAAAAAATGGATGATTGTAGCAACTGCTTTCTGCATTTTAAATTTCATGAATTGGCCTTTCCTTTGCAGGAAGGAATCTCTCTGGCCTGAGTTGGATCAATTGCTCCTAGATGAGGATGATGTGAATAATGTCTCTACGCCTTATACGGCTGCTATACTGGAATATCGAGTAGTGATTCATGATCCCACTGTCACATCATGCTATAATAATCATATGAACATGGCAAATGGGAATGCTGTGTTCGACATTCATCATCCTTGCAGGTGCATGAAGTTTTGCATGTTGACTTCATGACTGTTATTTTATGTTATAGTAGGTTACAACTAATTCTTGTTTCTCTTTTTGAAGGGCCAATGTTGCTGTTAGAAAAGAGCTTCACAAACCTGAGTCCGATCGTTCTTGCATACATCTGGAGTTTGATATATCAGGGACTGGAATATCGTAAGTCAGACCTCATTTATATTAATGAACAGCAAATTCGTAAATACTACTACTATCTAGTATTAACATTGAAGAAATTTCTTGATAGGCGGGTGGGGGCGGTGGATCTATGTGAATTATGTTTTATATTTAGAAACACTAAATTAACTTTGAAGGGTGTTTGTTCTTGAAGAAATTGCTTAAAAGTATTGATCTGTGAAGAGATATCAGATTTTAAGTGTGTGAAGCTTCTTGGGGTATTATAAGCATACAATTATGTAATGTTTTGGGTGATCCTTTAAAGGATTGTAAAGTGATTGGCAATTGATTATGGTTTGATGTTGTGCTCACTGCTCCTATTAGATGGAAGGTAACATGTTCCGCATCCAGTTCCTAGATTATGGCAGAATTAAAGTAGCCGGTTTGATAACTTTTATCTGATCTTCCCAGATATGAAACTGGAGATCATGTGGGTGTTTATGCTGAAAACTGTGATGAGACTGTTGAAGAAGCTGGGAGGTTGTTGGATAAAGATTTAGATCTCTTGTTTTCTCTTCACACTGATAATGAGGATGGTACTCCTTTGGGAGGTTCTTTGCCGCCTCCTTTCCCTGGTCCTTGTACACTACGCACTGCATTGGCTCATCATACTGATCTCTTGAACCCTCCTCGAAAGGTTTTTATATGATCATCCAAGTGCTTGTCATTTTTTACTTGTCTTATTCTGTAAACAATCAGTTTTACTTGTTACAATAGTGGTTTTATTAGGGATATGTCCAACTTTATATATTTTTAAAGAGGGGACATTTATGCATGTTCCTGTTTCAGGCTGCTTTAGTTGCTTTAGCTGCTTATGCATCTGAACCTAGTGAAGCTGAGAAATTAAAGTTCCTATCATCTCCTCAGGGAAAGGTGAAAAATTGCTAGTGCTGTTTGTATCTTGCTTTTTAAGTGTGATCCTGCTCTTCTTTCTTGGATGAATGTGGGTTTTTAATTTTCCAGGATGAGTACTCTAAATGGGTGGTTGGAAGTCAAAGAAGTCTCCTTGAGGTAATGGCTGAGTTTCCTTCAGTAAAACTTCCCCTAGGTTTGTTCTTTGCAGCAGTAGCCCCTCGGTTACAGCCTCGTTATTATTCAATTTCATCATCTCCTAGGTTAGTATCTTAACCTACCTAAAAATATCTAAACTAAACTTTATAACTTGCCATATAATTCTGCATTGCGTTGTATTTGTTCTCCAGGTTTGCACCACAAAGAGTACATGTAACTTGTGCCTTGGTTCATGGTCCAACTCCTACTGGCAGAATCCACAAAGGAGTATGTTCAACCTGGATGAAGGTAGCAGTTTGTTACAGATGGGCTTCTTCTTTAGTTATATGTACCCTGTCTAAACTTCTCAAATATTTTGTTTTCATCTTTTACTGATTCTTTTCCCCACTTTATGCAAGGCTGGATCATGCTATATCTTAACTAACTTAGAGCTTTATCACATATTCTCAGAATGCTATTCCCTTGGAGAAAAGTTCTGACTGTAGCTGGGCTCCTATTTTTATAAGGCCATCAAATTTCAAGTTACCAACTGATCATTCAATTCCTATAATAATGGTTGGACCTGGTACTGGCCTGGCACCTTTTAGGGGTTTTTTACAGGTATGAATGTATCATGGATTCGCATAATTCTCTAAATTAATGGAAGATACTGAAAATTATGGAATGAATTAGGGAAATTTGGAGAGAGTGGAAATGGAACTGTTGGAAAGTGAAGGATGGTAGAGAACAATTAGAATCTGACCGTAGTTGAAAGATATCTGACCGCTTCATTCCAAACTTAAAAAGAAAGATGTCTGCTGTAAAATACCTCCTCCTGATTCTATCTAGATCAGAAGCCCCCATTTTGCAGTAGTTTTTTGAATACAAATGTAGCTAATCATATTTTAGTAAAATCCTAATTCTGAATTTGTAATTAGCAAAATGTAAATTCCCAAAATATCAGTTGAACCCTATTTTTGTCTTGGGCTAAGTGGACATTGTAAACTCAAGCTACCATTGAGCCAGCTCTCAACTGGTATTGGTTAAACCATAATTCCTAAACTAAATAACACCGTTGAATCACTGAAACTTTTATATACGGATTTTTATTCTTTCTGCTGCCAGTGGACTTCAACTTACACAGTGACTCAATTTGCTTGGCACTTGTCCAAGTCCTTTGGTTCACCCTAATATCCTTGTTATAGAATATAAACATGTGCTTATTCTTGAGTCACCCTTTATCTTTGATTTATCCAGGAAAGATTGGCCCTCAAAGAGGATGGTGCTCAACTTGGTCCTGCATTACTCTTTTTTGGGTGTAGGAATCGTCGAATGGTGAGTTAATTGTTGGTGTACTCTCAATTCCAGAGAAGTCTTAGAAGGGTGTGTAATTTTCCTTTTAATATTGGTCTGTAGGATTTTATTTATGAAGATGAGCTGAAGAATTTTGTAGCACAAGGTGCTATATCAGAGTTGATTGTTGCATTCTCTAGGGAGGGACCTGACAAGGAGTATGTTCAACACAAGATGATGGATAATGTAAGTGCAGATGGAATCCTTGCAGGGAAAAAATGCCACTGATAAGAATAGTTTATTTCATGATTTTTGTATGTGCAGGCAGCAGATCTGTGGGGTCTGATTTCTCAGGGAGGTTATCTTTATGTCTGTGGTGATGCTAAGGGTATGGCCAGAGATGTTCATAGGACTCTACATACCATTGTCCAGCAGCAGGTGCAGATTCTCTTTTCATCACCCTCTTCTGACCCTTATTGAACAATGTTAACTTGTCTTGTTCCTTACCATGGTTATAGGTTGTTGCTTTTCAGTCATGCCAACTTGTATGAGAAAATGAAGGTTTTGAATTCTCTTCTGAAATGGATGCTTTGAAATACGTGTTTTTGTGGAGGATTGTTTGATAATTAGGCTTGTTTTAAGAGTATAAAAACCAATGTTACTCTAGGTGAAAACGCTCATGCTAATTTCATTTGCCAAATGCAGTATTCAGGCTGCAATCTAGCAGGAATCAAACTTTTATCTGAATTCTTTTGGTGAATTTTCTTATCATTTAGAACCATACACTGTTCTTCTGTCATAAAGAGTATTGATATCATCCTATAACTGTCAGTATTGGTGCTTAAAATATGGAGAAATAAAACATTCTTCTATGGATTCTGTTTGCGTGGCCTATGGAGTATGTGTGGATGCTTGTTGATTCTTTTTGACATACTTGTGCTCTCTGCATTTTTTTATAATTGGTATTTCCTAGGTCCTAACTATCTCGATTGATTGTTATCCTTGACATTGTTCTGTTTAGTCTTTTTTGGAAAGGCATTAAATTTATGATTGTGTACTTCTGACTGCTTCAACTGAAGTCCTGTATGCTTCGTACTTGAACTTTGTCTTGAATTGTGTGTTGAATTGAATTTCAGGAAAATGTGGACTCATCCAAGGCAGAGGCGATAGTGAAAAAACTCCAAATGGATGGACGATACCTTAGAGATGTTTGGTGATTTTTCTGATTGTTTGTTGGTTGGGAACAAGTGTGGTATCCTTGTTACCGTAAAGTAGTAAGGAGTTTTAGGATGCTGATGGTGGAGACCGAAAAGGGTTTTCTTGAGAAAATGAAATGATTTTCTGGACCTGCCTCTTTATGTTGAGAAAATTAATCATTTTGATTTTGTTACGACTCATTCTTTAAACTTTAACTTCTCATAACTTGGTTTTTATAATTTTAAATCGGTTATAATTTAGTCCATGAATTTTGACTTGGTGTAACTCAGTCCTTATAGTTTTAAACATTTAAATGTTGGTCCTTTTATTTTAGCAAAAAAATTGAAAATATTAAAATTATTTTAGAATTTTAATCTTTTATAATTATAAAATTAATATTTATAATTTTTTTAAAATATAAGAATTAATATTTAAAATTATTAAATTATAAGGACTGAGTGACAATGAATTAAAGTTCGAGAATTGAGTTGTAACCGAATTAAAATTATAAAAATTGAGTTATAATGAGTCATAGTTGAGAGATTGAGTTATGATTAAATTAAAAATTTAAAGATTAAATGATTAATTTTTTTTAATATTTTTTTCATTCTATATTGTTGTGATAGATTAGACCTCTTCTGAGCTAGGGTTGACCGTAAGGGGGACTGAATGATAGGTAATCTCGAGTCGGCAAACACAGGTTGCAAGAGCTATGAATAATTGTTAGATTGGCGAAACTAGTTGATAAAGCTTGTGTATATTATTGTACTGTCTCTCATAAAGTAATGTTATATTCTTTTTATCTCAACATTATTGTTCTTTCAACCGTAGATTTTCCCTGACGCATAATTTTATCAATTATTTAGCTATATCACTGTGGACAGGCATTGTAAAAGTTTGAGAATGGGTTCTGTTTGGGGCAGTGCGGGCCGCTGTTGTGTGGTCATCTCAGCTATTTACTGTGTGTTTAAATTCGAGCGGTCCAGGGCTGGGCTTGCTTTTTTTTTTTTTAATAAATATTTTTTTATTCTTAAAAGCTCTATTATTCTTTTAACTCTTTTATTCTTAAAAATGTTAGCCTTTAAACCTTCAATTTCCTCCTGCTTGACATCAGTGTTAAAATTTCAGCATCATGTTTTAACAGAAGCCAAGTTAGCAGACACATGGATTAAAAATTTGCAGGAAAATATCAATAAAAACTTTTTAACCGGACTTATTTTAAGTTAAAACCCTTAAATTTTTAAAATATCATTACAATTCAGGAGTCTTGATTTTTGATATAAAATTTTTAAGAGAAATGATAAAATTAATTATTATTTAAATTAATATTAAAATTATTTCACTTCACTTATTCATTGTCTTACTTTATTTATTTAATTTCTCATAAAATGTTGTTCAATGTCTTATTTCATTTATTCATTGCCAAAAGTAACAAAATACATTATAATAACTAGAGGCAAAAATATGGATCAAGTTATGTGGGTTGGCTTGAATAATCAGTCATAAGAGTCGGATTGGGTTTAAAAAAAAGATCAAAATAAAAATAAGTTTTTTCTGACTTAGACCATATAATTTGTGAAACATATGGATTAATTATGATGAGTTATAGTTGGCCCGTTTAACCTCATTATTTTTAGAAAATTAAAAAAAAAAGAAAAAAATTTTGTGAATATAAATAATATTAGATATGATTTACTTAATTGTATCAATTTATATATTTTGTACAAACATTATAAATTAATATTTTGATATATTTAGAATGAATTAGAAAGAAATATTAAATTAAAACTTATTATTTACATATATTTATCTAAAAAAATTCATAAACAATAAATTAAAAATAAAAAAAGAGGTTGGCGAGTTGGCTCATCTCGCCAATTCTTAAGAGTTGATTTGGATTGAAATTTTTTTAACCCATATAAAAATGGGTTAAATCAATCTAACTTATATCTCTCTCAATCCATATGGGTTGGGTTGATCCATATTTTCACCTTTAATAGGAACAAACAAATTATTTTAAAATAATTTAAATATCTAAAATGAAATCAAGTAAAAGTAGGGTAATGGACAAGTGAAATAGGGTAATGAATAATAGCCCATAGGTAAGTGAATAATATACAATATAAGAACTAACAAGTTGTTTTAAAATAATTTAAATACCTGAAATGTAATAAAGTAAAGTAAGGTAATTAGCAATATTTTATAAGTAAATGAATAAGTAAAGTATAGCGATTTTAATATTAATTTAAATGAGAGTATAACTTTGTCATTTTTCTAAAAATCTAATGTCAAATCAAGATTTTTAATTTGTAGTGATATTTTAAAAACTAGACACAGCCCCGTGCGTTACACGGGTAGGCAAATTCAATAAAATGTAAATTTAAGTAATGATATTAGAGTTCAAAAAAAAAAAAGCCATAATGTGTAGTACTTAATCAAAAAGAAAATGACGTATAACTTAACAATAGTTATTATATGCCCGAAAAAAAAAGCTTGATCAGGAAGTCGAGCATTTGTTAACAAAGTTTGCTATATTTGTAGCTCAAAAACAAAGTAAAAAAAATTAACCATTTACAGTTTTGCATAGTAAAAATAAAATGCCAACTTAAATTTGAAATTGTGTAAAAGATGAATATCATTCATACAATCGTGTTGCACAAGTTGGCTAATCCTTAACATATACTCCCTCTACCTCAAATTATAAAATTTTTAGACAAAATCTCACGTACCAATAGAATTTATTAAATACATTTTACAATTTTACTTTTCAAGACAAAAATATAAACTTTTAAAAATATCCTTTATTTAATACTCCATTGATAAAAGAACATTGAAGAAAGAGAATATATGGTAAGGATAACATTAAAAAAGTATCATTAATAATACCTTACTTTTATCAAAGTGTCTTATATTTAAAAACGTTAAATTTTTTCTAAAAGTGTCCTATAATTTGAGATGAAGGGAGTAATATATATCACCATGTGCAATGGGTTGGCTAAACACACATATGGCTATATTATAATATTACTTTATTATGACACATACACACATATAGTTATACTATAATACTACTAACTACAGGTTGATCTTTTGACTCTCATAATATTATATGATACACACATATAAATTTAAATAATGATAGTATATAGTCCAAACAATTACACCATAATATGTGACACATGATTAAGAAAGATAAATGAAGTATTACCTAGATAAAGCTATTGTATTTGGCAAAAAAAAGTTTAATAAGGATGTCATTCTTCACTATGTAGTCAACTCAAAAACATTAACAAAAAATCATACATTCGTACCTTAAAAAGTTTTAAAAAAATTGTAAGGTTAGAGGTAATGAGAGATTTATTTGTGCATTGTATTAATAGTATTTGACATCTAAATGAGTAAAATTGAACTAAATAGCTAATTATTAATTTATATTTCAAACAATTTGATTCCCACATAAACTTCTAGTACAAATAACATGCATAATGCACAATATAACTTTGCTACCAATATAATCTTACTTAACTTGGCCCATAAATAAAAGTAATAAAATAATATATAGGTAGAGGCAAGGGGGCTCTTGCCCAACACTTCCATCCAAAAAAATAAGTATATCATACATATTCATACATATAGAAGTGAATTTGGCTCAAGGAAAAATACATGTAAAAACCATTGTCCATAGAATAAAATTATTCTCCAAAGATAAACAACTAAATTGTAGAATCTAGAATACTGTAAAACAACTCTGCAAAGGCTCGTGACTAACTCATCCTATAAACTTGCTCAAGCTAATTTATTTATAGGAATAAAAAACTATTATTGTAACAGGGAATAGTATAGCCACCATACTCACACAGCATTCTTTTAGTCTTTCTCATTTTTCTTTAATGGCTTACAAAAAGCAGCTTGCCTATTTCTATCACCAAACAAAGCTGAAGAGGAACTTTTGTGTCACGAGTCATGATGCCAATCAAAACAACAGACAAATATTGTAAAGAACAAACTGAAAGAAGAAAACAGATCCAGCAATGCATCAATGGAATCGAGGTAGGAACATGCAAGAATATCAGTGTAATTTTAAAGCATGTCCTGGTCAAAATAGGCAAGAGAACATGTGAGATCAGCCCATCCATTGATACAATGTAATGAGTTAAGTCCTGTGTACCAAATACAAACCATGAAAGAGGGCAAAATAGGCTGATGGGACCTTTTTTAAAAAGCAAACAGAAAAATATTACTGTGCAATAGAAACTAACTGATGGATAAACTATGTAACCTTAATATATTACATGCTATCATATTATTTATGATATAGGAAAAGCAAAAAATCAATGCGTAGGTTGTAGATTTCATTACACAATACTCAAGGTGTCCTTCCATATCGCCATCCTTTAAAAAGACATCCTATCAATGGATATATATATATATATATATATATATTGCTAGCTGTAAGCATACATTAGTTTCAATTTAAATAATGACAGAAGGCAGCTCGAAATCTACGGGTGAGATGTCCCTGCTAGTACATTGCACTTCTCTGCATAAAAATAAAAACATGTTCAAAAACAATTTACAAAAACAATCAAGATATGGGGGAGAAAATTCAATATAATAAATATAAATGTTAGATGGTAATATTCTAACTTACTTTGGCTGGACTCTAGTTGAATAATAAGTCTCTCAAGTACAAAAAGATCTGAGCTCTTTGTGGAAAGATCATCTGAACTCTCCTATAATTAATGGACACAATGAAATATATAGATAGAATAAGGAACCACACATTATAATTTATAAAACTCAACTGTTTTAATGAGGGCAGGAAACCATAAATTAACTACAAACATTCTTTCTCTTCATCTTTAACTCCGTTCAGTTTACTGCTTCCAAAGATTGTGGATATCCAGCACTAATCTCAACCTGAAAGGGAGAGAAATCATTTATAAGAAGCCATCTGATGATCCATACAACAAATCAAGTGTTAAACTAATAAAAAGAAGTTAGAAATCAGAATAAAAAATAAAGAGAAGAAAGGACAAGGATAATTCAGGCAAAGCTAATAAAATAGAGCTGTGATATTTGAGGGTGAAGATAAGATTCTAATGATGTCATGGTGGCCACTCAATTTGAAATTCAAATTCAAACTATTAATAATGAATTGGTCACATGTCAGAAGGAAAGTACTACTATGAAGATGTGTGTAATGGGAGTGTCAGTGGAAGTAAGTAATAGACACAACGATAGTTTTTTAGGAGCTAAAAGGAAAATACTACTGTGTAATAGAAAATAACTGATAGATAAAGTATAAAACCTTAATGTCTTATATTCCATCAGATTATATATGATATGGGGACTGATAAAAAATAGGAAGCACATTTCATACTTCAGTGCACAAGGATCAAAGTATCCTTTCATACCCTATATCCTAACAACCATGTCCTATCATACTTAATAAATATGAACCTTTATCAATACATTGAGTAGCCATAGGTGTAAAGCTAATCCTGTAGACTTATATCGGTCAATCAACAGATTATTCATAATCTATAAATAACAAAATCACAAAAGCAATCCTGTAGACTTATATGCTTTTTAAGTACATTTGAAATCCATGTTCTAGCTTCTTCACCCTCCCACACACAGTAGCTACCATACAAATAAATAGAAGATTGAAGAAGAAAAAATAGGGTAAATAACTAATGATTAAGCCTAAAAAAAGTTAAAAGAGAAAGAAAAAGAAAATAAAAGAATCCTTTGAACATGTTCTTACTCCATGTGGTGTTAGTTCAGTTGTTATTCTTCTTCATCATCACCGCTGTGCTTGTGGGTCTGCAGGGACTCGATGCTTTAAACATATTAAGCACCACCAATCCCATCTTCATTAGTTCTAGGTCACCATTGTTGAGTTCAATTATTCCTTCTACATCACTGAGCTTATGTAGAGGACTGGTGATAAAGATAAAGAAACATAACAGACAATTAAATTGATGGGTCAGTTTCTCAACTATTTTAATTATGTAGAGGCAAACCTTTTTAATTATTTAGGAAAGAGGATGGTGACTTGGCTTCATATTTATCTTAAGCAAAGTCAATATATGTCGTGACAAATTTAAATCCTCAATTATTTTGTTACTTATATTTAAGAAAATAGCAGACAGTGATTTGATGGTAAAAGAACATATTATAAAAGTTTAAATGCTTAGGATAATTGAGCTCAGTGTTAGTTCAGTTGTTATTCTTCTTCTTTATCACTGCCGTGCTTGTGGGTCTGCAGGGAGTCGATGCTTTAAACATATTAAGCACTACCAATCCCATCTTCATTAGTTCTAGGTCACCGTTGTTGAGCTTAATTATTCCTTCTGCATCACTGAGCTCATGGAGAGGACCGATGATAAAGATAAAGAAACATAACAGACAATTAAAATGATGGGTCAATTTCTCAACTATTTTAATTATGTAGAGGCAAACCTTTTTAATTATTTAGGAAAGAGGATGGTGATTTGGCTTCATATTTATCCTAAGCAAAGTCAATATATGTCATGACAAATTTAAATCCTCAATTATTCTGTTCCTTATATTTAAGAAAATAGCAGACAGTGATTTGATGGTAAAAGAACATGTTATAAAAGTTTAAATGATACATTTTAAACCATTGGCAGGTAAAGTGATTGGCATATAATTCAAAATAGAGAAAAATGTTCAATCTATCTACCAATCCTTTCAACATAAAATATTGTCAAAATCTTATTAGGACATAAAAATGGCTAATAACATTAATACTTGAGCATAAATACAATAAAAGGGAACGAAGAGAGACCGAGATGACCTCTTTGGTTCCTTGCTCTAGCAATGTCGATGGCAGCAACTCAGCAAGTCCTATAGTTTGAGGTTGATTATTCTGTCTCTTTCTTCTAAAAGAATACATATCATTTCTCCTTCTCTTCACCATAATTCAACATCAATCCTTGATCCCTGCAGAATAATGTAAAAATGACATTTTGATAGTTAAAAAGCCAGATGCAGGGAATATAATAAATGGTTAAGATTTGATACCTTGGTGGCTAGATGATGAAGTTCACAAGTTGTTCCATAGATTCAAACAATGATGACGCCTTTCAGCTCTTTAAGATAATATATATCTTCAAAATACATAAAGCATGTATATTGGCCGAAAGTGTAGAAAAATTGAAGCAGCCCAGGAAGAAAATGGGAGAGATTAAGGATTTTCCTCACGAGTGACGACAGTTTTTTGAAACACAAAAGGCCAAAAAAAAAAAATAGACAATAATTTTCTGGCTTGTCTATGGTGTAACTAAATTTTTGTTACCGACTTCAATTTCCCGTCATGTCCACAGCAGAGCAATGGGATAAGATGTAGAAGGAAAGATGAGAATAGGCAGACAGAGAAAAGGTAGCCTATACCTACAGTAAAGGAAGAGGTGGTCAGAGGAGTCAAAGGATCTGTGGCTTGACAAAAGTAGTGGTTGGAGTTGAAAGAATTGGAGAACCTTTCCTCAAATGTGAGTTGAGTGATTGAGCTTACAGGAGAAGTGAGGATGCCGAGACAGAGCAAATGGGTAGGAAAACAAATTAGTCTAGTTTTGTGTGGTTGAGCGATTAGGCTTGTAGGAGAAGTCAAAAGCCGGGTACTGTTGCCCTCTGAAAAATGATGATAATGCCGTATAAAATAAGCAAGGAAGTCTTATAAAAAATCTTCTCTCAGATCCATGTATTAATTAAACCTCCCCTCGAGCCGTGCGTTGATGGCGTGAAGCTGACACTGCAGCTAAAGTCAGGTACTGTTCATAGAGCTGATGAATAGTGTTTAGTGTCTGGAGCTGTGTTTTAGGAGCGGCTTGTTTGAAATAGATTTGTTATTAAACTTGATTTAAATGCTTTGGTTTAAAATAGGTTTGAAGGGGGTCTTTATTGATCCCCCCCCCCCCGGGCCCAAATTTGCTGCCTCTTTTTTTAAGGGAATAAAAACAAATACTAGCATCCGAAAACGAAGGTGGATCTCTTCTGCGTCCTAGGAGTTGTGCGATTCTGTTCGTCTTTCTTCGGCAAATTCGCTCGCGATCATCGCCTCCTTGAAATGATTTTCGTATCTCTTTAGCCGGCGATTTCCGTTTGTCTCTTCGGCGATCCACTCGCAACAACAAAAGGTGTTTAGTTCTTTTCTCTCTTCTCTCTTCGACGATTGTTGTTTCTCTATTTGCTGATTTTCCTTTCTTCTCGTTCTTTGTTAGCGATTTTGAAGGATTAAAGCCACTATCAGATTTTCTTTAACTGAAATAGTAATACCTACTCCACTTCATTTTGTAAAATTTTTCTGTTAGGATGCAGGTTCGTGTGGCGTCCGCGTTCGGTGCTCAGCGGAAAGATGAGCACCGAATGCTCACCAGGAAGGCGACGCCGTTGATTTACTTTAGGTTCAGATCACATGTAATTCTTTTTCTCGCATTTTCATCTGAAGCTTGAAAGTATGGGGGACCTTGAAGTAGAGGCTGAACGGTGGATGACGGGGCCAACCATGAATTCGTCCGTGGACTTCGGGGGTGATGCAGAATGAGTGACATTCCATGGATTCCTCCCACTTTTCCTTTATTTCGTGTTGGGCTAATCTTATTGAGGCATTTGAATTTTTTTCCCCCTTTATCAATTATAATTTGATTATTATTTTGATAGGAAGTAGAATAAAAACTTTTTTAATGGCTTGTGATTTCTGGTTGATGAGACATTCCCCGTTTCTGGGAATAGTATAATTGGACTTGACTTTGCTGGATTTAAGTTAAACATGTTGCAACAATATTTAAATATATTCTGGAAATAGTTTTCCAGGAGCAAAATTGGACTTGACTTTACTAGATTTAAGTTAAAGATGCTGCAACAATATTTGGATGGCTTTGTGATATTAGCTTTGTTAATCTGGGTTGTTAAATATCGTGACTGGGACTGTTAATCTGGATGGTATGCTGCTAAATTTAATTGATCAATTTTCAAGCATGGATTCTGGTTTTTCTGAAAGATTCTGCTACATTTATTGCTTTCTTATTGCTGTAGGGAGTAATTGTACGTGAAAATTTTCGTGAATAATTGTACATGTTGAACTGAGATGTGCACAACTTGTTCTCTTGCTGAAGCAGATACATAAAAGCAAGACTGAAAGTTGTCAAAAACTGAGCAATGCAAGCTGAAGGCCAGCAAATTAAGAAAGAGATGTCAGAAAGAGAACATTTATTATTTTTATTTTTTGAATGAAATTTATGAGTTGTTTTTTGGTTCCATGTAATTCCAGTAATAATAGCTGCACAAAGTAGTCGTAAATGAAGATTTCAAACGAATAGCGGTATTTATTCATTTTCATATTCTCATCTACAGAAATTGCTTTACATTGGACTCTCGCACATTTCATACATATAGCATTGCTTTCCATTTTACTCTTTTGCACAGTTCAACAAAGTATAGCAATGGCATTTGACTTCATAGGACAGCAGCCATCTACACCTGCAACTTGCAGCACTGTCCAATGCAATCAACCAATCAAAATAGAGCAATTTAATTTCCATTTTTCTCAATCAATATGAAATTGCAATGTCATTTTTTCTCCCTGTAATATCAGATGCAATTAAACAGATTACTTGTGTTGATGCTAATGCAATATAATTTATAGCATGTTGCAGCAAGAGCCATGAATGCCCAAAACACAAGAATTGTGTCTTTATTATCAGACTATTACATTTTATAGATTCAACCTTTTTATCTAATTTTCCAACAACCACAATCATGCATGCTGTAAATTACTTAGTGCTTTTGATTACCCAAAAAAGGTGGTGCTTTACTGATATCTCCCTTGTTCCAACAAACATATTGATGCAGCTGTTTCATGTTATAATGATCCAATGCCCATGAGAGGCAATATATGTTTATTATAGTGATACAACAGATGAACTTTCGATTAAGTTCCGGAAATCTATCAATTTCATCTTAGTACCAAATGAGGGGCAAAAAATTACCAGAAACCAATCATGTGCTATCGATTTCCACAAAATTAAAAAAATTGGAATTTTAGATTCAAAGCCTTGGATCAGTTTCATGACAAAAAAGAGGTTTCAGAAACATCTTACATCATCCTCCGTCAAGACTCCATCGAATTCCCTCGTAGGCTCAAATTGGCAACCCACCCATTTCTACCCTCTACCATGCAAGGGCTTTCAAAATTAAACTTGCAGCGAACACACCAATGTCGATAGTCTTAGATATCATCGGTGAAATTATCTTAAGAATTGGGTGGTGTATTACCTTCACGAAGAAAGTAGAAGAGAAACAGATCGGAGGAGCAGAGAAGGAAAATCGTTGAAGCGAGCAATATCCGTTGTCTACTGCGAGTCTTCATTTTGCTTCAATTAACTGAAGGACGAAAAATCGTTAGGGAGAAGGAGAGAACGCTGAGCCTTATTATTCAAAGAAGGAGAGATAGCGTGCGTTTTCCTTCGATGCATCTTGTACCTGTGTCCATAAAAAACTGACTCAGCAATTTCTTGTTTATATATTTGCTGAGTAAGACTCCGTTAGGACACAACGTTAAATTTTAACACCCTTTGCCATGCTAGAGCCTAATGAGCGTCTGGGGAGCAATGTGTTCAGCAGTTGCAACTTTCAGGAGTGAATTGAAAAAATTAGAATTCCAAGGACCAAATTAACACCTGAGTGAAATTATAAAGACCAAAAATTCGTTTTTTCCTGACTGTAAAAATTTAAAGATAATATAAGAAAATGCTCTCGTACAACCTACAGAGAGTAAACACTAGTTGTATTAAATACCAAAGCCTCAACAATTTCTTTGCGAAGTGCATTATTCTTCCTAAATTCTTCTTTATGGCTGAGAAAACTTGAGCAGACAATAGATGCAATACTTTATTTCCAAAACTTCTGCACATTATGAATGAATTATCAGAAATTCTAGATAGATAAATTACATAAAATACAGTAGTGGATTAAAATACGTGCAACCCAAAAAAGTTGGCAATATTCTAATATATATATGTATATATAATGAAGCAAATACATCACAACGGAATCTCCATTTGCGCAAAAGACATGCGGTCTCATAGAAACCGAGCCAGTCGTGAGAGAGAACCATTACAAACGTTGGAGACTTTCAAAGTAGAAAAAACAAATTCATATATATTAGAAAATTCCAAATGAAGGACATGGAAGTTGGTCTATATTGGGGAATTGTTGTTGGGTGCTGCTACATCACTATACATTGGATTCACGCACGCGAAGAGGGATTGCTTTGATTGCTTTTGCCTTTTTAACTTGACGCCAAATAAGAAAGATCTCAAAGGTATTCGCATCCGGCTTGCGGAGTGTTTCAAAGGGGGCTGATTGTTAATCCCATAGGCTTGGTCCAATTCCGATAGCGTCTTCTCAACTTCATTCTTCAGTCCCTTGACAAGACCTAGACCTGCTTGCAGCTCAATAGCAACCTTGTTGTTCTCCTGTTTCATGTTGGTAATCTCACCTTGAAACTTGGCAGCCTGGTACTCGCTTAACCCTGTGTCAGAGCCTCCGTTGGAGGCTCTGGATATTTCATCTTGGATGTTGCTCAAGGATGAATCTCTACCCTGAAATTCGTCCTGCAATATCGCATTATGTTCTAGCCACAGTGATAACTCCGTTCTTATCTCTCTCAGGTGTCTGAATATAGGCCGAACTTCAGAATGTATGGACTGCTTTGAACTCCCTTCTGCCCTGCTGTTATTCTTTATTTTTGACAACTCCGCTTGTAAGTCCTGGATGGAGTTTTGGAACTTCTGAATCTGATGAACCGAGGTGCTAAACCTCAACCAGAAATCTAGATTCTCCTCCAGCAGATCATCAATATCTGAACGCAGTTTCTGTTCGAAGGGTGAAAGAGCGTGAGGTTTGTCATCAACCTGGTTTTCCCCCACCTTTCCTTCATGCTTTTTGATGGTTGAAATTTCGGAGTCCTGCAACTTAGCTTCTTGTTCTTTGCCTCCTTCTTGAGTTGTATATGTATATTCTGTCATTGCAGTTAACGGAGTTTCATCTGGATTCGCTTCCGGGCATCCCAACTTCTGACGTAAGAAGTTCATCTCTTCATCCTTCATGACGAGAGAATTCTTCAATTCTCTTACCTGACGTGACAACTCAAAAATGCTGTCCTTATTTTTCTTCTCCGCCTCGTTTAGCCTCATTCTTACGTCCCCATAGTTCCTTAAAATTAACGTGTACTCCTCCAACAAAATCTTCTCTCTATCATCTAACCCATTTACGAACATTTGTCTCCAGTTAGGTTGGTCTTCTCCCTCACCACCCCCAACATCGTTTGATTCAGTGTCAACGTTACTTGCTGTCTCAGAACAATCAGCCTTATCCTGCTGCAGTATTTTTTGAATTCCTTCATGCATAAAGTTAGCATTTTCATTCAATTTGAACATGTTCTCTTCGTTTATGACATAGCCAAGATCCGCAGCATCATATTCCCTCTCCTCCTTTGTTGTCTTGAAATCCTTCAAGATTGCTGATTTATCAGCAGACAACTGATCATTATGTTGTTCAGACATCCTTTTTAGTTTACCTTCGTGAGTGCTTTTTGTGTCCTTGTAGAGAACCAAGTTCTCAACTTCCTCATCTTGCTTCACATCGTGCAATCTTTCAGAGAGGTGCTCAAGATTACAGCTAGCCTCAGTGAAGTGTTTTCGGAGGCTACTGTTTTGGTGTTCCACGTTTTTTTGTAGATTTTTAACTTTCCTTAACTCGTCCTCCAGTTCTTTCAACTTATTTTTCATTTTGGTTGAATCTTCTATCAGTATTTCCTTGTCCTCTTGCAATCTTCGTATATTTTTCTGAAGTTCACCCGTCTCTGATCTCAGTCTCTTTACCAGAGCAGTCTGAGAAGAGACTGCAGTTTCCAGGGTAACAACCTTATTTACAAGGTCATCAATTCTTTCTGCCATTTCTGTTACAGTGAGAGAGTTTGTTGAATCTACTTCTAGCTGTTCCTTAATTTTCTCCCTCAACTGTCCCACATCACGTGTCATTTTTTCTAAGCTTACCATCTCTTCATCTATGCTCTTTTTTTCTGATCTGCTGATCTCAGATTTATCCCCATGATCGTCTGAGTCTAAGTAATTCCCATGTTTAGAAAGAAACTGATCTCTAAGGATCTCAAACTCGTCATGAGCTTCCTTAACCTTTAGGTATTCTGCTTTAGCCTCCTCAGATGCTTTTTCTTGAACCTCTTGCAACTTAACCAAAGTCTCATGGCATGATTTCAGAGCCGTGGCTGCCATTAAAGTTCTTGCCTCTTGATCTTCGATGACTGTACCGACGCCAAACTCATCCTGCAGGCTACAAACTCTCTTTTGCATTTCTGTGATCCGGTCCTCGATTTCCCAATACTTATCATAGGAACGTTCATACAAGCTCCTCACAAACTCCTTCTCAGTTTGTAGCCCCAAAATTTCTTTCTGCAGCTTGTCAATTTCTGCAAGCGCTTCACCCATGCTCAGCTCAGAAACTGAAGTTGCCGCATGTCTAGCAGAGCTAGCAGTCTTCTTAGGTGGCCCTTTCCTTGAGTGTAGCATGGAAGGGCTTCTAAAATCTTTCTTTTGACTTCTAGGAACTTCAGGAACTCCAGGTTTAGGTGCCGGGGTTCTTGGGCTGCCTTCATAATCTTCATCCACTGAATACTGAACTTGGTCGGGGAAAACACTAGCAATTGTGCGGTTGGCACTTTGGAGTTCTCTTGATAAATGATCATATCTCTCTGCTAACGCTCTGTATGCCCTGAAAGTCTCTTCCACGAAACTTACAAGTTCAGGCCTCTTCTTGTAGTACATTTCTGCCCGTTGGGCAAACGAGTCCCCATCATCTTCAAGAATTTGAAGGGTCTCTGCGACCTTCTCCTCCATATCTGTTATAAGTGCTTGCGCATTAATAATTCTCTTCAGAAACCAGTTATATATTAGCAATAGGAAAGAGAAGGGCTACTGAACCCAGAGAAGTTAATTAATACAACATTATATATGCTATTATCTTCTTTTAATAGTCTATCAATTCGACTTTCCCAGAATCATCTCCATTAATACTTCATTCTGTTGCTGAGAGAGCGAATGACAACACGAGCAATTTGTTGGAAGAAACTGATGAAATCAATTCGTAAAATACAAATAACCGGAAATCAAGAGATAATGTGAATTTGCGGGTAATTCTGAAATCGCCTGAAATTTGCTTCGAAATAATAAAAATGAAGGATCATATAGAGTGGTCGTCGAGGAAAAAAATTACAGATACTTAACAGACTTGCCTTGGAGGCTTTGTTCGAGCCATTTCGACTGCTTTGTCCGGACGTGGCTAGCCCACCACCATGAATATGCATTGCTTGCCGCCCTTTGCAACATATCGTTCCCTTGGGATTACAATCAAACACTTTCAAGCCATCGAATAAAAAACGTAGACGACGATGACGACGAACGAGACCAAAAAAGAGGACGCGATGATAATCAAATGCGTACAAAATACGCAATCAGAGAAAAGCCGCGATTTTCATGATCATGGAGGTCGAAGAAAGTTTAATTGGAAAAGAGAAGAAGGTTGGTGAAAATGGGGTCTTATGGGGCAGACATGGAGAGGAGGATACTTCGCCGCATACATAGATATCTCGATGCTTTCAGGAACTCAAATTTTGGATTGCTCCGATTGGAGGACCTCTGTGACAAACACTTGCCTAACCCACCCAAAAGCCATGCACGCCCCCTAAATTTCGTACGTAAAATTAATTACTATAGAGTATATAATATATAATTTTATTAGAAAAGTATAGAATGCTTCGCCACCAATAACGAGTTTGCTGTTGCAACTTGTAACTAAAATATAAATTAAAGCACATGTTTTAGTTGCACCGCTTTCTAGATCTCCCATCCTATGGCTGAGGTCATGAGATGGTCATTGGTCGTTTATATTCTTAATCCCTCACTCGTAGATCTATTCATTTTCTCTGGCCAAAAAAAAAAAACATCTATTCATTTTCATATCTTTTCTTGCGCGCGCGCCTTTTTCAAAACAATGTGTGGTTGAGAAATCCAATGAGATAAAGAATCCGAATGAACTTATTTGAATAGATCATTTACAATTATATAACGAAAAAATCACAAAAATCTCACAAAATATATAAATAACAACCATGTCCCTTAAAATATTATACTTACTTTAAAGTCTTTAGGTGCCTTTTTAACATTAATAATTTTATGTTAAATGATTAAATTGTCTCTTGTTTAAAATTAAAAAAATAACCGGTTCATGTAAAAAGTTATGATTTATTATTTAACTCTTGTTATTCATAAATAAAAGTTGTGATTATTTTAATAAAAGCTGAAATTGATTATTTTTAGAATTTAGATTTCAATGGTAAAATAAATTTCATATGAAAAATTATATTTTTTGTCTAATTCTTATAATTTACATAATAAAAGTTGTGATTGATTATTTTCAGAACATGGGCTTCAATAATAAAAGAAATTTTACATAAAAAGTTGTGATTGTTTAAATAAAAGTTTTCATTTTGAATTCATTATTTTCAGAACTTGTTTATCAATCATTAAAAAAAATCACATAAAAGATTGTGATTTCTAGTTTAATTTTTCCTATTCATATAACAAGAGTCATAATTATTTAAGCAAAAGTTATGATTGAAAAAATGTAGTCAAATTTGTTATTTTTATATTAAACAAGGAGTAATTTAATCATTTAACCTAGAATCATTAATGTCAAAAAAATACCCGAAGACTTCAAAGAATTATAATATTTCAAAAGATCTGATTGTCATTTATATATTTTGGTAAGATTTTATTGTCATTGTTTCTTAAATAATATAGTTAGAGTTGTCAAAATATGCCTGTTCAATTTTTATGAACTCAAGCTCATAAGTACTCATATTCCAAATTTTTAATTTTTTAAGCCTGACCCCAATTGACCAGACTTAGAATCAAAGCTGGGAAGTCTACATGTGTTTTTTGTAATTTAAGTTTATGATTAGAGCAAGTAATCTAGCCTGACTCAAATAAACCTAAACTTTTTAAAAAGCTTGCATGACTAAGTTCAACCTCAATTCATTTAGGCTTCAAAAGGCCCAAATACCTGCATTTTTATTTTTAAAATTAATTTTAATTTATTTTTATTTTAAAATAAATTATTTTTATTTTATATAAATATAAATTTTTTTTGGATAGTTAAATAATATATAACACTCAATTTTTTTTAAAAAGCATATGTGGGCCTTAAAATCTAAAAATAAATATTACAATGAATAAATTGGCCTACTGGCCAAAAAAATTTTCTGTCTAAAAAATATGGACTAAATTTTTAAAAATTTAAAAGTATGACCTATTTATATTGATATACGAAATGTTTATTATTAATATATATATATATGTAAAAGTGATTTATTGTTAAAAATTTAAAAATTTACAAAGAGTTTACCATTTATATATAATAATAGGTAATTGACAAATATAATAAATATTGAGCTGTTTGCTTTATTTGGTCATAGAAAATGGACTATATTTACAAATGCTCATATTAAAATACATTTTAAATGTTATTTTGAGATATATTATAGATTAAAAATAATAAAAATATGATAATATAAATATTTTTGATTTTTTTAAAATATCTCTAGTAATGCACTCAAATATATGGTATTTTAATAAAAAATAACATAAAATTTAAATAATTAATTAATATTTATTATATATATATATATATATATATATATAATATAATTTTTTAGATATTCAAGCTAAGCTCGAATCCAATTAAGCTTAACCTAAATCTTTTTGGAGCTACTTGAGTGGGTCTAAATAATCCCTAACATTAAAGAAATTAATATTTTATTAAGCTTAAATTTAAATTTTGTCAGACTTACTTGAACTTGGCTTAAATTATAGACTATTTATAATTGCAATAATGCATGTATGAACTCTAAAAGACCAAAACTAAATGTCTATAAGAGCATATTAAGATTTGAAATCTAAACAGAATAATACAAATATAAAAATAAAATATAATTCTTAGAAGTCCAAATTGTCATATTCCTAGATATAAATATTATTTAGTTCACGATATTATAATATACAAATAACTACTTTAATCAGAGTCAGAATGGAGCAAAACAACATTTTCAACCAAATGATCGGGCAAGGCAACAAAAATATCCTGATGCGATATAATAATTAAAGTAATTGGCCCTTCTACGTTAAAGTTCCACATCTTTCAAAAACCAATCCTCAAAAAATGTCGAGCCTAAACAGGCAACCTAATAGACCCGACCGCATTGACGACTCTAAATTTAGTGCAAATAATCTGATCTCACAACAAACATAATTGAAGGCATCTAAATTAATAAAATCACAAATAATCAACACATGAAAAATATATTACAACAAACTACAAAATACTTTTTAAATTCTACGTGTCTTTTTTTTATATATAAAATTGGTCTTTGCTTTAAGGTACGCTTGAATAAATAATAGGGAAAATGGAACGATGAAATTGAATTGTTTTATTAAATCGCAAATCATGACCACGACTCCAAGATCACCATGCCAAATTTTTACGTCCTCCAGATTTTTCTGGTATTTTGTCATTCCTCACTATAGAAGACCTAGTTTCAATCAACTCCCAATAATAGCCTAAATAAAATAGTCATGGTGGACGCGATATTTTCCCAATGCAAGGACAATAAGTATTAAATTCTCAAAGCAAGAAACTACATTAAACTTGCTACTTCAAGAGGATGAAGTACAGTACTTTCCCCAAAAGCCCAACACACAGAGTACATTCATGTTATATACACACACCTTCTATACAATTATTCACAAAGTGACTAAGCTTACAAACAACCCCACCCCCCCCCCCCCAAAAAAAAAAAAAACACACACACACACGGTATTTACACCAAAGAATAGCAAGCTCCACAGCCAAAGTTCATTGAACATGCTTACATGCAGTCTTCCATTTTCATCTTAGGCAGAGCCAACACTTCAAATGTTTGATTCTTGGAGGCAGAGACCAAAACGGCACCGAATCATCATATCTGCTCCTCACAAATTGTACCAGCCTCGAAGTTGACCAACATTACTCTGCCATGCCATTAAATCACAGCCCAGCAGTTTTGTTCACTTCCTTTTTTTTTTCCTAAACAATTTTTACATTATAATACAATTATTCACAGGTCCAGACCACGTGATTTTCACAAAGAAAGAAAACAGCAGTTACAGAGGCGGCTCCATGGTGTAAAATCACAGGCACGAGTATTTATCCATCAGCTGTTTTGAAGAGATGATAGCCAGTTTTCCACATATTTCTTGCTTTCTGCAGAAACAAGCAAAAGCCATAAACGTCAACTTGTCCAGTCACAAACAAATAACCGTAAATCTGTAACAACAAATAGCTACAAACATGCATGCACGCGCGCGCATCTTACTATTATGAAGTACTGGAAATTATTACCACATAAAAGGCAAACTAATAAAACAGACATACCAACAGCCATCACAGGACACATTCTATCAATCAAACTAAAATGATTTGGAAATAGGTTTTAGAAAAGAACAATTGTCTTTAGATACGGCAGTAACCAAAACTGTGCTTCAGTTTACATGCTAAGTTACATTAACTTGTGAAAGTTTGTAAGATCATTTTACAAAACTGTAAGAGTCAAAGGTTATACGAATATATCAGACTTGGAAGAATTAGTAATTGCACCAATAATTTCTAATCATGACCACACCTGCCGCCATTGAGCCTTCAATATAGATGATCACATAACTCACGTTACCTATGCAAATATCCGTCTTGATAAATCTAAGGGCATATCCTCATTTAAAACAGAGAGAGGTAACCTCCTTTATAAGATTCGGGGGAATAACAATATAACATATAATATTAAATGCACAATGAAATATTAATCGAGATAATATAAAGATAGCCGGATAAGTTAAAAAGAGGCATATTCTTGATTCTGGATTTCAGAAGTTGATGGTAGTCTCTTTTTCAAGGATAAGGCAATCATATTTTCACACCGTGAAAAGCAAAGGAAACAAAGCTAAGAAATATGGTCTAAAATCAGAATCGCATGCATTAACTCCAGCAACAATTTAGAGACAGTTGACACTTTTAACAGCTTAAACAATGTCCTCATCTATTTACTCAAAACAAACATTCCAATTTCAATAGAAAAAAAATAAAGTCAGCGCCAGTTTAAAGGGAACTTTCATAGATGTCAAAGACATTGCTCTTACCATCTGAATAACTTTCTGGAAAGTTCCCAACAGCACTCAGGATGTTGCTCTCAGAATCCTCCATTATGCCACCGTATTGGTGTCCATAACAGGGGACCAGGACGGCAAAACTTTTATCTGATTCATTATCACTTGGAAACTCAGGTCCATGAGGCTCCAGCCAGCCAATCGACCAATCAGAACCATCAGATTCAGAATCAGAAACACATCCTCCATCAGATGGAACAAGAACAACATCATATTCCTTATCTATTGTCTGTTTTTCTCTACTATGCCATTTGCGCTTCGCCCTCCTTGATGAGGACCCCATTTTTCCCTGCTTAACCCAAGGAAATCTTAAAGCGTCTGATTCCCACAAACCTGAATCAACTGAAGAATTTACAGAAGGTCCGTTTGTGATTCTAGGTTTTTGAGGTTTTCCACTCCACAGCCACCACGAGAGATGGGTAAAGGCCACAGCCATATACTAGTCCAACAATCCCTCCAAGGAACCGAGTTTCCACAGGAAAAAATAAAAATCTTTCAGAGAATCTACTAGAACAAGAAATCGTCTCCACTTAGGGATACCCTGTTGAGTAAGAAATCTGATTAGTGAACCAATAAGAAATGCGCACATTGATTAATGAAGACAGCATCTAAAACAAAGAAAACAACAATACTGGCAGCTTAGATTTCCAGAATATCCACCGTTTAAAGGCAAGCAAAAGCTTCCCTTGCTCTAGGTGGAGATCCTCGACAAGCTCTCCAACGACTTTAATCAGAAAATTTAATTATCTTTAGATATTAAACCCAGAAAATGTTTGGCGCTATTTAAATTTCCAACACCAGATCAGGAAGTGTTGAATTCAGATCTTTCTGATATGACCAAAAGTGTTTTCAGTCACCAAACTTTGGATTACCGCTTATAAGAATGTCCAATCCAAAACTTTTAAGGAGCATATACTGAATCTATAATTTTTATATACATTGAATTTATTTATCCCAAAACCCAAACGATCCTACATGCATAACCAAAAAAATTAAAAAATATCACAGAAAACAAAAGAAACTCCGATTTATCAAGATGTAGCCAGACAAATAGTCAATGTCATGAGGCGTCTAAAACAAAAACCAAGTAGAGCAAAAGTAAATCTGTTAACATCGGAACGACTAAATTTCACGAATCGGGCATACAATAATTGTAAGTTGTGACAAATTATCATCGCCGGAACTGTCACGATAATCAAACCCCATCCACAACATTTAGCTAAGGTTTCAAATAAGAGGTTGTTTGATTACGATATACAAACATAATTACGTCCCAAAATTTTCTCAGCTCATCAACGCCAAAAAAACCAAGGGAAAAAAATCTCAGCTCAAAGAAAATAACAGAATTGTGCACTCTTCATTTCGACGAAGGAAACAACTTGAACAGGAAGAAAACCCAAGCGCAAACGGCAAGGATTAAACAGCTTCCTTGTCTCTGAAATTTCGAATTGGGAACGAAGATTCAAAGCCTAGGAAACCTGTTATTCAAATAGAAAGAGAGAAACAAACCAATATACCTTAGCACCCACAGAGTCCTTTGTATTCTAGAACAAGCATAACCAAATCGGAATCCCCCTCGAGCCGTCTATGTGACGTTTAGACCAGCCAGAGGGCGTTGGGGAGAAAAACTGAGAGGAGAGAAAAGAGGAGTCTGAACTTCTCCTCGGCTTCCAGATGCCGTTGAATAAATTGAAAGCATACGTGGCGTGCTTGAAAACCGTTGGATTGTTTCAAGCTATTCCAGTAATGTCGCGCAGAAATACAGAATATACGGCATACGCAACAAATCCCCGCGGGGAAGCATATCGAGTGGAGCCAACTTTGTTAAAACCAAGCAATCCCGAACTGACACGTTGCAGCAGAGGAGGCCCTATCGGCTTTGAAGTACCAACCGCGACTCTTTGCGGTCACAAATTTTTTAAGTTTAGAACTAATAAATTTAATTTTTAAGCCTTAACCAAAAAAATTATTTTTTTAAGAACATCTCATTAGATTATTTCACGAAAATAGGAGAAACTGTAATTTTATAATATAGATTAAACAAACATAGAGGATTAATTTTTTAAAAAATAAAACAATTTAGAACAAAATTTCTTCTCTTTTCTGTGATTTAGTCCAAGTCTACCAGATCTTACAGTTGAAGTCAGTGGTCAGAAATGGGGTGCTAGTTGGCTTTCTAAGAAGGAGGGTATGAGCCAAACAGATAGAAGCGTCTCCTTCCTAATTTCGTATCCAAGGTTATCCTCCACGTCCACCCACCTAATTGGAATAAGATATTTTGGGCTTTTTTTTTTAAGACTCGTTTATTTTTTAATTATTGCAGCTTTTTTCGCGTAGAATACCATTGTGTGACTCGGATTTGTTTAGTCCATCAAATTCAAACGGTGGGCATTAGAATTGGTGTTAGAGGTAAGGTTGTGAAAAACTCCTCATGTCTGGTTTGACCCAGTTTAATTTAAAATAGTCTTATCTTATTTAGTTTGTATAAACACTAATTTTTTTTTGAATTAAATTAGATAAGAGATTGGACATTTAGATCAATTAATTCAGTCTGGCCTTATTAATTTATTTTTAACAAATATTTTAAGTATAATTGACGCTAAGGAGATGATACATAAAGATTTTTTAAGTTTATTTTTAAATTATTGTTCTAAAATAGTGTTGTTGAAGTTTGTTGAGCGTTATTTTTGCTAAAATTATAAATTTAAATATTTAAATTGTAATTAAAATAATTTTTCTTGTTAGAAAATTATTATAAATTTATTATTATTATAAGTATTTTTATTATCTTAATTAAGTTTATTAAATTGAAATGAATTATTGCCCCTCGTAGAGGAAAAAGGAAAAAAAATAGTTAAATGAGTATTGAACTAACAGGACTAACCTCCTAATTTTATGGATCAAGTTTAATTTTGTTAATTTTTGAGTTATCATTTAATAAGATCATATTATGAATTGCCTAACACAATCTTTTTTATAAAAGAGATTAAATTTTAGGTTAAGTTAAAGTTCAATGCTGTCCAGTCCTTTATAGTCCCTACTTAGAGGTAAAGAAATTTTATAATAAGGATAAACTAGGAATGATGTTATAAAAGAGACTTCATGACTGTGTGATTAAATGGTGAGTGGTGACATAATAATTTATTTCTTTAATTGAGAGAATTCACAAAACTAAACTATGGAGTTGGCTTCCCTCCTTTGTACCTCCATGGAAGAGATGCATGATTTACTTTGTTCATACATAACTAAACTATAGGGTCCATGCCTCATATAAAATTGAAGTTATATTATTAATGACTTATAAATAATATGACCTCGTGCAACTTTTCATATCATATATTAATGCTGATACTTTGATTTAAAAAATAGCCGACAACCAACTAGTTTTAATCTTAATGAGAGGAGCTAAAATTTACTTACTATAAATGGCTCTTTGAGAGTACGTGCATAGAAAATACTCTCTTTATTTTTATATATAAAATATTTTTAATTAAATCACACAAATTAATAAAAATTAATTATCTAATTTAAAACATAACAACATTTTAATTTTACCCCTAATTATTGTAAATAAAAAATAAATCTTTTTTTAAAATAAATTGATAAGAATACTTATATTTTTTTCTTTTCAATTTAACAAAGATATAATAGTTCATTCATTAAAAAATATGCTAGTAGTTTTTTATATTTAAGGGCAAAAAAATTTTAAAAAACTTTTTATATATAAGAACGGATTGATTATGTCTAGAAGTTTATATGTTGCTCCATTGAGAGGAAAGGTTAAAATTTTAAAAGAAAAGCTTTTACATAACTAAAATTTATGGATTTCATTGTTAAAAACCTTAGTAATCATAATTAAAAATAGGTTAAAATACATAAAATCTCAACTTTGAGACAGTTACATATGACTCCTGTAACATCCTAATTTTTATATAATAAAAAAATTGTGGAATTTAGGTTTTGAGAAAAAAAATGATAATAATAGGAATTTATATTATTTGAGGTTATTTAGAAATAATATTATGGTTAGGTATTTAATTATAAATTTAAAAATTTAAATTTAAAATCACATAAGTAATATTTAGTTAAGATATAATACATAAATAATTTTTTTTATGTATGTGTTGAAAAAAAAAGAGAAGGCAGAAGGAACAAAAAAAAAGGGGTGGAAGGTTGTTGTTTCTAAGTCCCACATTGGTTAGATGAGGGAAGAAAGAGGTGCCTTCATGTATAAAAAGGAGGGGGTGTGTGCATTAGGAAGCATGAGAGGCTAAGATGCAATTTAGAGAAAATTGTAACTTTTGGCCCAAAGGTTTGAATAATTAAATTCAAACCTATAGTTTTTGTTTAATATAATTTTGGGACTCACAATCCCATTTTTATATTATTTTTCTCTCTTCCTCTCACGTTGCTCGGCGTTTTCTCGCAAGGGGGGATTATTTTCTTTTTCTTCAGGTATGTTCTAACTTTCTTGTTTAGATTAGCATTTAAAAATTTATTTAATTACAAAATTAATTTTATAGTTATTTTCTAAATAATATTAGCTTTCTAGTGATATGATTATTTTGTAGGATAGAGTAAATATTCTGATTAGAATTTTTCTATAGGATAGTTAATCTGATGATATGATGGAGTAAAAATATAGGTTGAAACTCTTAGAGATATAATAAATATTATAGAATATTTTATTGAGGTTGAAACTCATGTTTAAGAATTTTTGACTTAAAATCTAGATCTATATGGTTGAATTTATGTGGAATCTGAGATATAGGGATAAATCTATAATTATTAAATATTTATTTAAGTATGAATAGGTATTTTTGAGGTTATAGAAAGGTGATTTGAGGCTTCAGGATAATTTTAAAATTTTTAATTTATTTTTGGACGAATTTTTAGAATATAGAAGGATGAAATTGTGATACTAGAAGTGATTTGAGGATAAAAAAATAGTTTATTAGGGTACGAGAATTTTAGAAAAGAATTTGGGAAGTTAAATGAGGCATAAATTTAAATTAATGTTAATATGAATTATAGATCTAAGACTTTCTAACTATTTAAATTAGAGTTATTTATTTTAATGTAAAATTAATATATAGTATTGTGAAATAATTATGTAGATTATATTGACAAAGATAGTGGTGAAAAAGGAGTTGTGAAGGGGAACTTGTTATTCAAGACACAAGGTAACCATTATTAATGTGTTGTGATGAGTGTGTTTGTGAATGGTTATGTGTTGTTTTGTTGTTTGGAAAAATTATGAATTATTAAAAATAAATACTGTATATACTTGTTTGAAATTATTGCCAAGTGGGTTAAAAATTTATCTTTATTTATCATGATGAGATATTATTGTTCGGATATATTCCTGTTTGGATATTTGAATGATGCATGACTTGTCAGGGTATTTTAATGTATGGTGTTAATGGGAATTTCTGTTCGGTTAATTATTACCACGTGGTAAGCCCTCATTGGACCCAATGAGTGGCGTGTCGCTTGGTCCAACTCACCTTTGGCCGGGTGATTTGGCGTCCGAGCATGGTGAAAGGAGGATATAAGGTGCAGTCATGCAATTAAATACTTGTTCGGTTTGTTTGAAAATATTGTTCGGTTAAATGTTTTGTGTGCCCACTTAGCAATCGCATGATTAGTTACATCCGCATGCATCATTACATATTAATTTTTAGTTACTGGGACTTTTAAGTCTCATTCCCCGTAGTTAATATTTTTATAGGAGCGAATCCGGCCGAAAAAGCACCAGAGGTGTAATTATGGTGTATGAGACACCATTTTTTACGTTGTCTCTTATTTTGGATTATACAATGTATCTTGTGCCAACTTAGGACATATCTTGTCTATGGAGCATGTAAACTCTAATCCTTTTTATTAAATGCATTTATATGTCCAAGAGGATTATGTCTGTCCCTTTTGATTCATGACCTAATTTGAATAACATGCTATGAGGATCATGTCTGTCCCTCATGGTTCTAATTACTTTTTGAGATATTTTAAGACCTGTGGTATATTATCTTGGATGTATCATGGTAGAAATTTTTCTACCATGATAAGGGTTCAATGAAAAAAAAAATGATTTGTTGAATTAATAATTTGCGAAAAATCGGTTTGTAAATTTGAGGGTGTTACAACTCCCCTCACCTTTAAATATTTAAATTAACATCCTTAACCTTTAATTTTATTTTTAAGAACCCCTATCATTAATTAATTATTATTTTATTATTATAGTCGTTGTCATATTAGATTAATATAATACATAGCATACGACATAAAAAATATTTTTTATTATTTTTTAATACAAGAAAACTATTTAAAAATTATATCAATAAAAATCTATCCTTTAATGTAATAGGAAAAATTAATTTTATGATCCTTATAGTTTTAACTCATTTATAATTTAATTTATGAAGTTTGATTTTATTGTAAATTAGTCTCTAAACTTTACCTTTTATAATTTAATTTCTGAAGTTTTAAGGTTTTAAATATTAATCTTTATATTTAAAAAAAATAAAATTATAAATATTAAAAATATTTTAAAATTTATTACTAATATTTTTATATTGTTAAACCTTTTTAATCTTTATTAATATTAAAAGTTTAAAATATTTTTAATATTTAAATTTTATTTTTTAAAATATAATATCAATATTTAAGAGATTAAAACTTTAAAAACTAAATTTTAAGAGACTAAGTTTAAACATTGATTTAAAATTGAATTAAAACTTTAAAAATAGAATTAAATTATAGCTGGTCAAAATTAAAAAATTAAATTAAAATTATAAAAATTAAATAATTAATTTTTTCAATACAATAAAATTATGATATTTTCGGTGTTTTAAAAATTAAACTGGATCGATCGGTTCAACCACCCAGCCACCAATCCAGTCTAGTTCAATCCTAAAAGCTGGACTCAACCAAACTGATCAAAGACAGGCAAAACCAGTCAAAGACTGGATGAACCGGCAGAATCGAAACGATTTTAGTCTTGAACCGGATAAAAAGAAAATCCTTAATTGCACCACCGGGCCCCAAATTACAATTTGCTCTGAAGGAATCATATTTCACCCTCACATGCTCACTTGCACGCTAACGAAAGCGCCATTTGCTTCCCCATTTTATGCACCTCTCTCCCTGTAACTCCTCTGCATTTAGACGATGTGAGACTTTCTGTTGGTAGTAGAATCAATACAAACGCAACACTGTGATGCCTGAGATGTACGCTGCTTCTCCTTCTTTTTCTATCCATTGTTTCTTTGATTTTTATTGGTTCATTTTACTTAGTTTTTAAATAATTTTTTCAATGCAGACATAAATCTTTAATTTTTTTTATACTTCTGATTATTTATCTATATTTTTTTATAAATTTTATTTTCCAAATTTAGTTTTAATAAGCCTCTAAAATACCTAATCTTAAATTTTCTTGCTAATTGTATATACTAGTAAAATGATATTTCATTAAAAAGTGTAAAAAATATTGATAAAATGTTTCTTATATAATATTTGACATATAAAATCTTAAATATAATTATTAATTGATAAATGATTCGATCACAGTCCAACCATTAACCCTTAAACTAGTGTCTTATCCAGTTCAATGACCGATCTGATTTTTAAAATCTTGAATATTTCATAAGTTATTTTTAATGAAATTGACACAAAACAACAATAGCAAAAAAAGAATCTTGTTCAAAAGCTGCACACATTCCATTTATAACATATCAATAAATTTTTTTTGCATGAATAAATAATGGATGCTTCATGCAAAGGAGAAAATAACAACTACAAACAAATAAGAGTATGAAACAATAAACAAAGCGGATAAAAAAATTTATATGACTCCTATCAATGGCATCTTTTATATACTCACTCCGTTTAAAAATATAAGGCATTTTAATCGAATCTTACTCCCTAATAAAATAGTTACCTACTTTTAAACTAATCTTATCTTTTCATATTTATCCTTATTAAACACCCTACAATAAATATAAAATCATTATCAATAAGGGTACTATTGAAAAAAGGCAATGATTATATGTCAAAAAATTAAAAATGTATTATATTTTTAAATGGAGGAAGTATATGTTTTTATTTGTTTAATATAAAAATTTTTTCTCTTAAATTGTATTACTATAAACAATGAAAATAATGTTATTCAGTTAAAAAAAATAAGAACATCGTCATGTGTATTAAAATTATAATTTTACATCTCCTTAAAATGTATTAAAAACAATAAAAAATATTTTTTTATGTGTTATGTGTATTGCATTAATATGACATGACAGTAATTACATTACTAAAAAATAATTAATTAATGATAAGGGGTTTTAAAGAATAAAATTAAAAGTTAAGGAATTTAATTTTAAAGGATAGAAAGTAAGAACAATCATGTGCAATTACTTCAAACTTTAAAGAGATTTTATATATTTTACCCTTAAAAATAAGCTTTTTACAACTTTCAACCGTTTTAACGCAGACTAACAAATCTCTAAACATACATTAAATTGCAAATTGTTTTTTGGCCGAAAACTAAATTGCAAATTATTACATTTACCTCCCACACGAAATCATTATTTAAACTTCACTAATCACCAAGCTTGTTCTTTTTTATTTTCATGGTCAATAGTCTCTCCGCTCAAGATGCATGACATTTTTAAAGGGTTTGATATTAAAAAATAAAATATTTTTAATATTTAAAGATATAATTAATATATATTTTTTCTAAAAATGCTCTTAAAAACTAAATTATTTTATATTTATTTTTAAGTAGAACGTTCTATTAAAAAAAAATATAAAAATATGGTATTAATTTAAAAATATTTAACTAAGTTATTGAAAGTGGGATTTAATTAAAAATGCTCAACATTTTTTAATAGAGGAAGAATTTATATATTTCTTGATTTACATTATTCAAATTAAAATTAAATACACCAAATTTTATCTTATATTTTACTTTGAAAAAAATGTTCGATCCAATTTATTTAACAGAAAATCACTCCAATGTTTCCTGTAACAATTGTAATCACCATAAGATCCCACCAATTTGTACAAACGCTTGTAAGGTGTCAAAGAACTTAGTTGTAATTATTATTTTTTTGGTGAAATGATGGAAAAAATCTCGATGAGGTTTCTATGATCAGCTCCCACATTTCTCATTCATTCTGACCTTCTCACATTGGAAGCACTCACCGGATTATCACTGAAAAGAACAGAAAGCAAAGAACAATATGTTCCTCGTAGGAAAACCACCTCCATTCCCATAAACTCGTATTTCACTCCAACTAAATCAAACCCATCCCATAAACCACATGAACATTAACATACTGAGGATGCTTACTTTTCTAGAGATCGTAATCCAAGAGCTAAGATTTATCGTTGTTTAGTTAAGTCCCAAGCTGGCTTGTCCTTCTGCCAATGATATTCTTCTCATCAACACCAAGAATACAGCTCTAGCATTGAAATCGATGCCTGGTTGTGATAGTGGATTTCGGTGTGCCTCTTCGTGCCCATCTCGCTTAAATCATTATTCAGGAAGTTTTCAATCTAAAACCCTACAAATACGTTTGAAGTATCGTGTTAGTGTTTATCACTTAATTTTAAATCAGATATAGCTGGTCTTGTGGGAAAAAGCACGGGCCACATTTATATGGGTATGGAGGGATATGATAATCAGGGGGGAATCTTCCACCTAATTTAGTCAATAATTCATCCTAGCTTTGACCCTTGGATCTAGGATCTCAATAATTCAACCTTCTTGGATTATTGAGATCATAGACTCAAAAGGCTCTTAATCACTTGTAGAATGTTGATCCACACATAAAGGAATTTGGTCATCAAGCTAATTCAGGGACCTCGCATGGTCTTTTTCATCATTGCACAAAAATTTAATCACATCTAAGTCCCTTAAAATCTTATAGGCATCTGTGCAATTGATAGGACTTCAAGATAATTACAATTATTGTGGAGACTTTAGAGTGATTTTCCATTTATTGATTCCAATACCCCTTATCACATTTTATCTTATAATATCATCAGGAATATCGAATTGCTTGCTCAAAATTATTCATTCTTCCATCACGTAACTCTTATCATAGTTAAAAGTCCAATATTAAATTAAATTAATTATTTAAAATTGATATCTATAGGTGGAGTTCTACCGCGAAATACAGCTTTTGAAAAAGAAAGTTGCCTACAAATCGAAGAAAACTGAGCAATTCATCTACTCGTGAAGAATAACATGCATCCTGGTCACCTAAGGCCACGGACACACTTCAAACAGATTGGTCATAAATTGTATGCTTTTGGTATAAACATGGTTAACAGCGCGCAAGAAATGTAATTAAAAATTAACGTCCATGGTTCTCTTTCTCCGATGTTCGTCTGGGCCGGATCGGACTTCTCGTGTCAATAGCATCGGACTCTTTCTTTGTTGCGACAGACTCCTCTGGCTTACCAGCATTCCTGTCCCACAATATGGCGCCGCCATTTGACGGCGCAGCCTTTCGCATGGCCCGTGGAATTTTCAAAGTTATGTCCGCCTCTGTAAAACCGCCCTCGGCTCTAGGAGCAACGGCAGCATTTTCTGGTCTAGATAATGGGATATTTGGACGTGAGTTCACAGAATCATTTGCCTCGCTATTGCTATTGTTTTGTTTTCCGGTGGCTTCAGGATTCTCAGGCTGTGGATGAGGTGGTGGATCTGAAACAAGAAGTATTGTAGACTTGCGCCATTTCTTCCTCTGATTAGGCCTCGGCCCATGGGATTTCTCCTGCAGCAAATATACACAGCAATGGTTAACAAAGAGATCCAGATATATGTCAGTAAAATCAAAGGTTAGGAAACTGAAGCACACTACCGTATTTCCTATGTCAGCGAGAGGCTTTCTGGGCCCATGATCACTATTTGTCTCTGTAGACTTTTTGGCTAGTGCACTTTGAAGTAACTCTGCACCCTGACTGGCAAGGTCACTGTCTGGTTCATCACTATTAAAACCATTACCAGTACCTTCAACAATTTCTGGTTGAGCTGGCTCCTTATTCAAGATTAATCCTCTGTTCGCACATTTTGTTTCTATACAACCGCAAGATCTTCCACAACTGTTGCCCTTTGATCTGCACTGGCATTTTGATGTCTTACAAGATGAAAGTTTCGAACAGGTGCAGCAAATATATGCTTCTCCCGAGACAAAATTGTCGTGGACATTTGGAGTTTCATAACTTGGCTGGCTATTCTCCCAGCTTGACCGTCCACTTTTGGAATTCCTCTTCTTGACCCTTAATTTTCCTGACGCAACCCACTCATCATCTGTTTCATCCACACCCACATCATATTCGTCTGAATCCATGTCGCATAAATCCATGTCTTCAAGTAAAATAGTAGACCGACGATTTTCCTGAAATCAGGATAAGTTAAAGACGATTAATTGACGTCCAACGAGCCATTCATTAGAACAAGAGAGAAAGTTATGCAGATTAGGAATACCGGTTTGCGTAGGTCATACTTATGTCCGCCAACATTGTTAGAAAATCCTGTATTCCCTCCAGATTCTGAGTATTGCTTCAAAGCTACACCCTGTCATTCGGCTTAAATTATTTGGTAAGAATTTAAAGGAGGCAAAGAAGATACTAATAATTGGAACGGCAAAGGCTAAAGTAGTTTTTAAATTTTTAATGGGTGCACATATTTGGGAAGGAGAAATATTTTGACCGCAGCGCAGTTTGTATTGCACAGTTATTTACATAAAGCTAAGAGGCAGTGCACAAGTATTTATGTTATTACATAGGTCATAATGTTTTCCGCGAAGAATGTGGCCCAACAAGGGGAAAATGGAAAGTAGGCATCACTCATCATATTTTACACACTAACCTGTAACTTCACCTGATGAAGAAGTTCAGCTTTCTGCATTTCCATCTGACGGAGTGAACAGCTTAGACTAACGACCTTCTCTTTCAGATCTCGTATTTCCATGTCCTTCTCTCTACAGGAAACTTCTTTATCTCGCAATAAACACCTGAGAAGAAAGTAACAGAAAAACAAAGGCCACACATGACAAAAGGCAACGTCAGGTTTGCTTCATATAAAACTGAAATATGAAGGAATCGAATTTATATCATTGAACGTAAGATGAGTAATGACTTGCAAAAACCTGGAGGAAGATGCTACATTGAACAAATAATTCATCAAATTCTTGGCATCAACGAGCGACCGGACTTGGTTCCAACGTCCTTTACCACCAAAAACACGTTCACGCTCTTCTGCCTCCGATAACTGAGATGCCATAGACACCAGAGTTGTAGAAGTAGCAGCAAGCATGTTTTCAAGAGCAAAAATCCTTGATTTTCTTGCACCCGGAGACATTGATATGCAATCACTACATCAAGGAAGAGAGGTTGTAAATCACAAATTGTTACTGAGAAAACCACCAGACGGCACAATCATCAAATCTATCAATCAAAGAAATACATCGCTGCAAGGCTATTCACCTCGTATCGTTTTGTTTCAGGATATCATTTTCTTCCTTTAACCTACTGATCTCCTTGGCCATACTAGCCCTCCTGAAATTGAAAAAAGTAATAAGCAAATACTTTTATGAACCATAACTCTTATCTAGAAGCGACAGAAAAGAGAGGGGAAAACGATCTAAGCATATAGCAAGCTTCAAGAAATATTATTCCGTGCCACAACATTGCTACACAGCAACCCAAAGTGAATAGGTATTCACCTTAACCTCAAACTACTTAATTTGGCACAGTTTTCATTGCAAAATATCATATTTGCACAACCACCTGGGACCAGAATCAAGGTCATTAAAATCATTTTGAAGACGGACTTAGAAACTGCACAAGCCTACCAAGTTATACTCTCTTAAACTTCCATCCAACAATCATTTTGAAGACAGTAGTTCGATCATTTTCTTTTTGGCCAACAATAGTTGGATCGTATTTATTATTTCTTTTTATAAAATTTGGAGACTACTAATTTCCATCATATAGGGGCTTTTAAAGCTATTAACTGTGAGTCATGTGACTGACCACGCAGTTCCAACTCATGCCCATAAATTTAGTTGGGAATTTCGCTCTTCCAGTACTCTTTCTTAAGCTCTCAATTTTTCAAAGAATCTTAGACAAGAAAATAAAACATACTCCTCCATTTGACGCTCATATTCTGCACGGACTTCATGCACTCGAACAGTGACTTCAAGCTCATGCTCGATTAACTGCATTAAAGCCTTCAAATAAAAAGAAAAAAAAGCCAATTAGATGCTTTCTAGAACTCGAATCAACCGTTAACTTTCTTGTCATAATAAATTATGCATCATGATGCCTCTAATAACTCTACTAATATTCATAAAAATTCAAGTTCTAATCAATGCTTCAAAGGCAATTTAATCCTTGCGTGCAAATGCATCATTAAGTACCTGAACTCCAGGGCCATTTGCACCTCCAGTACCTATGTATAAAAGACAACAAATGAGCTTTTCGAGACTGTGTATAGGGGGGAAAACCTTTTGATCACATTAAAGTTCCTAACCAGTATTTTCACGTGATGAAGCCTTTCGAGACTCCAACAGTTCTTTTAGCCTTTTTGTAGCCATGGAAGCTTCTTCTGTCTTCCTTTGCAATACCTAAAACAAGTAAATATATAAATGGTGGGAATAAGCAGAGTCCAACGAACCATAACAGAGAATGAATTTGACCCCAACTCACCATCTTTTGTCTCTGATTCAATGCTAACAGCTTGTGCATCTCATATTCAGTCCTCCTCCCTTCTTTCTTAAGCTGATTGTTTATTTAAACGCGTATAAGGTCTCGTATAAGGTCACAATCATGGCTGATTATAAGACCTAGAAAGGAAACTCGTAAAAGTTAACATTTACCTGGAGAACCTCCTTTTCACGTGAAGCTTTCCATAGCCTAAATTGCTCAGATTCTTGCTTAATCTTTTGCTGCAGATGTACCTAAGTGTTAAAAGAAACAGAAAAAAAGAGAGAGCATGATTACCAGTATCGCTGGCAGAAAAAAACAGTTTCTTGTAACTTGAAAACTTGTTCTAATCACAAAATCTTTGCACCTTCTGGGATTTTATTCTCTGGATCTCATCCTGAAGACGTCTTGATGCCTCGTCACTTTTTTGTTTTTGTTTCAAGAGTTGAGCTTGAGCATCTTGTTTCTTTTTCAGCTCAGCGACCTGAACAGCACAATATTAGTTCACGAGAAAGTGTGGCCACTGAGAGATGGGGCTTCATTTAGAGAAAAGAACTTCACCTGTGCTTCAAGAGCATTCAACTTTTGAAGATATTCCTCCTTCAACTTTTGAGCACCATCATCAGGAGATGATGGAATATTTGAGAGGTTACACTTGAGATCCTCAATTTCTTTCTGCCAATAATACAAGGATTAGAGTTTTTGGAATAAACATAAGAAAGCCTGAATTCAGTAAGCATAAGACAGAGCAAATACCTGCAGCACTTTCTTCTCGTGCTCTAACTCCAAAAGTTTCTTTTCATAATGATGTCTAAGAACTGCAGTATCAGGACTATTAAACCGCTTCATTTCAGCCTTCGAATACAAGATAAAAATAGAATCACATCACAATATTCAATTTTTTCCTTAAACAGTATCGCTGTAAATATATAATTCATTCCATCTAAGCAATTTCAAAGCATGGGCTCAAATTTGAATATATTAAACTAGGCAAAAAAAAAGGTTCAGCACAAAATGTTAGAAAACCTTATGAATATCAAACTAGAAAAGGTAGTTTTTACCTCCTTCTGCTCAAGTTTCTTGTCCAATTCTTTGAGCTCCATATCCAACTTTTGTTGAAGGGAGGAGTGCTCCAGCTCCTTTGCATCATCTTCCGTGTCATCATCTGTGTTAACGTGAAAGAAATATCTTCAATTGGTACTTCTAAGGTTAAATATCAACCTTACCGAGAAAATAAAAATGCAAATACAGCTTTTATGGGTATTTGAAGTCACGTTATTGTATACTAACTTGGATAAATTAGTTCATTCAATATATCAAAAATTAAATGCACTGTTTCAACCAAAGCAAAATTAACCAAAAAATTTAACATTCTAGCTGGCCCAAGCATCAACACTCAATTTAAAAAGAATGAAAAAATATAACGCACAGTACTATTTTTTTCATAAGGAAATTCCAGATGTGTTACCTAATATGTCCACAGCTTTGGCATCGCAATCAGGTGAATACCCACCACCACAGGCAAATACTGCATTCTTTGATCTGAATCCATCATCATCTTCATCAATCCAATCAACATAACGGCTTGATTTTTTATTGTTCAAACTCTTTAAGCGCAACAATTCTCGTTCTAATTCTTGAATTTTTGATACATAAGATTTCACCAAGTCATAATCCTACAAATGATTTCGAACATGCGTCAAGGACTGATCTAATTTATCAAAAAGTTATAATTTTAGTAAGGACTAGAAGCATGATGACCTGGGTCGAATTTGACTCAATCTCATCCCAAGATTTACCATTCCTAATTGATTCTACTTTCATGATCAACTGGTCCTTTTCAACCTGCAAATGTCCAACGCCATATATGAGATTCAAGAACTTGATGATAAACACCAAGAATTTATTGCAAACGAATTTAAAATTCTATGATAACTGAGAACATCAAGGATGAATGGAACACCTGAGCATCAAAAGCTCTCTTCATCAAACTCTCACTAGCTAATCTGCGTTCTCGAACTTCTCGTTGTAGCTCGGCGTTGCTTGATTCAAGTAAAGATATTTTATGCTTCAGAATCTGAAAATTTTAGAGACATTGGACGTGTAAATAATAACCAATCAATAAGGAACCCACACTTTTTAGAATAGTGATAATAATGTACCTGAAGTTCCTCAAATGGTCCACTAGCGTCACCTCTGTAAAATAGAAGTTCAGCTTGCAATTGTTCAACTTGATTCCGCAATGCCTGAACTTGAGCTGCCACTGGATCCCGATTAATCTTAAAAAACAAAGAAGTCAAAATGATCAAACGACTTCACGCACATGAGAATAAAAGATAAAGAAGATCGATGCAAATGCTTACAATGGCCTTGTTCTGAATGTTACGAGCACGATTTGCATACTTTAAAGTGTTCAATGTCTCCTCGGCATTAGTATCAGCAGGACTAACACATGCTACAACATTCGGGACAAATTAAAAAGTCAAAAGGTATATGTAATTACAAAGGATAAAAGTTTAAATTAGTAAACTGTCATCGATTGAGTATATACCTATCATCACCGTTTTGCTATTTCCTCCGAGAGAATCCTAAATATCCAATTTCAAAGTACATATCATTATACAATGTTGATCCTTGACATTAATATGACATGTTGAACACAAACAATAAAGCTGTTCTATCATAGCCAGGAATCAGGGTAGAAATTTCAATACAGCGACCTACTTCCCACATGATACTTCCATTTCAAGAGTTCGAATGATACATCAAATAAAAGTAGTTGGCCCATGATCTATGATCTTTACTGATGAATAAACAGGAAATAAATAAATTTCATTTATATATCTTGCTATTATTTCTAAAATCATTACACCATATAAAAAGGAACACATCCTTGATAAGCAAGGCGAAGTTTTGAAGGAAATTATACAAGTGTAAATTAGTTTTAGACATATGTAGTATTTACCTGCAATAGGCGAGTTAATTTGCTATCACGATATGGCACATGACCACCTTCTTTCCGCTTCTTTTCGTCCCCCAAGGCACTTATTACATTCCCAAGAGCCAATAAACCCTTGTTGATATGAATGCCTAAACCCAAAAAATAGATTAGTGAAAAATTAACAACTAACAATTTAAAGCAAAAATTCCATGCACGTATAACTCAGCCAGCTAAAGGGTTATATTTACATCAAATTTGAAATTCAAGTCAGGCTAAAGGTAGAAAGTTACGGGCCGTAAAAAGACAGCAAGAAATCGATTTTGTTTGTTTTAATTCTATTCATGCTCCTAAAATCATGTTATCCTTATACGACAAGATTACCTTCCTTCAAGCGCATGCCATCAGCACCAGTTCTTTTGGCACGTTCAGACCCAGCAAGGTCCACTAGATGAAGTTTCGCACATAAGATATCATTGCCATTCTTCTGCTCCATTGTTATTGTGAATATAGCATGTGAACGACTGGAAAAAGCATATAATACACACAATCAATTATGATATAGTTTTCCACAAGCAAACCGTGAAAGATAAGTCACAAAGGAAAGAGTGAAACAGAATTGTCCATGGCATTTCACCTTGATTGGCTGTTCATATTGGTACTACCAGTGGCGCGGGATAATGAACCGCGGGACAGATAGGAAGCCATTTCTTCCTTTGTCTTAACTTCAGCCTCAGTCACACCAGCAAGTGTTATTCCTCCATTCACTGTTTCTCTTATTTGTATGGGAACTCTGGTCGGCACAGCAGGCTTTGCAATAGATGCAGCTTCCCCTCTTGAAGAATTTGGATCAAGCAAATCAAAAACCTCTTCTTTAAATATCTGTCATTTGTAATTATAAAGTAGGTCAAATTTTGAATGAATGAGTCAGAGTCATGAAATAATCAGTTTTCTGTACCTCTATAAATGATACTCGAATCAAAAATTCTGTTGAGGCTTGCACGGCCTCAACTCTCTTGAATATATTTTCCATGACCTTGGGTATAATCCCGCCATTACTTCCTTCCCCAGTATAATTGGTGCCCATTGTGTATGTTTTCCCCGATCCCGTCTTACATAGTGACAAAAAAATATAACATTTATCATGCTTCAATTAAATTTGTAGACAACATACAATAGAACAAAACTGGGCAAATAAAAATTCCATCATCATCAAAGCAATACCGACAATGCATGAATATATACCTGGCCATATGCAAGAACTGTGGCGTTATAGCCATGGAATAGTGCATCAACCAGCGGAGCCACACAATCATCATATACTGTAGAAGGCGACTTCGAACCATGATAAACATAATCATAGGTAAATGCGTGAGATCCAATTTGCACCTAACGAGCAACAAACAACAGCCAGGCATCAAGTTTATAATTCCCATGTAGATTAAAATATATATATATATATATATAAACATCAACACAGCCAAAGAATTAGCATCGTAACAAGTAACGAAAGACAGAGATATAGAATATCATCAGCTGAAGAGAAGTGGAATAAATGTAGTACCTGAGGTTCACCAGGAACAACAGAAATGCAATCTGTGCAACCAAGTAGAAGCTCCGATGTAATCAGAGGCCGAACATTAACTGCAACTCGCACGCATTGGGTTGAATCTGCATTCTTCCCATCTGAGTTTTCCATGTCTGAAAATCTCAATCCGTCCGGCAAACCTTATAATCACGAACCAACACAATTAACTCAATCGAAACATGTTAAATTGAATTTCAACATGTTATCAGGTCAAAACAATTAGATGAGCGCTGGTTGAAAAATATAAGCGTGTGAGAGAATGAAAATTTCCGTCAGAAACCCGAATGGAGTTGGCTCCGAGCTTACCTTCGAGATTGACGAAGTAAGCAAAAGTGAGAGAACGGAATTGGAAAGCCGACAAAGGGTTCCTGCGAGGAAGGACGACCGACGAAGGGCTTTGCGTTTCGTTTTTGAACCAGAGGTTCTGAGACCGCAATTTTGAATCTGGACGTGTCGGGTTTCTATTGAATTGAATTTGAGATATAGGCGCTCGCGTCCGAATTCAAATCCAGTGGTCACGTGCACCTCACGGGCAACATCTTGAGTCTAACGGTATAGTCAGCGGCTGCGGCTGCAAGCACAGGGAAATTAGATTAAAATCTACGGGGACAGGGGGAACCTCACTAAAATTGGATAATTCTGAATTTCTTTCTATCTAAGGCCTTCGGCACCAACCCAACCGGTCTATAAATTCTGTTACTTTAGTTAACCAAGTCAATTTTTACTATCAAGATTAATTTACTTTATTTAAAGAGGAAAACAATAAAAAAAAAAATCTTCCATAACATTTGAATCACTTATATATAGTCCATTTAATTTTAAAAGTAAAAAAATAATCAATTAATAGATATGATTTTTTGCCTTTGTACTAAAAATATTTAAAAATTCATTTAAGAAATTAAAGATTGTGAAGAATTAATGAAAACAGAGATGGGGCAGTGCAAGTGTGTGTTCCATAAAAAAATCATATACATAGGAGTATGTATATGTATCTGTTTTAACTAGACTCCTTATCATTGAAAGAAGTATTAGTATGCCTGGTTATTAATTTTGGACAGAGAAATCTTCCCATCTTTATAATATCTGTTCTCATGTTAATGATCCACTTTTATTTTTCTTGACCCGAGTTGGATAGCTTAACTTTATATATATATATATATAGAGAGAGAGAGAGAGAGAGAGAGTTGTATGAATGAAATACTTTGTTTTCTCTTGATATTTTTAACACTAATATTTCTTCTTGTTTGACTTCGAGTTTTTTAAAAAGAACACAGATGACAGAACAATAAAAGTTTCATGTACAATGTCCTTTGATTACTTGCAAAGATATCAATATAAGAAAATGTAGTGTGACGGCTCTTGTCTAGTTTTGTTTGGAAAACCATGTAATTCAATTTTTATTTTTAAATTAAACAAAAATATATATCAAAATGAATTTAATGCATGGCCCATAGTAAATAGTGGCAACAGACACGACTGTGCAACAAAGGGCAGTGCCCGGCAATTGAGATGGATAGGCACTTGATAGTAAAGTTATTCATATTGTGAAGCGAACAGTAGAATGCTTATTGTTCTCATTTCAAAGAACGACCTTGAGACATTGACCAACAAGTCTTTGCAACATGGTGCGTTGAAGATATGTAATTTTGTATATTTTCCTGTGTTTGTTGGTTTATATTGTTAGTCACCTATTGAGGTTATTTTAGTCTTTTGCATCCTCAATGATATTTGTATAAATACTTGTTTTCTATGATTGTTCAAATTAATGCAATGGTATTATTTCAGATAGTGAATATTGCATTTCATATTTTCTAGTGTGATTTGTAGACACACTATAGCGAACATGGTATCAAAGCTAGACAGTCTCTAACAAAAGGAAGTCTTTGTGAATGTTCTTCCAATTTGTCCCTTGCAAGTAAGCTAGCTCTTTTATTTGCAATCCCCAATTATTCAGTGCAAGTTACTTTTTTACTTTCATCCATAATTCGCTCATGATAGTTGATACTATTGAGAATCATTTTGGACCTATCTCTTGGGTAGCTCTAATGATAAAAGGAAAACTTACCTGATTGCTTGAGAATTGAGATAGGTTTCAACCGAGGGGGGAAAGGCAAGAGCGTGGATGCTTAAGATTTTTTGGATGTCAAAACCAACCTTATGGTATAAAATTAGGGTCTGGGTTAAGGTTATTAGAGATAAATATAAATGAGGTAATAATGTTCTTTCTATAAATCGATTCTAGAACACTCAAAAAACTAGCTTATTGGAGTATACAATACACTTGCTTATATAGTGAATACCCCCCCCAAATCCCTTTGACGTGGAACATAACTTTTTTGATTAATCTATAACATTCCTGTCATGGGTGACCTACTAACTAAGTAAACTCAAGTCTAGTTTTAATATCACTTTATCATATGACCATTATTCTCTCCCAAAAAACTAACTATTGGAGTATGTAGTGCACCTGCTTATAATGCTAAAACTCTCACCAAATTTTTTCAATTTGAAACATAACAGTGGTCTTAAGGCAACGATACTTGAATAGTTTCGGTTTCTACTGACTATAGATTTTATGTTCTAGCGTGGTCTATCCTGCTTAGCCTGTATACAAGCAAAGAAACTGGACTAATATTATAGACCTCTAATGTATATCACGATATTTATATAATAAAATTCCAGAGATCCCGAGGGGACTACATATTGATTTAATTGATTGAAACAAAGCGGGTAAATATTTCAATTTCTCAAACGTCCATCTAAAGTGCAAAGGGGAGAGTGTAACGTTATAAGCAGCAAAGGGTCCGCATCTGAATATTTTAGTGCACCTCATTTGATTACTTGTAAAAGTTTTTTAATGTCAACATCCACTAACACCCAAAAATCACAGCCCCAAAGTTGATTAAACAAAAAAGTTAGTCAATCTAGCATATCATACACTTTTAATGGAAATTAAATTCATTTCATTTTTATTTTAAAATAACCAATATGTTTTAATCTACATCCTTTTCTGTATTTTCAGTTCTCACTGTATTTGTTTTCGCAGAGGATTCAATTCACATATTACCTTCTCCACGTGGTGAAGTCGACATCGCCAGGAGCACAATTAATGTATGTGACGAAATAGTCAAAGCCTTGTATATATGTTATTTGTCGGACAAAATTTGTGCACATTTATACTGTAAACTAACGGTTTGCTCCCAAAAAAAAAAATAAAAATAAAAATAATATTACTTAGATCTCGAATCTTCTGCAACAGTTGGTCAAAACCTCGGAGTGGCATGATAAATAGTGAACACAGAACAGGGATAAACCGCATGGAGCAGTACTATGGATTAATTTACAAGTGCTGGAGGTAAACCAGTTCACGTCAAGCTCCACACATGCAATCAGGAGCAGGATAAGTATAGATTGATTGCGTCTCCTTCCTTAATCTGATAAGCCCTTGTCTGTTCTTATGCCCATCAAGAACCGCACGTTGAAATTCTAACCAGTCCATGCTTTTATTCTGAAATAGCCGACCCAGCAGTGCCATGTTTGGTCTGATAGTCTTGAGATTCAAATAAGCTCGATGACCCACCTAGAGACGCAACAAATATTCCGTAAAAATCGTGAATTTTTCAGACGTGCTTCATTTCTTGCACGAATACAAACCAATAGCAAGACCAGTTTTAAGATCTTCTAAAGTTAAATTGTCTCAGAAGTAAAAGAGAGTCACAACGAATCCAAATCCTCAATTCTATCAAGACAACGCTTCAGTATGAAATGGAGTATTTGATGATGATTTTTACCAGAGCATTGTGCATGTTGCCTGGGGAAGCAGAAATGAAGATATCACTGTGCATGCTCACATAATAATCAACAGCAGCTAACAAAGATGCCTTGCCTTCAACCTTGGAGCGTTCACCAGCTGAGGCTATGCTCTTCTTATCTTCCATTAGGGGAAATAATTTGCTTAAAGTGGCTATCCTAGCTTTGCCACCATAAACCTGAAAGAATATCATCAAATCCAATCTCTCAGGTCATAATTGAAAGCATACAATGCCATCTTCAAATTTTTCATATTCATTATATCCAAATATCATATAAATAATTTTCCACTTCGGAAATTAAAATTACTATGTACAAAAGACCACTTAAAGTATCTTGCTACCAATATTGACATAACTATACTGGAGAAAGAAAATTTACGAGTTCTAGAGAAGGGGGAAAATACACACATACTCAGTTTGCAAAACTAAACCTAAACAAGTGGTAGAGTGGTTAATGAATCAACCATATATATTGGATCAATCTACCGTTTGATGCAAAGCCTGTTTATGAGTTCCTCAATGGCAATTCCCCTAAAATATCTGTTGCCACATAATAATAATATGCTACCAATTATTTGCTGCAGCTGAACCTTGTGGGATGCAAGATAAAGCCGCGTCTTATTGTTGAACCCCAAAGCTGCCAAGAGCAATCCTATTTCTTCAGGTGTAAGTGGGCAACGGCCCTGGTTTCTCAGCTCCTCATCGCTAAATTGAGATTTTGACACTCTTCCTTGCCAAATAACCTGCCGATATTTAGACAGAGCAAGTTTTTCAGCTTTCCCACCTCCAAAGTCACAGGCTGAATGAGCAGCCATATCCTGCATTGGAATCAAAGACGTAGTCATCATTATTTAACCTATAAAAACAGATGTAATTATTACAAAGCTTGATAGGAACAAGGGATTTTACACCAATAAAATATATTAAAGGGTGAAATAAAGAATTGAACATGAAAGCACTGTTCCATTACATTTTATTTTATATTGTAAAGATCTTCACAACAGAATAATCTTCTTTAGTACCAACATGCATTAGTCTTAGTGAAAGAAGTTATGACCACTTAAGCATAAAATCTTAGGTTCAAGTTTGTGTGAATGTAGAAAACACCTTTATAAGAGCTTGCCTCAATTGGGCCCAACAATACTTGAACATAACCCAAATAGCCATATAGAAGAAAAAACTTGTTGCCCTGTAGAGACATGCAACATTTGCCTCACCAACAACGGAAGCATAGATCACCATTTTTAATATATGTAATTTTGCCGATATAGGTAATGGGTCACCATTGAAATAACAAGAGCAATAATCCGGTGCACTCATCATATAAATTAGTCCTACTTATATAAAGCAGCAAAGTTGACACTTAGTTGCAATCAACCACAAGCATCTTAATTGCAATCAACCACAAGCATCTTAAAAATTACAATCTCAGTGCATTAAAAACCAAAAAGACATTCCAAATCAAAAGCAGAATGTGATATAATTCTAGAATTTAACAAATTGTAAATAAATAAGCTTTAAATCCCAGCACACTGTCAAAACAAACAAGGACCATACTTTGTCAAAACGCAGATGCAAGACAACAAACTTCCCACTCTGCTGATTTCCAGATTTTTTAGCCCCCTCCAGCATATACCTATTCCCTGCTACTTTGTTTACGCTAGGATTATAGCGGAGGCGATGAACAATTGTCTCTCCTAATTCCCTGATATGAGGAACAAAAATCAAAGCCTCAAAGTTGACCTTACAACGAAGATGCTGGATGTCTGGGGGCAAGTTGTTGAAAGTCAAACGGTGAGAGAATGGTGCAATAGCAGCAATTCCATAACTGTATCAATGAAATATCAACATCACCAAGTTAATGTTTAAGAATACCTAAAATTGTGTACATATTAAAAAGATAGTCCCTGAAAGCAGATAGTTATTTGTGCTCTCATAAATATTTTTGTTATATCAGATTATTTCAGGAATATAATATATATCAAATATCTCAAATCTGCACCATTTCTTTCACCAAAAAGAATGATATCGCCAACCCAAATATGATTTATTTCGTACTCAAATCTCTTGAAATTTTCTGACGTCAGATATGCCAATTGATAATAGTCAATGACATTGTATAACATCGTTAGGACCAATTGATGAGAATTGCCTATCAATGGTGCGCATTTGATGTTTCTGCTTAGCTGTTAATTCATAGGAAGTGCTTTGCTATCATTAGGATATAAGATATTCTTGGATAATGGAAGTTGTGGGTGGCGATCATGGCAAAAGAGATATTTGGATAGAAAGTGACTACAGAGTTAAATGCTTGTCCTAGAACATATTTATAACAGAAAAAACTTGTGTTTCATAAGACTATTAAAAGAATACATTCAGTTAGTTCTCGTAAGATACAATGGTACATGAAGCCTTGAAGCCTTAAATTCCAAACAAGGTTGCATGCAAAGCCAGTGCCTCAACTTGTAAGAGAAATATGCGTTATCTGTACAACATCATTTGGTTTTCTTGAGTTGAACTATATTTGTTCTCAAAACATCTGCCTAGGATTCTTTATCATGTTACAATTATTGATGAGGTAAATTGTTAAAGGGGAATATGTTTTCCATGGTCACTATCGAAGCTCCTTTTTCATTTATTACTACAAAAAAGAGACTACAAAACAGCCCTCTAGAAATCAAAAGTGACTACGAGGGACAAGGTCATGGAGAACTATTGAAGCTCCTTTATCAAAATCATTATCTTGAGAAGTGAGGCCTGTCAGTTATATACAAGAATTTACTGTAACCATCAGCACCAAATATCATAAAATCAAAGAGATCTTGTTAGCCATATTTAACCTATATATCTATATCTCTGCATCTATAAAATCTGCAGGAAGCTATTCGGCTTAGGAATAGTGAGCAATTTGTAATGGGCCCTGTGCATGGCATGGGAAACAATTCTGATTAGAGTAAATAGAAGTAACAATCCAACTAAAGTAATTCCTATACTTGTACAATCTGACTCCAGTTGAAAAGAAAAAAAAAATACAGGAAAATCTGGCAATAAACAGTTTACATACCTCTTAAGTACAGGCAGGACATTTTCTATATACCAGTCAGCATTAGCATGAACTGGAGCGGTTTTTATTCTGGTATCTCTTATGCCTGTGGCATAATACTCCCGAGTGCTCCAAGAATAGTCACTAGGAAGCTCATTCACTATAGTTATATCATCATGGAGGGCACTAATGAAGTGGTCCACGTCAAATATTTCTGCAAATGAACTGTAGAAACATGACAATTTCACAGAAATGGCTAATTTTCAATAAGAATAAAAATGCTGCAACAATGCCAAACTAAGGAAATACCTTGAATCTTGCCAAACAGGATTCACTTCAAAATGTGGGATCACCAGTGTTGCATTCAAAATTTTAGCAACAGCAACAGCATCACATATCTTTTAAAATGAACATCAAGAGTAGGACATTAGATGGTGATCAACTGCTAAGGCAGATATCTAAACACAATAACAACCAAAAAGAAAGAAGAAAAACTACTTATCCTTATAGACATAGTATATCTTTTTGATTAAATTACATCCTTGCAACAGATACATACCCCCATCTTCTGCTGGTTCAGCCCTCCATCAAGGAAAACCTGGATATAACCCTGAGACTTTACAGGTTTTGCTGCAGGAAATTAAGTAGTGAACAGGTAAAAAGCAACCCTATCAATATATAATACAATCACCAATTCAACAGATATATCCACCACAGGAATTATTGTTAGAAAAACAGAGGTTCATGTATTTCAGTTCACTATTTGAACTTACAAGGCAATTTCGGAGACTCACTACAGGGTTTCCATCCTTGGTTGGCTAATGGAGACCAGAGGCTGATTTGTTGATCAACAGACTGAAACTGGGAAAAAAAGAGAAAATCAGGAAATAAAATGCAATTTATAATGAAATGCTCAGCATTTCACCCCCGGGGGGGGTGCCAAGTTATTGTTTACCCACAATTTGGCGCTGCAACGCACCCTCTAATAGAGCTTCGTGCATCGGTTTTGGAGCATTCCACTCCTGCGATAAAATGGCCACAACTTAGAAACTAAATGTTTTCTTTTGGAAAGACAAAAAAGTCATAAGAGAAAATTAGCTGCACGCTCTTCTCAAGACAAGCTTCCCAGTATCTCGGAATGGCAACTAAACAAGTTGGGCCTTTACATCCATGCAGAAGAGGGAGTACACAAGTGAAGGAAGATTATAAAAACTAACGTTATCCATGTAAACGTAAGCCTTGGCGGCAAATATTTAAATGAAATCGGCAAGATTTTTATTTTCTGAAAAAAAAAAGATTTTAAGTGTTTAATTAGTTGCAGCTACACTGATGAATGGCAATTATTTCAAAAGCTGAGGTGCATCCAGATAGACCAAATTCCGTGACCCAAGCGTTTCATTCAAGATTTCCTTTTGGTTACTACACAAGTGCAAACTCTGACAAAACCGTTCTCCACGATTCATCCACCACTGATTCCCATGTCAATCACGACTGAGTTCAACAAAATGAACGGGAAGGAAAATAAACACTTACAGAGAACATTAAAGGCGAAGCGCCACCTAAAGGACCAAACAGATTGGGAACAAAAGCCGGCAACAGAATCACGAAAACCCCAGCAAAGGCGGCTTTATGAGAGTGGCTTAGGTGATTGTACAAGAAAAGCTTTGTTGTCGCCATAAGAATCAAAAGATTTTTAGATCAATGAATCATACTAAGAGTTTTACATAATCGAGGGAGCAATAACTAAATGGCTCTATGGATCGTCCGGAGCGGATGATCAACCGAGAGAAAAAGTTCCCCACTCCTATTGGACTATGGTTGAAAAGTGGAAGAAATAATCGAAGCTCAGGCGGAGGTGGAAACTCCAGCGATTTGGGAAATTAAGTTAAAAGGCAAAGAAATGGGAAAGTTTCAGTGAGGACCCTGATCTAACTTAATTTTAATGCCCTACAATTCTGAAATTTCATGCATGTGGAGTGCTGAAATAAAATTAAGGAATTGATTAAAATGATTTTATAATCTCTAATAAAACTATGTACGTAGATAACTCAGGTAAGAAAATTAGTAATTAATATATGAAAAATAAATAATTAATATAAGTAAAATTTGTCACTTTTATTAATAATAAAATATCATTATGAATTTATAATTCTTATTCGACGTATGTCTATTTTTTATTTTTTATATATTAACTATTTATTTTTTCTATATGAATTATTTATGTGTCTAATTTTGTTAGAGACAATAAAGTTATTTGGTCAACTTTTTAATTTTATTTTAATTCCCAATTATGCAGTGAAATTTTAAAATTTTAAAAGTTTTAAATGAAATTAAATCTGATTAAAGAGAAATTTTCCGAAAACAAGTTTGGAAAATATTTCATCACAGTAACAAAATCGTAAATTAAAAAAAAATTAAGCCTTTCATTTTAAGTTTTATTTAAATACATTTTAATCTGAGATTTTACTTTCTGTTTTGATTTATTTCATATCAACTTAATTTATTAATTTAATATTAGCTTTTTCTGTGTTATATTAGTATTATTTTTCTTAGTTATATCAGTACTATTTTTTTTTCTTTTTTATTGTGCAAAATGTCCACTTCACATTTGATCTCTGTAATTATGGATATCCTCCTGATCAAATTCATTCTCTCTCTGTGACTGAACAATTACGCCGGTCGCCACTTTTCGTTCTTAGAGTTAGAAGTAAATCACAGCTTTATGTACGTCTATTATAGTGCTCCGTCTGCTGTATTTTAAACAAAATTAGAACATAGGTTGATTTTTAAAAACTTTCCAGAAATCTTTTTCATATGGTATTTTCTTTTTCTTTTTTTTAAAATGGAATTTCCCAAGTTGTATCAATTAACTAGTCATAATTCAGGGCTTGTCCAAGGCCCAGTCTTCTTTTTCCCATGGGACGTTTTTTTTCTCCATCCCGTCAGGTTAGGCTTGATCAGGTTTAACTGAGTTTCATATTTCTACATGGCTTCCCCTTCCATCCTAGTGGGTAAAGTTAAATGTTGATGGAGCAGTGTCACCTAAGAATAATCATGTAGGCTATGGCCGCGTTATTCTGGATTTTCATGGGAGTTGGACTGCTGGTTTTTCATTTTTTTATAGGCCATTGCAGTGCTTAAGAGGCTGAAGAATGGACTATGCTAAAAGGCCTTTTGTTTTTGAAGGATTTGAGCTTCTCTTGCTTCGTGTCATAATCTTATTAAGAGGTTTTGGTTGAACAATTTTTAAACTCTATGTAAACTAGTTGTTTGATATTTCTTCAAATTTAGAAATAAAAATAGGTTAAATTAACTTTTAATCAAGTATGCCTAAGCTTGTAATATAGGCCTTAAGCCTGAACCTATATACAAACTTTTTTAAATTTAAGCTTGAATTTACAATAAGCTTTATGACTTGAAATTTTTTTAAAACCTACTTCATATGTAGGCATTTAAAAAGACTTTGAAGTTTTAGTTTTAAAATATTTAGTTAAGCTTTGAGATTATCCAAACCCACATTTTTCATATAGACTTTAAAACCTACATATTTCATATTTTAAATAGGTTTAAAACCTATTTAAATATAATATAATTTATAAACATATAAATTTAAATATAATATAACATATAAAAATATATAAGCTTGCTTAAATATATAAGCCTTTAAACAAGCCTTAAACCTTGCCTATTTATAAACAAGCCAAGCCCTAAATAGTCCAAGTCATAAGCCACCTAATAGAAGCCTAGCATATTCTCACTCCTATTCAAATTAGACATATGATAATTCTATAAGGGCAAGTTCAAGTGTAGCATGTGCCCAGGGAGCACGATATTATTATGGATCGCTTAGCTAAAGCAAGCATAAATAATTCTCGCACTCATGACACACTGCCTCAGCACTTGAGGACCCTGGTGCAACAAGATAGTTTGGGATATCAATCCCACCTTTTTTTTTTAATTTCTTCTTAATACTGGGCTAAGGCTTATGGACAGGAAAAAAACAATATAACTATCCTAAACTAAAAAAAAATGAAAAAACTATTTGTTTCCACCAATTCATACTTCCTTCAATCTAAAATATAAACAGTTTTTTAAACAAATCCACATACGAATAAAATTCTCATTCTTATACAAGTATATATTGTTTTTTTTTTCCTCCTAATTCTTGTTACTAATGCAAATCATGATGAGTGAAAACACTTTACACAATAATCTAAATTAATAAATATAATAGATAAAATGGAAAATAAATTCATACGTATTAAATTACTTATATTTTAGGGAAAATAGCATCTAAGGATCACTAGAAAAAATTAATATCAATCAAAGATCAATTAACTTCAAAATTGCACTATAATTTTTAGGTCCTTGATTAATATTAATTTTTAATTTAAAAGTCCAAAATGTCTCTCAAGTTAAAAAACAAAAAATAAAAAAGAAACCCCACCGTCGCTGTTGTTAACTATCAAACCACCACCTTCAACAAGGTCGTTGGATTCCCTGCTGCTAGCGGCTGGTCATTGGAGCTCCAATACCAACGACAATTTATTTCAAAGATAATTGGTTTAGGTGGTCAAGGAAAATTTTGATCCCAAGATCCTTTGCCACCTAAAAAGCTTGGTGGCCTAGTAGCCACCAACCCTTTAATTATATATAGCAAAAAAAAAAAAGTAGTAAACCAAACTTCTAATCACTTCCATGTAATAACATAATGGTGTGTTATCAATTTTTAAACAAAACTTATCATTTTACAAATATTACTTGTTAATCTGACATAGATAATTACAAATTAAGAGATTTAAAACTTCACACATTTTACTTCTTAAACTTTTGAATATATTGTTCTTAATCATGAATAAGTTGTTGTCAAAATCTAAACAAATACTTATTAATGAATGACTAACACATACAACTAACCATTTTCTATCAATTTGTTTAACTTATTAAAATCAAAATAGATTGTTATTAATTTTGAATAAATTGTTGTAAAAACTTAAATATACATTTGTTGATCACAAGTATAATGAACTATTGTTTTTTTAGCTTATTAAAGTCTGAATGAATTATTGTTAATTTAGAATGAATTGTTATTAGAACTTGAATAGATACTTGTTGATAAAAGACTGAAGCATACAATTATGTCAATCCTCTAAGCTTTTCTAACTTGTTAAAGCATAAATAGATTGTTGTTAATTTAGAATGAGTTGTTGTTAAAATTTGAATGAATGCTTGATACTGATGATTAAAAGCACAGGTCTAACAAAATAGGTGTGTAAAAAACAAGCCATTTTAAATTAACAACAGTCTATTCTGGCTTTAACAAGTTAGAATAGCATATAAGATAAACATAATTGTACATAATAGTCTTTTGTTAACAAGTATCTATTCGGGTTTTGACCACGATTCATTCTAAATTAATTAGAGTTCATTCGGGCTTTAATAAACTAGAAAAGCATATAAGATGAGTATAATTGTATGTGTTAGTTTTTTATCAATAAATATCCATTCAAGTTTTAATAACAACTAATTCAAAATTAATAACAGTCCATTTGAGATAACAAACTAGAAAATAACAATCCATTAGACTTGCGCTTTTAATCATCATTAACAAATATCCATTCGAGTTTTGAAAACAAGTCATTTCAAATTAATAACAGTATATTTAAGCTTTAACAAGCTAAAAAAAGGGATAAGATATGCTTAATTGTATGTGTTAGACTTGCGATCAACAAGTATACATGTAGACTTTCACAAAAATTTATTTGAAATTAACAACTTGTTGTTGTTTTAACAAGTTAGAAAAATTAATAGGAAGGGCTTAGTTGTACATGTTAGTTATTTATTAACAAGTATTCGTTTAGATTTTAATAACCTATTTGTGATTAATAACAACACCTTTAGACATTTAACAATTAAAATGCGTAAAATTTTAAAGCTCCTGATTTATAGTTTTAGATGTCATATTAACAAGTAACATTTGTAAAATAATAAGTTTCGTTTAAAAATTAACAAAATACCATTATATTAGTAAATGAAAATGGTTAGAAGTTTAATTTACTATTTTTTTTATATATGATCAAAGGGCTTATTGGCCACTAGGCCACCAAACTTTTTAAGTAGTAAAGGGTCATGAGATCAAACTCTTCCTTAACTACTTAAATTAATTTTTTTTTGAAATAAAATTTTATCAGTACTGGAGCTTTGATGACTGACCGCCAGCAATACCACCGGCAATAGGGACTTCGACGACCTCGTCGGCAATGGTGGTCCGACAGCTAGTGCTGACAACGGTAAGATTTCTTTGTTTTTTTTTTTATTTTTTTAACTTGAGAGGCATTTTAAACTTTTGACTTTAAAAATTAATATTAATCAAGGATTAAAAAACTGCAGTACAATTTTAAAGTTAATTGGTCATTGACTGCTAATAATTTTCTTCAACAGTCCTTGAATGCTATTTTTTCTAAACCAAAATTATTTGGAAAAAAATGTTTATATTTCAGAGTGGAGGGAGTATTTGTTGGACATTAAACAATACTCCGTGTGATAGGGATGCATGCATGCACTGTGATAAAACAGATTTCCCGAACAAAAAATCTATTAAGATTGAAGTGAATCTAAAGTAGCATATGTTTTTACATGCAAGTCGTAGAAACGACCACTAGAGAGAAGAGGGAACTATACACATCTTTGGCGCGCAGAACCTAGAAATCATTCAATATCACCAAAAAAAGAAATGAAGTCATGCACATCCCTATACTAAGAGGACTCTTTCGTCAAGACTCCCAAAGAATCACTTTCACATTCCAGTGGCATAAGCCGCCTCCTCTTTGCATCTTGCTCCTCACAATATTCATCAGTCATCCGGACATCACCTGTGATCTTCTCGTCAACTACATCAGAAACTTGATGCAAGTGAAGAACTCCGTCCTTGTTACCGTTACTCATCATATCAGAGTCTTGTGAACTTTCCACGACAACAGATGTGGGCAAGTTTCTAGCGGGAGCCGAACCAGTAATTTCCGTTAAACCATAAAGATTTCCCACGGAAGAATAATTATTTTCATCTGGTTTATCTTCTTCAAATGACCCTGCTTCATTTCCAACTGAAAGACTCTCAATAACACCTACATCATCTGAATCATCGGAGACACAGTCCGATGCAACCTCGGAAGGCCCAGTCTTGTCATGTTCTGCTTGCATATTGGTCCCTGGTTGATGGCAATTCTGGGCTCCACTACCTCTAGATACATAAGGCAGCTCAGAGGTTTGCGCTGAAATTCCTGCTATTTGCTGGAAGTTAGCGTCTGTTGTCAGATACAAGAACTGCTCACTGGTTTCTGTATCTTCCTATGAAAAAACAGGGAAAATAGATAAGGACAGAGAAAAAGGAGGGGGAGGGGTTAGTATGGCAATATCAATGCAATAATAAGTAGAACACGGGAAATTTGCCGTGCTCATAATCAGTATATTAAGGAGAAAAAAATTCTCAGAATGAAAGGCAGACAGCATTACCTACTCAGACAATTCTAGACGAAAATTGAAGGATAAACCAGACACATTTCACAATTTTATGCACTAAAAACAATCTTGGCAACAGACAAGCAAACATGACCTGAAGCACATACTGGTAAAAGTGCATGGAAGTAAGAAAGATTCAGCATTACAATAATCAGAGACACTGTAAATTCAAGTCAATGGCATGGGCAGATAAGGCAACATGTTGAAATCAACAAGGCACTGAGTATAACTGTAAAATAAAATATCATAATCATAGAATAGGCTATAATTAACAACCTGGGACTTTAATGCAGGTAGCACTTCAAGTGTCATTAAAGTCTCCAAAGCATGGACGCTTAAAATCTCACTGCGGGGTGAGCGAACCATCCATGCCCCCATGCAATACATGGGGAGAACACTAAACGTGTCAAGAGGAAGAAATTCCACAAATTTCAACAGCACAAAGGCACATGCAGGCATACACAAACACCCCAAAAAAAGAAAAAAGAAAAAAGAAACATGCGTACAAATTAGATACCTCTATTGGAAACATCGAGTTGTTGAGACGGTAATCAGAAGATCTATGATCAAAAGATTGGCATTGTTCCAGTAGACCTGCAGAAGCTCCAGGCTCGAAAAGCTCCCTAAGAACCACTCCTGAATTAGGATCCAAAGATGATGGCGATAATAGAGTGATCTCAATTCCCTGGGCAGCATGAGATGATGTTGACAGCCCATTGATACCAGAAGAACTAAACCCTCTTTCAAGACACAGAACTCCTGTTCTGTTTTCATCATTTCCTAGGTAGTGGACATCATGGGGGCCACCACTGTATTCAGAGGTAGAGACATTACAATGGTCTTTCAAGAGTTCAAAGACTAGTCTTTGGATAAGAGTTCGCTTAAGATAAGCCTCTGCAGGTGGAAACCAGTGCACATTGAGCTGGAAAAAAATTTATTATGTCATCAAATGACTCAAATCATATAATAAACCATAAAAATCGATACAAAGGTGATGGTTTCTCCATTGAAATGTTTAAAAAAGATAAATTGCTGACAAATGGGCGAGCAACAGCTAAAATTTCATGATAAAAGTTTACACAACTTAATGTCAGAAAGCATAAAAGATAAAAACAATTCCAGCACAGGAAAAAGCCCAAGAAAAAGAAGAGAAAAGGAATGCCACTTACAAAGTTAGAGAATTTGGTTAGTTTAAGTGGATTGAAATTTTCAGGAGTTTCAGCCAGGAAGAGCTCTAGATAGTGCAGAAGAAAAAGACCACAATCGTACGAGTTCTCCTGCTGTGGCAACTGTCATGAGATTCAGTCGCACAAAAATTAGTAACAGTAACACCCTCAAGAAGAGGGAACAAAAAGGTTTTCCTTTCTATCTCAAAATAAATCATAAGCATATTATATTGCAGTTGCTTCTATACATTTCCAACTTTGAAGAGAACAAAATTTGTAAGAAATTGCCAAATTGTTTCTCGAATACAGATAAATGATCAATGGCAATACCGCAAGTGGGAGAAAACGCATGTTGAGGAATTTTGATGAAAGGTCTTCATCACATTTATCCTTTTGCCTCTCTTTCCATTCTTCCCACAAATAACTGCCAATTTAAAAGGGAAAGAGTCAACATATAACTTTACCAAATTCCTTGTTCAAAATGGGAAGATACTAGAAATAAAAATGGATTATACTAGACAACCAAAGACTGAGGGTTACTAAGCAAACACAATGAATTAATGCAAGGTAAAGGCAGCCCTCACATGTACATGAATTTGGTTTTCCTGTTTGTATTACGATTATTCAAAGTCAAATTGTCCAACAATAATTCAAAATCAAAAATAAAAATAATCATCATCATTTCAATTCAGTATAAATTCAGCTGAATAAAGCAATTTCAAGCGTTCCAGTTCAATTTAAAGAAAAAATCTAAGGGCTTCAGTTAAAAGGCATTCAACATTCCACAGTACAGATTACTTTTTAATGCGATGCAAGACAAAAATATGCATATTATCATTGCTCATATAATTATTTCTTTCACATGCCCACAAGGCCGTAAGCATTAAACTGAAACCCAAAAGCACAATCATCCTAGAGTCTCTTCCAGAATGCATGTTAAATCCTAGTGGCAATTAATGGTCATGCAGTCGTCAGGAATGTATAGATAGCTAGAGAAGAATGTGTACACATGGATTCTGTTTATAGCTACTTTAAATGATCGTCCAAAAAAATTTTTTAAGGAAGTTTCTTAGGGATACACAAGGGGCTCAGGCAACCTTGTTGCACGGTTAGCAGCCTTGTTTTTCATTTATTTTTGTTTTATTGTTCTGTTTTTCTTCTCTTAGAGCAAAACTGCTCCTCATTTATACCTTCTCTTATATGCAGCACATAGAGAAGTCACGCACAAGAGACAAACTTTTCTCAATCAAGGGGAAGGGAATGAATGCAAAGGCACAATGAAGAAGATCTAACATACCTACGTACAAGGTTTTGCAAACCACTGTGGCTTCCTTTAATTGAATCCATATGCATTATACAGGGTACTCTAAGTGACTCATCCAGGCATTCCTCTGAAATATGGCTTATGACATAATTATCCGAGACTAGAGATTCGTAAGACAGGAATTACACGTGCCAAGAACTTACCATTGAAAGTAACCACTTCACCAGGATTACAAATAACTAATAGACTCCAGTGAAGACTGCGATTATAACACAAAGTAAATGCTAGTCAGCACAGTGTTCTGATAAAAAAAAGACAGACGCAGAAGTATAACAGAAATCTTACTTGAAGTTTACAGGTATGAAGATATAATCCTTTTCAAATAAATTTACTTTTCTTGTCCACTTACGGACACGAAGAAAAGCAGCTTTGCCATCAGAAGCACTTGAAGGGTTTTTGTCCATATCAGCCAGCTTTCGAAAGAAAAAACTATTAAAAAAATGGAACCTGTGTTTTTCCTCCTCTTTTATCTTATTCTTCAGGTACCTGTCATAATAAAGATGTTTAAAACCTTCAAAACATCTACTTACTACAGATTTTATATCTTGTATTGATATTGATTTTCAACTGAAAGAGCAAGATAAACAAAAACATGCATAGTACAGCAAACTTACTTGATGTAAAAATCAATGATCGTGTCATTGATGAATGTGTCTGGTTGTAATAGATCAACATCCCTCTTACTTAGAGAAACAGCATCAGGATCTCCTTTTGGATAAATAACTTCACCAAAAGGCAAGTCAAAGCTGTCTCAAATCAAGTAACAAAATTAGTGAGCTTTAACCAGAACAACCACCCCCCCCCAAAAAAAAAGGACTAAATCAAAATATTTTGAAGCTCAAATCTCATGAAACAATGTATCATCATAAGCCAGGTGACTAGAACTAGGCTGCAATGCGTTTTATGCGTAACCAATATAAACAAGATATCAAGAGTTTGTACATTCAACACTAACCAACAAAAAAAAAAAAACCTTAAAAGAGGACCCAGCGAAGCAAATGTAATTTTACACTCAATGCTGTCAATAAACAATGTGCATGATTCTACTTTTATGCACTAAAAACATGTTCGAACATCCAAACTCACTTTTCCAACATAGAAAATATTGAGTATATTTGCAAGATCCTAAGCCAAAATTTTCTGCACAACTGTTTGCCCATGCAATCTTTTTAGTTATTTAGGACTCAGTAGGACTCAGTTGCCACTTCGAAAAAAAAAAAAACAAGAAGAAGAAGAAGAAAGAACCCAGCACCTTTCAACCTTTCATTCAGCAAAAGAATAACTAAAGAACATAATAAAGGGATGTTTACATGAATTACAGAAAATAAATAGTAATACAGTAAGTTCCAGAAACTATTTTCCAAAACGAACGCTGCCATCATGACTTCAAAGTAGCGGTAAGGGGAGAAAAAAAAAGGATTAAACAGATTTTACTTACTTAGGGAAGTAGCACTTTGGTCCATGTAAATCATTCCCATCGTCATCCATATCCCCACTACACAAATAAAGTCAATTAAATATACAATAACTAAATGACACAAAAAGGCTTTTAGAACACTGAAGAAACAGAAGAGAACAAAGCTGCAAGACAATAATCCATCACAGTCAACATTAGGGTTCCTCTTTCATCACTTCATGTAATATAAAATCAAGGGTAAAGATGCATTTTTATCCGAAAAGTATTCTTCAAAAAACACCTAGTGTCCTAAACTCTTCGTCGTAGCAATTTTGCCTTTAAAGTAATTAAAACAAAAAAAAAATAAAAATTGCTCCCGACGTTAAATCCTTAAATGTTGACCGATAATTGGGGGAGAGATAGGAAGAAATATAATCCAAAATGCCAAGTGTCCTACCACGTGGATCCTAAATAAGTGGAAAATGAAAACTAAACATCAAATCAAACCCAAGCATTCTCCCTCTCCACCGCCGTGCTGTCAACCCGAGGTCATGACCCTCCCCATGAGAACTATTCGGTCGTCAACAAACCTGAGTCCTAGAATACTGACAATACAGGAGACCGATTCCAGTTTCAATTTCATTCATTCATTCTTATTTTTCGTAATCATAAGCCCTGGAATCAGCGAGCTCCAAGTGGTATCCCTAAGATATCTGTTAGAGATGTTGAATTTCCCAATTCACCAACAAAGACAAATTTTGATTCTTCTCCTGCCAACCAAACGCCAGGGTCGCCTTTACCAGATATAGAGAACAGTTCGTTTGCCATTGTAGCGTCATGGGCTGACTTCCAAAGTCAAATATTTTCTTTGTTAAGGAACCAATCAGGAGTCTTTTGACGATTCAGGGTAGCCCAGTAATCAAATAAAAATCATATTATTATATAATATATAATATAATCAAATAAGAGAAAACAAGAGAAGCAAAGCTGTAAGGTGGGACTCTCATGGACTGCCATTGCTGATTACAACTACAATCCACAAAACAAAGTGCCCCTCTCACTTCTTGCTATTTTTCTAAATGCTTTTGTAGTTAGAGAAAGTTGGGTTGGCAATGTGAGCGGTTCTGGGGGAGGACGAGTCCAAAGTATTGGAGGCTGTGTTGAAGGAAGCTGTGGATTTGATAACAGATCTGAATCACTTGAATCTTTTATGGTTTGCAATTTGTATGTTCTCTTCCCCAGTCTGTTTGATTCAATGATGGGTGTCTTGGTTATGTTCTGTGTGTTTCCGAATGCCAGAAAACATACCCATTGAGGAGGTTTTTAAGAATCCAAGATGTAGCAGAGGTCTGGATTCTGGTGGAGACAGAGTATCAAAGGTTCAAGCTTTTATCTATGGGATAGAAATTGGGAGGAAGTTAATATCCATGTGCCAGGACAGCTTGTCCATTTTTAGTTAACAACACCCTCCACCTCATCATTAAACAGTCAAAGGAACTTTCATCTAACAGCAGGGTAAGATTGCTACGTTTTTTTCAAGTTTAAGGGTAACATTGCTCTTCTTAAAAGTTTAGAATACTGAGTGCTCCTCGAAAGGTACTTCAAGGGCAAAAATGCACCTTTACCCTAAAATCAATGAGTAAACTTTATGCTGAAAAATGAAATAATATGATATCAAACATAAATCAATTTTTTGCAAGAAACAGAGTTTGGTTTATGCTTATGTTACAATCACAAGTTTACAGTTCAAATCCATATCAATACATTAGACCTTTAGCCAGTAGATGAGCCTAACTGAAAAATTTTTAACTAACAGACCAAGGAAAATATTTAAAAGAATCATTTAAAGACTTACTCAAGATTAACATTCCAAATAGCCGAGTATTTCACATTAAGAGATCTGATTTGTTCATGTTTCACACACCAATTGGAATCAGCAATCACAACCTTCAGTTCCTCAATGCCTGACAAAAAATATAGGTTCCCAACTGTAATAAGCAACATAAGAAACCCTATTGCAATTAAATCTTATGAGCTCATAACACTAGATATTATCCAAAAACAAAAGGACTTGAATTAATTTTTTTCTTTAAAAAATGCTCAATGAACAACTTTGTAACACTGACCTTCAGTTCTGTCAACATTATTTGCTAGGCATGCATTGCTGGATATTACACGAATCTTCATCATGACAGTTTCATTCTGAACAAATTATACATCAGTACTGCAGCATTAAAAAATAAATACAACCACCAAGTTTCATTCGGACTATAAAACTCACACTTTGAAACAAATTACACCTAATATCAACAACATCATCAATTGCCCAGTCAACATCAGAGGCCTCTTGCTTTCCACACGCAGTTGAATTATTAATCTTGATGCAACAGTGAGTAAATGTTAACTTTGTCCCCCAATAATAATTATCCTGATACATAATATAATCAGGATAAAGAACAACTTCCAAATCTGCATCATCCTGAATATTGCAAAATTGAAGTCGACAGTTAACACATAAGCTAAGTCAGCACAATATGCAAAGAAAACAGTACTAGACAACTTGCAAATCTGCATCATCCTGAATATTGCAAAATTGAAGTCGATAGTCAATACAAAAGCTAAGTCAGCACAACATGCAAAGAAAACAGTACTAGTGTACTTGAATAGTTGAATATATAGTTACATCAGAGCAAACAAAGTGCTTATTTTGCAGCCTCAATAGCTTCTATTTTAGATTGTATTATCAAGAAAAGAAAAACCTTAACACAGTTGGGGTGAGGGGTGACCAATGCCAGAGACTCAAACCAGTTCATAGCATGGCAAACGCAAGACAGAACAAGAACAACTTAAAGTGTACTAACTTTTGAGTCCCTGAACATTAAAGAAATCCATTAATTTAACAAAAGTTGGTTGAGTTACCATGTCAGAATCTTCTATGCAACGGTTCAATCCATAGCCATTCAATGAAACTGAAATTACAAAAAAGTTCAATGAGTAATGAAACAAAAATATTTGTAAATCATATGTAATGGCGTTAATGAATATCAAATGTTTAGGTATGATAAAATACACCATTCTCTGTAGCCTCAGAGACAGGAGTAGATGGAGTACTCTTGATCGCACACTCATTGGCTTCTGAATTAACATCAACCGATCCATTCTGAAAGGGTCTAAAACATGAATATGAATTCCACAATCAAAACATTCCTTGATGATGTAATCTTACAAATGAAAGTTACAGTACACTGGACGGAGACCCTGAAAGGGCAGGATCTATTTGGCTCATCTCAGGTGAAGGTACAACAGCACTTGTATCTTTAGATTGTTGGGAAGCTTCCAACGCAGAATCCTCTTCATAATCAAACTTTGCTTCTAATGTGCCCGGAGTGGGGTCTGAAACACCCTTTTCGGAGATAAAGTTACCATGCACTACATCAACATCAACACTAGGAATACTGCCATCATCCTGATCCTTCACAATGACCTTGTCTACCTGGGATACTGTAAAGACCATTTAAGAATGAATGCAATTTACCAAAATGGCAAGAATTAAAGGGCAAAGTTTGGGGGAGAAATATTGAGCCAAAAGAGCAAGATTATCAACCCAAAATATCTTTATCTTAATTCAATTTCAAATTTCAACCTTTTTATAGGAAAAACAACTAGATCCTGAGTCAACCAATTGTAGCCTCAGGGAATTAACTCCTTGACCACACTATAGAAAACATGAGAAGTTGCCCCCTGCCTGGATCATCTATTTAATTCTAGGTCTAATAAAAAAGCTTCCATCCCCATCAAGGTGATTCCGAATAAGAAAAACACTTGTACAGCTATCTGTATCTTTGGTTCTTTGCTACTGGGTTCTCGGATTTAATATGATAAGTGTAAGGTTCTCCAGTGATAAATAACAAGTTATAATGTTTTAATACAACTGTATGTTTCCCAAATCAAATCACATACTTGGAGTGTTATTATTGGCAAACCATACACTAGTTATGTGTTAGTCCAAGGTGCCTGGCAATATTTACTTGAAATGCATAGAGAATCCCACTAGCTAGAATGTGATCTAAGCTACAAACTAATTAATGAATCTAGCGCCTGATTTTGTTGCCTCAAGAAATGATAAATTTACATATGAAATACTGTTAGGCTCGAGTTTCAAATTAATTTCATTAGCTTAGTAATTAACTTCAGTCCATTTTTAAAATTGCATCAAAACACAAATATCAGAGTTCTTAAAATATGAACCCTTCTAACTCTAATAATTCCATGACTTAGCGTCAATAAATCTCATAGAACCATTTATTTTTCTTCATGAAACCAAACTTGTTTACGGACACATCATACATATCTAACTCTAATCCTCAAAATAGAGTATTCAATTTGACATGGACGATGATCAGTGCATCATATGTGATCAGCCCATTTTGACTCAATTTAGCCTATCCTAAACGCTAAGATTAGATAATAGCAGAAGACACAGAATGTCATGTAAAGAATTGGAGGACATCTAACTATGCTTAAATATACTACGATAATAGGACTGTTCAATTTATCTCAATGAAAGCTGACATTCTGCATGCGCCTGAAAAAGGCAAGCTAAAACACAGTTTTCAAAATATTAAGGGCAGTTTATTAACGAAAACCATGTCTCCGAATTTTTTACCGAGTCTATGAAGCCACTTTAAGGGTGACCCAGGCAGAAGCAAAAAATTATCAAAGCTCCTTGCCTAATGCACTACCGTTTATACCCAGATCCCATCTACACCGAACAATAACCTATACATTAAGTTGATAAATTTCCAATTCTGATAAAACAGCGCCGCTTTTCTCAGTGAAGCACCAACATTTAATCAACAACCACCACAAAAACATGCACTCCCGTACACACTCACGCACACATATACATACATGTATGTGTGAATGCATAAAGTAATCACAGTGGTGACAATTCCAATTTTAGAGAAAAGTTATACCCCGTTCGTCACCAGTGACTCCACTTAAACTCACAGGATTGCCATATGAACTCTCGGCATCCCTTGGCTACAGTCCGAAGACCATAGCAGATACATCTACATACCCAGCTACAGAAGGAACAAAATATTAACACGGAAGATATAATTTCAAAAATCGCCGTACCATATCCCAAGAATTCGTACTTCAAAACGGATTGATCATCGAGGGTAGAGTTACTGAATTTATTGAGCTGTTTCTCCGTGGCCATGCCAGCAATCTCGTCCTCTTCCTTGAAATCAAACACTCCGTGATCTCCGCGCGGAGATTTGTTCATCGTCCCCAACACGACAAGGGCTTGAATACAAGGACGAGTTGAGTAGACTCAGTGAGTTAGCACGAAAGTCGGGAAATAGCAGGGGAAAAATGCTAGCTGGACGGACTATGGACCGCGTCGAGACGGGGAGTGCCCTAAATGGGTAAATTGCACTAAACCAGTTGAAAAAAAATGCTTCCCCGAACGAAGCTTCGGCGATCCCACCATCACCCCAGCTAGCAGAAAACAAGAAAAGAAAGAAATAAGCATTAATATTAATATTTAATATTATACAAAAAAATTTATGTACATTGTTAAAGAAAAAAACAAAAATGTAATAAATTGTTAAATATTAAATATGATATGTGAATATATATATATATATATATATTTTAGTGTGCGTAACGTGAAAATTTTCTGTCTATATTGATATATTTTAATGATAGCTTGGAATTTTGTAAAATTTATATTGATATATTTTAAAATTCTGTACATTTCTATATTTACAGAAAATCTCATGCAGGTCATCAATAATGTCTACGCGCACATTTAGAAACAATTATTTTACTGGAACCGATACAGTTATATCATTAAATACGTTTTAAAATAAAAAAATTAAATTTATTCTTGTTGGAAATAGAAAAAGGGATATATAGTGTATAATATAAGTCATAGAATCGAATTTGCAATAGAATAGAATTGAAAGATGTACTACTCTAATGTTTAATATAAAACAAAGTTAATAAATTCCGCACTTCTAAAAAACGTTAGTTATAATTTTGAAATTGTAAAGAGAGGGGAAAAAAATATAACTTTACACTTTTATCATTTTTTTGTAATTAATGATCAAATAAATTGTTGTTCAGAAATTCAAGTGACAAAAAATAAACAAAGAATAGAATTGGAGAAAAAAAACATTAGAATTTTTTGACATTATTTTTATTTTATTATTCTGAAAATAATGTTTTGTAAAACATATTTAGAGAATAAAAAAATAAATATTTTATAAATTTTTTTATTCTTCAGAATAATAATCCTAAAACACTTAAAAGATATTTTTATTTTTCATTCTTCAAAATAATATTTAGTTTTTTTATTCTCTAAAATTTTTTTATTTTTGTATTTTAGAGAATAAAAAACCGATCCCAGGTTGCCAAACAAGCCTTTCATCACTCTAACTTTATCTTATACATAAGACCAAAAAAATTTAAAAAAATTGCGTGTAGATTCCATGAAACAAACTTATTTATAAAGAAATCCCGCAAAATTCATAAATTACAACTAAATCTCTTAGAACTTAGCTATAATTTGAAATTGAAATAAAAAGATAATAATACCCTTAATTAATTATTTGACTAATGTAATTTAAAGTTACATTTGTACAATATTGAAGTTATAATTATAAATTATTAATAAAATAGTTGTAAACAATTAATGTTAAATTTTATTAGTAACACATGATTATTTAATTATGGGATATGTACAAATATAATTATAAAAAATTAAAATTAAAATTATAAATTATTAATAAATTAATTGTAAATTAATTATTTGATTGATGTAATGTATATTTAATAGGGATATTGTTATTTTTTTTAGCCTAATTTTAAATTACACACAAGTTCTAAGAAATTTGGTTATGATTTTTAAATTTTATAGAACTTATTGATAAATAAATTCATTTCATGGTACCTATATGTATTTTTTAAAAAAATTATTCAAATTTCATCTTACATTAAAAATATAAAGGAGTAATATATAACCATCAACATGTGAAAAAAAAAATTAAAAGGAGCCCTATATTAAAAAATAGGGGATGTATATAAAAAGGATTGCGGGCCCTTGTTTTAGTTTAAATTTATGCATGATGAATGCGACTCTATAATATTGGACGTTATCATTTTTTTTAGAAGTTATTGTTAGTTTAAATTTAAAATATAAGATATTTTTGTAATCTTAAAAAATACTCCGTCTGATTTTTATTGTAAATATTTTTAACGGTTTACATATATTAAAAAAATTAATTTTTTCTTTATTATTACAAAAGAGTTAGATTTACTTTTAATTTTATCTTTAATTTAAAATCATGATACAACTACATTAACACTAATCCAAAAAAAGTAAAATTAAAAATATAATTTAATTATTACGAGATATCATACATTTTGGATTAAATATTATTTTTAAAAGGTATCCTACAAATAGAATTAAAAGGAATATCTTTTTATTTTTTCCTCATGTTTATTGATGTGAGTTAGATTATCATTATTATTACTACTACTTGCTGCTGTTGCTGAACTGAACTTCCCACATTCCATTCAAATTTATAAAAACATAATGTTTTACACTGCTGGATTCATTTCAATATAATAACTGGTACAATAATTGAAATTTGTTTAACTTTTTAGAATCACATTTTTTAAATTATAACATAAATGTTTCATACAAAAGATCTTGTATAATAAGAAGAGCATCTCATTCCTGTAAGATCAAGACCATTAGCCTAGCTTGAAGCTGTATGCTCTTTTTTTTTCGTTTTTTCAGGAAAAAAAAGAGATTGATTGATTGATTGCAATGAAGAAATAACATATAACTAATTGTACTCTCTCTATATTAAAAAATATAAGATAATTTTAACGAATCTCATTTTTAATAAATTATTTAATTATTTTTGGATAAACATAAACTTTTTATTTTTATTCTTATTTAAAAGATGTTTCATTTAAAAAGCAACATAAAAAATCATTTATTAAAGGCATTTTTGGGGAAAAATTTACATTAATCATACCTCAAAACAATAAAAATATTTCACATTTTTTAACATTTAACCTCTTAGAAAATGCTTAGGGAGAGAATAATAGAAAGATAATGAAAATATAAAAAGATAATGCAATATATTTATTTATAACTTGAATTAATAGTAATATCATTGAATGAGCCTTGAAAGAATTTGACTCCTTGACAAGTAAATATTAATAATTAACAAGTAAAATTTAAATCTTAATAAGTATTTAATATGTGCAAATTCATGACTGATATTATTTGAAAAAATTACATATAGTTTCTGTGAAACAAGCTTATTTACAATTAAATCTTGTAAGATTTGAAAATCACAGTCAAGCCCCTTAAACCTAAATATAATTTGAAAACATGTTATAAAGATAATAATGCCCCCATTAAACATACATCACATTAATTAAATAATTAATTTATAACTACTTCATCAGTATTTTATAATTATAATTTTAACTTTTTACAATTGTAATAACTTTACCTATCCAATAGTTAAACAATCAAATATTACCAACAAATTTTAACATTAATTATTTACAATCATAATTTTATATATCTAATAATCAATCAATTTAATTATTAAATATATAAATTACGGTTGTAAAAAGTTAAAGTTGTAATAGTAAATTACTGATAAAATAATTGTAAATTATTTGAATAATGTAATATATATATATATATATATATTTAATAGGGCATTATTGTCTTTTTATATAAATTTTAAATTACATTTAAGTTTTAAGGGACCTAACCATGATTTTTAAATTTTACAGGACTTTTTAAAAATAAGTTTATTTTATGAGATATCTATGCAATTTTCTTTGAACTTTTTCAAATCTTTCGTTGATATCCTCTAGGTAGAAAAGAAACAATAAAGACAAGTCCAGCCCATACAGAGTTTTAACATTATCGGGTATGTACGGACTTTACATCAGCAATACACAGCCAGACTTCCAAACATTGAGTAGCATCCAACTCCGACTTGTTGGTCTGTGCATGTTGAAAGTGCCTTGTTTATATATATATATATATAGATAGAGAGAGAGAGAAGTGCTTTGTTAATTAGGTTGGTATTTGTAAAGCTTAGCTGTGCTTCCATGCTAAGTCCTAAGAAGGTGGCTTTGAGCACATAAAAACCTCCCGTAGCCCCCCAGAATTTTAGAAAGAGCTGCCAAAGTGTTGGACAGTAGAAAAAATCTTGCACTCAGAAACTGAGAGTTCGAAGTTTTGTACAGAATGGAAGAGTTTTTCATGAGTAGAGGTGGGAGAGGAGGTAAGTAAGATGAAATTGAGATTTTAAAACATGTTCCTTTCGTACATGTTTTTTTTTTTTCTTCCCCACACAAAAGGCAAGGGGGGAAATGGTGAATTTCACGAACACGAAGATAGAAATTAATTTCACCACTTTTGACAAAACCAGATCCTATGTAGAGAAATAGCATGCATCTTCATACCAAACAAATTATTTTTTCTGAATCACTTCCGCTTCTCAAATCTCAACCATATTGAGACATCAAGGTTATATCAAAAATCGAACTCTGGTTCTATATCGAAAGATGTACAATTTTATTCAATTATGTTCATCTTCATCTTCTACAATTACTGTGTTCATTTTTGGACGAAAGACTAACTACTCCTAAATCACTTCTATTATCAGTTAATAATTAAATACTTAATCAATATATTGCTAATTCTTCTATCTTACATGGATGGAATATTTTTGCTTTTTAATGAGACGTAAAGAGCATAGAATAGGAAATATTAATAAAGGCGGGTTTTACAAAAACAGAGTGAGAGGCGGATTCAATATTTGCAGGCGCCAAGTAGGAGCCGTTCATCTTCTCGACTAGAACTAGTGAGTAGTGACTTTCCAAAGACTAAGTTCTGAAAACTGTACATAGATTAAACGACGCAGAAGATTAGATCCAGAAGGAGTCTCATCTAGGAACGAACGTTTTTTAGATAATGACACGAGACATCAATTCGTCGTCTCCTCAATTTTCAATCAGAGAAGCTAGGGGAGCCTGAGAAAAACCAGACATGTTAAACATAAACAGAACAATTTTTCGCCAAGTTGAACTTATGACAGCCATGCATATATATATATATATATATATTAAAGTCAGGCCCAAGGGATCAGGTCGCTTACCCTAATCTCAGAGATATGCTAGAGGAATCATCATCGAGAAGGCCATTATTATTACAGCCGCAAACATTATTATCCATTGCTTCTGATGAAACACCTCCTCGGCCGCCCATATCTGAGTTCGTCATCATGGGGCCTTTTCCTTTACACATAATAGCCACCTGTGACCTCCACTTTCAACTCAGCAATAAACTCAAAAACGAGATAGCTGGCACGTATAATAACATGCACGTAGAATTGTAGTTCGTAGTCATGCATGTATAACAACATGGTTATCTTCTTACCTTCTGCTTTATCTGCTTGTTTGCTTTGGCCAAATTGTCTACCTACACGATTGGCAAAGTCGATCGAGGAATATAATATCCCAAAATGGTCAGAAAATAAAATTGGGAGCTGCAAAAAAGCTATAAACAACTAGCAAGTTGGCTTTATCAGAACTAGCTACAAGATTGTCCTTATCCTTTAGGGAGTCATCCCGAAATTGGTAACGATGATTTGATTTGCAACTGAACTGATGAGCCATACGCGGACAAACCTTTCTCTGAAGTTCAGTGATTTCACCCATATTCCGCTTGTCCTAAATTAATGGTTATATCGTGTGTTAGAAAAATATACACATGCATGGACCAGAGATTAGTGTTCAAATGAGGCGGAGAGATGCTTATAGATATTTATATATGTATACATACCATAATCAGATTCACACGACTGAGTCCTACGTCAAGCTTTTTCTCCAGCTTCAGCAAGTCATCGAGGTTGAGTCCTTCAAGATCTTCACCCTTCAGCTGCCTGGCCAGTATTATTATAGAAGAAACTGGAGTTTTCAAATGCCATTTATTAATTCCCTGTTCACTGAGAAAATGGGAAGATTCAGATACCGAAGTTCCTGGGTTTTATCAGCAATCTCGTTCCTCAATTCGCTGTGACTGCTGTTCTGTACATCCGAAACGTAAGGGATAAGGACTAAGAAGGGCCAATCATTACATATTTGATGAACAAGAAAAAACGAAAGGAACAGAAAATAAAATTTGGACTTTGTTTTTAGTTTACATTACATCTCATCACTTCTCAGGAAAAATATCCAGAAAATAAAGATATCATCCTGTGCAATTTTAGTTACTTATACGTTAATTGAATATATAGACAGCGGCCTTCAAGCCCTACCAGAACGAACAATGTAGTTACGAGTCGAAAAACGGGGAATTCTTATTTTTCTTACTAGCTACCTGCAGCTCTAGAGAATGACTGTCCGATGGATTGCTGCCATGACAGTGCAGATCATACCTTGTAACGATGTCCTTTATACTATTAACAAAACCCAAAGTCAAAAGAAAAAGTAAGTCGAATATTACATCAAATTTAATTATATTTTCAAAAGAATTCTATCTTAAAAAAAAAAAATCTCCACACGAGCAAGGGGCTAGTCGAGAGGGAGGAGAGCAACTCACGAATAAATATTTTTTCCTCAAAATCTCAATATATGCAGAGAGAAAATTTGGAGGAAAAAGGTTATAGGTTTCACCTATTATCCCTTTTAGTTTTCCTTTCTTATAGGTTTCTCTCCTCATCTAGAGGGGAGAAGTGTTTTCTCTTCTCTTATCTCCCCCAATTTTCTTCTCTCCTATTTCCATATCAGTATGGAATTTGTTAGATTCTTTATATTAAATATATTCAAAGATAATCTATCTACTACTTCACCAAAATAACTTAAGTCATATTTAATTATAGACTCATCCAAAACCTTATATTCATTATCTATTTTTTAAGTTTTAGATGTAGTACTTCTTTTATATCTCTATTACGTCTAATACGGCAAATTCATGCTACTATAAACATTGACACGGTTTTTTTATACAGAACAAAACAGGATCTTAATTAGTATCCCACGTACGGAAACTATCAAACTCCTTCACCATTTACGTCCAAGTCACGCTAAGAACACAATGTAATAATGTAATGAAGTCCTCAGCAAATAACTGCAAGAGTTCAAGTTATTAAATCGATGACAGTCTGCTCGTATGACCCCCAATCAAATCAAAATCTATCATTGTTTTTTGTTTTCAAGAAGGCTACCTCCAGGCCTATTTATATAACTTATTTATTATAAATAGGCCCGGGATGATAATACTTTCACTTCATTGGGGTCACAATATTTGTATAATTGCATTGATCCCAAACTACTAAAGAGAAGCCAAATTGTTATATAAACCTTTTTTTCATGTTCAATTTCCCATCTATAATCATAAACGATTATTACATTTTCCACAAAAGCAATAAAAGAAAGCGAGGGAAACACGAGGCATCTGATCCTTCTCTCCCTCTCCATCATTGATCATACACACACTGACGAAAGAACTAGATCAGGATACGACTCGTAGAGCCACAGTCAAAGCATATGAGATAAGAACATCCACTAAAATGCCATATATATCATTATCAATACTCACCTCATCTGGTATTAGTTTTTATTTATTTTATTATCACATACTTTTGATATTTAAAAAAAAAGCTTCAAAAAGTTCGTTAAATATTTTGCATTTAACCGCTTAACGTGTTAATTAATTTAATAAATAGAGATTGTTAATTAATATAACCGAAAGGCATATGTTTTAATAGTTAAAAGAAGCGAAGTGTGCTCATGGCTGCATCACTAATTAATCACTGACAATATATATGCTAAGTTGTTGCAAGAGAGATCTCAGGGAAGTGAGAACAGTTACATGACATACCTGGAACTGGCATAATCATGGAGCTTTCCTGTGGCAGAGAAAATAATGAGACCAACCTCAGCATCGCAAAGAACAGCAAGCTCTTGAGCTTTCTTAATGAGCCCTCGCCTTCTCTTTGAGAATGTCACCTGCCTCGCCGTTATGCTGTCGATTTTCTTGATCTTGATCTTCTCCCTCGCCATCTCTTCTGTATCTTCTGCAGAAAAATAACATCTTTACTGTTCATGCGTGTACGTTCTCATACACAGTTAGCTTGAAGATATGAGTTAAAACTTAAAAACGATGGCTTTTAAAAAAAGGGCATAAAATTACAAAACCCTAGTGCGAACCACTGAGTTCCAGATCTGGGAAAGAAGCAACCCAGAAAAACTTATCGCAAAAGAGGAATATCAATGGCGTGCAGACGTAAGAGCTCACTTTGACTTGTTGGGTTTTGATTTTGGTTTCCTTGACCTTGCGAGCTGCTGCTGACCTCGATCACTGAAAGCTAAAACAATAAAATGATAGAGCGAGTTGAGAGAATGATCCTCCCAGAGGAAGAAAATGCTATAACAGGAACAGAAGTCAGGTATTATGCGATCAACTAGAAAGGCGATGCACTGATGCACAGAAAGGGGGGAGAACCGGCGTTGAAATGCTTTTTTTTTTTTTTTTCAACAAAGGAAAGAGCTTTCCTTTTATAGCTGAGCGATGGGACGGGGCGGGGGTCTCTCTCCTTACATCTTCGTTCACGTTTTGATAGCCAAATATGGCTTACTTAAGATAAACACATAGAGAACAAGGCTGCCCAGCCCCACGTTACGAAAAGAAAGGAGTGAACATTTTTTTTTTTTAACCAATGAAAGGAGTGAATTGTTATTGTTTTCTCTGTCTTCTTGGCCAAAAACAAAAAAATCTTGTCTTCCTTTTTCCGTACATGAAACCATACCTAGTTTTTCAACTGCGATTATTACATGGCGATTATTACTTTCTTCTTCCGTGACCACCAGCTGTCCCTCCTCCGTCCTTACGATTATATAATTAAAATTATAATAACATCATCAGCGTACGGCCCTGGTTTGCGGAGTGGGATCTCGTTTTCATTTTACACCTATCATTTATTTTTGAGTTAAGCTTTAATTTTGTCTTGTATTTTTTTTTTTTGAGGATCACATAACACTTTATACTTTTGAGTAAAGTAAATTCTTTTTAAACTATTTTTTAAGGGAGTAAAAATTTTTTCTATCAAATAACTACTTATTCTCCCATTATATAATGACTTATCTAGGTGTGGGACCCACAAAAATCTGATTTGGCTTAGTTAAACTTCCTTTTGACCATCTACATGGCACCATCTTCTTCTCTCTTCCGGTTGCAGTGGTGGCAACATTCTAGATGTAGAAGTAGTGATGACGAGGAAATGGCGAAGTTAAACCACCATTTGTTGATGATGCAATAAAAATTAACGAATTCATCACTATAGATGGCAGTGAAAGTGGCGAAACATATTATTAGCAAGCTTCTCTCACAAGCTTCTCACCACAACATCAGATATCTTCTCATCCACCGTTAACGAGCTTTTCTTCATTTTTCTTCAACCTTGTTAGCTCTTCACCCAACCTTCAATTAGCTCGTATTGGCTATAGCAAACCCAAGGTGAAGACCTAATAATGGTTCTTAACCACCCTCATGGATGATCCCAACACTTATGACTCACCTACACAATCCTTCACTTTTGATTTTGAAGACAACTTCTTGAATGCTTGGAGATGGGTTCTTCATCAGGTCTAGCTTGGGACCTCAAGCTCGTGAATGAATCATGCAAATTATGTTGAAACTAGTGATCAAGACTTGGCACTCTTCAGTACTTGATAGGTTGATTGAATTAGGTTTGGCCTATGCAATGGATTCAATTGAGATCACAAAATCGAAACCAAAATCAGTGGCTTGAGCTCAACGTTTAATCCTACTTGAAAAAAAAGAAATAATACAACAGTGGAAGGGAGAAGAAGAATGAAGATGATGATTAGAAGGACATTTTTTATGGGCCTTATACCTTAACAAGTTAGTAGATCACAGTGAGGAGAAACAAACAATTGAAAGAAGGGGATTTTTGCTCCCTTTAAAAATAATTCGAGGGAAAATTTGCACCACTTAAGAATATAAGGTACCCAGTGCTCCTCGAGAAATAGTATAGGAGTAAAGTTAGACTTTAATCCTTTATTTTTTATTACTTGCACATGAGGCTATCTTAAATGTGTCTTTTGTCGAGAGCTAATAAGATTTAATAGGACATAGAGACTAATTTAAATAAAATATTAATACATCCTTTAATAAAGGGCTCCATTATCGAGTTTCTAATATTGAAGCACTTTTAATATTCAAACCAAATACAACAATTAAAACGGAACAATCTCTTTTCAATTGATCTAAAAATGTTTGGTAGTTATCATTTATTCTTAATCAATATGTATTCAATAAATTCCAATGAGTAAATTATCTGCGTGGCAAGGGTTCATGTTTAAAATTAATTTAGGTAGGTAAATTAATAATTATAATAATTTTATTAAACATTAATGAAGTTAAAGGTACAAACTAACTGAACTATTATAAGATGGTGCAAAATAAATTCTAAAAATATTAAAAACGGAGCAACGGGCGCCTATCATTAATTTTGAATAAACAAACGTTTGCTTGATAAGTTGTTTAACTTAAAAAAAAATAACAAGCCATGTGTCATATTTTGATTTGATCCCCTTATTTATGACTCTCTCCCCATCCTCGATCCTACTCTTCGCTACTTGCCCAAATCTTCACCATTGACCTCTATGCAATTTCTGCCATCACCCTTGTTAGCCCTTTCGCCTTTGCTGCTTTGTCCCATTCTTCTTCATCTTCACATATTTCCTCTCCACCATCATTATCTATTCCTTTCACCAATCTACCTTATCAAACCCTTTCCCCCTCTCTTTTATCAATATCTCAATCATCTTACTAAACAAATCCAATGTCAATCTCTTGCTTTCATCCCCCTGTGCTCTATTTTACTTTCTTTAGCTTTATCTCATCTACAATTAGGAATAAGGGTCGGGCCTATAGATTCTGTTTAAATAAGGTTTCAGGCTTTAAAAATTATTTTTTTAAAAGGAACCGAGCTTGAGGGCTTGGCCTTGATAAGCCTTGTGAAAAAAGGCTCGGGCCCAAGCGGCTCTCCAAGCCCTGATAGGCTTGGTTATCTTTTAAATATATACAGTACATAGATATATTTGATTGATAATGATACAACTTGGTTAATATTTATTATAGGTGATGAAGAAGAAGTTGTAAAAGTAATTGACATTGAATCTCTATTTCTATCTTCAATAAGTGCACTTATATCCGAGGGATCTAATGTTTTATCTGTAGATGATGAAGTTGAGGAGGATTTGAGTTTTGGTTCATGAATGTGTGTTACTGTTATTTAAATTTCTAAACATGTTTTTTAATTTTTAAAATATTATGAGGATTTTAATTTTTTTAATTTCAAAATATTTTAATTATTTTATAATATTAAATTTTATTTTAATTTTTTAGAATAGGGCTTCCGGGCCCGACCTTGAGCGCTTTACATAAGGGTCAGGCCTCAAAAAAGAGATTAAAAATGGAGAATTAGGCTCAAGGCCCTAGGCCCTTAAGGGCCAGTCCCGCCCATATTCTCAGCTATCTCTCATCCTTTGTGCACTATGCCAAATAAATATAAACTATAACATCCTAGTTTTATTTAATATTTTAATTTAAGGAGACTACAAAAATTTAGTTTTTATTTAGGAATTTAATTCAAGAAAATTATAAGGTTTAGTTAATTATTAAAGAGACTTTTGCACTTATAGCCCATTTAACAAGACCAAACAAAAATAATAGCCTAGTATTTTAAATATTTTGCAGTATGGCCGAAGTAATATTTAAGTTAAATTGAAGCGATACAAATACCCCTTTTTCTTAAATCTAAAATCTTATTCTCATTCTCAAACCTGAAATATATTATACCTTACTAAGCTATTTGTAAAGTATTCAAAAGTGTTCAAATATCGAAGTGATATATTATTGTAAATGGGCCATGCTTATAATCATTCAGTTATGATAATTGTAAATGGGCCACATTCCAAATTTTTTAAAAAATTCTTCTATAATTTATTGATAATATATTTTTTTATGATCATTAGACCAATTTGCTTATAATTAAATTGTGTTTTGAAAAAATTAAGGTTAATGAGTTTGGGCACCTTTCTTGTATTAACTCTGAGATAGACAAGTAAGGACCCTAATCACCTCAATCCACGATAATCACCAAACTTGCAAAATATTAAAATAGGGATCCCAAGTTTTCACAATTTAAAATGCTCCCATATACTTTTAATATTGCCAAATCATAGTTTAAAATATATGCGAAAGCATGTGAATTAAAGAAAGAATCCAAACATTTGTAAATGAACTCCAAAATAATGAACTCTACAAAAAGTAGCATATGCACCGTGGCTTACAGTAAGTGCATCACGGCGCATTACATGAATTTGACAACAAATTTTGCTATCATTTGATAGCTCCTGGGATGAACTTCTAACACATCATTTCTTCATTCGACGTCTGGCTGAGGTTATTTAGGTATCTATAAAAAGCTTTCTCTTAACTCTAGCTAATGGTACAAGTTTCACAATCAAATTATTTTTTTTATCAAAAGTTGGATAACATTTTCAAAAATCACTCCTTTTTCATTAAAACTTTAAACTAGGGTGCCCAAACACCAACATATGTGGTTAAAAGCCTACATTAACTCTTAAGTGACACTCAATGGATCATTTTTGGACTCATATAATACATCATAGTCAATCAATTACACATATTATACAAATTCACCACTCAACCCCTTAATTCACAAAAAAATAAGAAGGGAGAGATAATTTGCGTAAAATCATTAATATTCATCCAAAATAACATATATGCACTTTACCCTACTTGCACTAGTATTTTAGCCCTATACAAGCTTTATAGCCACATTTCAATAGCTCAAGATACAAAATAGACAAGATAATCTCCTATAATGCAAGTAATCAAAAGAATGATATGAACTTTTAGTTGGCAAATTAATAACTTAAATACACATAAAGATAAATCTAAAGGCATATGGTTAGTATTTACACATGATCATAGGCCTTCGGTCATTTTTTCCAATCCTACTCTGATGAGCTAAATCATGAAATATTGAATAATGAAGGGTGAATAAAATTACTCAGTAATTAAGATCAACCTGGCCTATGCAGTTGCATATCAATTAATTATAGATGCAAATTACAATAAATTCAAATATCATGTCACCATAAAGAAAATATAGCATCGCCTACAAAAATAACAACCATATGACCATGCATGTAACATATATCATCTTGTATATTCAAGAATGCACATAATAGGGTCACAATAATAATAACCATGCATCCTTCTTAAAACACGCCAAACCACAATAATAACAACCATGTGGTCAAAACTATAAATGCATTATCAATACCAACCTTATCCCCTATTAATACGTCCGACATGAAATTGGTGGCGATTAAGTAGATATATCCATAACTCGAACTAACCTAACCTTCCATTTGTAAAGAACTATTGGGCTATGGTTAACTCACT